GCTCTTCCATCACAAAAATATCATATCGCAATTACATTGCAAATATGATATCGCTGTTATATCGCAGAGAACTTATCGCAGCGACGTCGAATGGATGAAACTTGAGTGGCGACATCGCAGCGACGTCCATGCGACATCGCAGGTCACAATTGTTACATCGCTGCGATATCTCTGTGATGTAACTGTGTTTGCTGGGTTGTTACAATGCTGCGATATCTCTGTGATGTAACTCATGCTGGGAAGATAGTATTCGGCCCGAGATTCTGTCAATTGGACCTCAGTCAAATTATTAAGTGTAATACTTCGTTGAATTTGGAATTGATTATTGCTATATTCACAAAGCAACACCAAAAAATTTGGTACAGGGTATAACTTGAATGATTGAAGTTAGGGGTGGCTTTTCAAAAGTTGACTATGACACGGCGCGATTGCTTCAAAATCATTTGGGTTAGACAAGTGTAACTTTTTAATTTTTTTTTCAAGCAGCATAGGTAACTTTTGAGATGGCTGTATGAAAAAATCTGGGACATTTTGACCTAACTCTAACTAAATAAAAACCTTCCTAAAGAGTGTATTATTCGGAAAATTACGTACTAGAAATAGAACAAGGGACACTACTTTTTCCAAACGATCGAACCTAATAACTCAACCTTCTTCCTAATATTCTTCGATGATCGACCTCCGGTCCTTAATCGTGGCATGCAGACACACTGTACATGGTTATCCATCAAGAAGGTCCCCCTATCTACACACACTGGCACAATTAGGGGAACGGGTAAAATTTACACTAAGTTTGACATCAATTTTCTCTCGAACCGATCACTCGATTCAAATTTGTTTTTCACGAATTGTGGCTTCATTCTTCACGAATACATCTGAGAAATAACCACCTCCAAACGATTCGTCTTTATATCATATACAGGGGTGTAAAGATAAAGTACGGATTTTTTGGTATTCTTATTTAAGACATCCTGGTGGAGTGAACCACTGATAATTGAAACGATTTTCCAACACAAAATTATAGCCCAATCTATCCCGAATATTTTCGTTTTTTATTCATCTTGATATCCCAATTATCCAAGAAAATATAGAGTTTAAAAGAAGAGTTGGATATTGGTATTGATTTTACCACCTCGAAACTCGAACTGAGGAGATAACGTGTCGTTTTTCAACTTGTTTCTGTGAGGATTTTTACTTCAAGATGAGAATTGTTCACAGTTTTACCTATCGGTTTACTGTTTAAAGACACATATACGAATACTCTCATGAATATGCAGGGGTGATAAAAGTTGCTCCAATGTTCTTTTGGTGAAATGCTATTTTTGTTAATCAACGTTGGCTATTTTGTTAATAATGCATCAATTATTGTCAAAGTCAAGCGATTCACAATTCATAAATTTGATTAATGAAAATTCAACGTGAGAGATTTTACTACTACTGATGTGGCGAGGGCTGTAGCATTAATTGAAAATTACCAGTAAGCCAATGTTCTTTTAACATATGAGAGCTGCATCTGCACCAATTCAATAAATGGCAGGGAAAGACTATATCGCCGAGGTGAACAAAATGAACAATTTGATTTTACTGCTTCTGTCTCCTATGGCAGAGGTTTAGTCATGGTTAGGTTAGAGGTTAGTCAAGAAACGACACATTTTCAGATATAATTTGAGTTTTGAGGTGTAAAATTGATACCAATATCCACCTTCCCTTTGAAACTCTGTATTTTCTTGAATAATTGAGATATCAAGATGAATAAAAAACGAAAATATTCGGAATAGATTGGGCTCCAATTTGGTGTTGAGAAATCGTTTCAATTATCAGTGGTTCACCCCACAGGATGTCTAAAAAAATACCGAAAAATTCGTACTTTCTTTACACCCCTGTATATGATGGGAAGACTAATCGTTTGAAGGTAATTATTTCTCGGATGTATTCGTGAAGAATGAAGTTACATTTCGTGAAGAAAAAAATTTGAATCGAGCGATCGGTTCGAAAGAAAACTGATGTCAAACTTAGTGTAAATTTTGCCCGTTCCCCTAATTGTGCCAGTGTGTGTATATCTATTTTTCCGTCGACCTCGCGTATTAACGACTAAAAGGCTACTGGGTGATTCTTAGCAGTTTTCGGATGGATGATGAATTCGCGAACCAAGTTTTCTTCATTGCAGGAGAAATGAGAAATATAGTCGACGGAAAAATTTTGTAACCAACTTGTATATTAAAAGGCGATTAATGATCTCGAACATTAACGCACTCGCTTCGCTCGCACGTTAAAATATCTCGATCATTAATCGTCCTCATTAATACACTAGTTGGTTAAATAACTATAACGTTATCTTAATTTTTCTCATCTAAAAAAACAATATGCGGAAGTTGAATGCCGCAATGAGGCCTTTCCACAGCCCTCATCAGAAGTTTTACAGGGCTATCCCCAAAAGCGTGACAAACCACAAATTATATTTTTCGAATTGAACACCTTCTGTTTTTTATATTTTTCACGGAATCTGTGAATTTTTGTGTGTAAATTTTTTGTGCAGAATTTCATCACTGGGCGATTTTGGCTTTGGGTACCTGACCAATAAAAACTTCACACGTTCCATCGCGGCATATAGAGGCTGAAATCGCACAGTTTCTTTAAAGTTTTTCACCAAATTCAAAACAAGAATATACCCTGTATTTCTCCACCTATTAGGCAACAAATATTTTCGATTTTCAATTATTTCGAATACCTATCTATATACCAGTGGGTAACTTATCTCTGCCTATAGGTACTGCGATTTTGCGAAAAATGCAAGAATGGTCAATTTTCATTTGACATAATATTCAAAAACATAATTTGATGGGGTACCAACTCAAAATGTAGTTTTATAGGTAATTTGAGAGTGCATTATTGGAGACATATAGCTAGCCCAAATGATCTTTTGGTTCAACACTACACTCAGTTCCAAAAAAAGTGACGCACTTGATATTTGACCTATATATCTGCTTAAAAAAAATAGTAGGCCGATTTTTTTATTTTTTGGTAGATAATGCATTTGTCTTTAAAAAAAATAAAGAGGTGAAATTTTTTTTAAAGCCTTGATGGTGGTGGAATAACTCGAACCATGATTTATTCTTAATTTTTGACTCACCCTGTGTGCTAATTGAGTAATGCTATACAAAGTGCTCACACCCTATACGAAAGCGGCTTCTTTTGCGAGCATTTTGTTTTTTTATTCATTGGTTTATTTATCTCTAAAATTTTTCGAATTACAGCTTTTTTGCTGATACCTCACGCTTATCCCACAAATTAAATTTAATGAAGGATCAGCAGAGTACTCAAAATTGATTGGGTTGTACTCTGGTAGGATCACATTGTCTTTAAAAAAACGAATGCTGTTGCCATATAGCAACTAATTTGTTGTGTGCCTCCATATTTGACCATGTCGTTGTGTCATTAATTAAGTGTATTGTTTTATTGACTAAAATTACATAAAATGCCTCAAATAAATCCTGAACAATAAGTAGCAAGATTAGTTGCGTTAGTGAACGATGGGCGTAGTAAACGTTACGCCGCTCGTGCAGTGGGAGTTCATGAAGCAACTGCTCGTAGAGCAATCCGCGAGTACGAAAAAAAAGGAAGCACCGCTCGGAGGGTCGGTTCTGGTCGCCCCCGACTTCTCCAAGAGATGATCGCTTCTTGAGGTTGCGGATTTTACGGAATAGATCAAATACTGCGGTAAATGTTCAGCAAGATCTTCGCCAAATTCGTGATGTTGCAGTAAGTAAGCAGACGGTATGTAGACGTCTAAAAGAAGTTAATTTAAAAGCTAGGATACCTGCAAAAGGTCCCAAATTATTGCCCGAACATCGTGTTGCTAGAAGAAATTTTGTTGAAAATAATGGACAGTGGATCATATATTCCTGAATGGTCGAATGTCTTGTTGACGGATGAGTCAAGGTTTTGCCTTAACATGGTGGATGGAAGAAAAAGAGTGTGGAGAAGAATAACTGGTGAACGGTTTAATCAAAATTTAATAACAGAATGCGAAAGTTTTAATGGTGGGTCCGTTATGCTGGTGTGGCGAGGGATTTCAATGAATGGAAAGACACCCCTTCATGTTTTTCCGGTGAGGCAGTCGATGAATGCCAAAATTTACATTGACATTTTAGAGCAGTATGTCTTACCTTATGCAGAGTTAGTGGGCAATAATTTTATATTGATGCAGGATAATGCCCGACCACACACCGCAGCAATAGTGCGAAACTTCTTAGAAGCTACTGGTATTACCACATTACAATGGCCTGCGAGAAGCCCCGATATGAATCCTATAGAACATTTCTGGGATGAATTAGGGAGAAGGGTACGTTCTCGCGAGAGGTCTCCGGAAAGTCTCGCAGAAATGGCAGATGCATTATAGTGGAAGAATGGGATCGTATACCAATGGAAATAGGCAACTTAATTTCCAGTATGCCTCGTAGATTAGAAGTTCTTAGAGTTGCTAGAGGAGGCAATACACGGTATTAAGCAGTCATCCCAATTTATAATTGTGTGTTTAATAAAAATGTTTTTTAAAATTATTGGTATCAGTTTATTTCATTAGAAAATTGTTTCTCGATAAATTCAGGAAGTTGGTAATCTGCAAGGATTCAGCAAAGAAGCTGTAATTCGGAAAATTTTAGAGATGAATCAATGAATATAAAAACAAAATTCTCGCAAAAGAAGCCTCTTTTGTATAAGGTGTAAGCACTTTCTATGCCATACCTCAATTAACACACAGGGTGAGTTATTCCACCTCCATCAAGGAGGTTTTGAAAAAAATTTCACCTCTTCATTTTTTTTTCAAAGACAAATGCATTACCTAACAAAATAAAAAAATCGGCCTACTATTTTTTTTTAAGAAGATAGGTCAAATATCAAGTGCGTCACTTATTTTGGAACTGAGTGTATTATTTCTATTCAGGTACTCCACTCCACTATCATATAATGTTGCACAAATGGATGGTCATATCAACCAAGTTTCTATATGAACAGAATATGTACAAATATCAGAAAAGTATTTTTCAAATATTTATTTTCAATCAAAACATGGATTTCTAAGATTTACAAATAATTTCAGAATGATTTCAAGGACTGGTCAATTATCTAGTCATCTTCATCGGTCAAAAGCATATTGACCAGATCTGCTTTATCACACTGTTCTCCTTCCAATCTCTGTGGACTTCCCCACCTGACAATTGTTGGTAAAACTCTGATTTTTGTTTTGGGATCCTTCCTGAATCCACATTCCGGGTCTTTCCACCTTCAAATAAACAATCATCATTTATTCATAATAACATATTTCCTTTGTTCTCAATTGATAAGATAAAAATTGTAATCAATTTCAAGAGTTCATTCCATTATTAATTAGAACTGAAAGTCATTATAAAGACAAAAAACATATAATTTGCTCAGTCATAATGTTGTCAACAGTGTTCTGATGATTTTCCTAAAAAAATAGATTTTATCAATATCAAGACAGTAATCATTAACCACTAAAAAGTCCCATTCTGAATAACTAAATCAAAATTGAAACAACAGGTATACCTCAACTTGCAAACATGCTCAAATTATCTCCCACATTTTGCAGAACACTGAATTGGAATCAGATGCTTATTGGTTTCGAAATTCATTCCTTTGAATATACATTTTATATGAATCAATTCCTAGTACATAGTATATTTCATGGAAAATAAAGAGAACAGATGGAAAAAAGGTCTACAAGAAACCTATTATTATGTCGTTTATACAAATTCAAAAAAATGGTTTTTTTTACAGCTGAAAAAAACTTGACATTTCTACATCTCTAATGATGCATAAATGTTTACCTTTTTTTACTGCCAAAATAATTCACAAAATTAACATGAAATATAACTTCATGAAGGATTCATTTTTAACAGAGTCTATTATCAATTGATTATTCATCATAAACCAATTTCAACTATAGGAATAATTATTGATAATGTAAAGTTCGAACATTTATTTCCAACATAAATTCCCAAAGATGTTCCATGTTTCTGCTGATCAGAAACTTTATATATTTCTTGAAGAGTTGATTCCACAATTTCATCAGATATTTTTATTTGTTTGAAAGTAGATAATTCAATATTCTGTTAGAGATCTCAATTTTGTAAATTCACATTCACAGTTGTACAAAAAATGTTGTTTGTATTCCATGTTTGAAATTCGTGTTTTCATGGCATATTCAAGATTAATGTGCCAATGAAAAAACACCCATTTTACGCAATTAATAGGAAAAAACCTATTATATGTTGTCCTAGCTAAGGGTCTCCACATAATGAAATGAGTTTTCAAAAGTGGGGAAGATTCAGTTACACTGGAAGTGGACACTTACTTCATTATTTATAACAAAACATTACCTATATCATCTAATTTTAGGATTCTACATTCATTTCATATTTCATTGGATATTTCGTAGACTATATTCTTTGGACTCCAATTCAACTGATTGGGTATTATTTCATTATTTCAGAAAAATAATTACATTACAATTGCAGAGCCTATTAAAATATGGTCTCAATAAGTCGGACATCCTGTATTGTGACTCATATACATACTGGATTTCCCATGAATTGGATATCTTTTACAAGTAAAAATAAAGAAAGCTCCATGACTTGCAACATTTTTGTCATTGTGGTTAATTGATAATGTTTTTATCATGATAAATTTCTATTTATAATAATCTGAGAATGAACTACTATTTTCAACAATGTAGCAATGCATTTTTGCATGAGAATTTCCCTTGGTTCACTACAAGAGATAAAAAAACATGGTTTTTTTCTTCATCATTTCAGTAGACACAAATATTGAAACAACACTTGGCATTTCAGTTATTGTAATTATAAATTGGAAAACAGAGAAAGGATATTGAAGAAGTGGTTTTATTGAGGACCATAATCTCCTTTAAAATGTTATCACTTCCAAATAAATATGTGTACTCAAGAAAAATAAACAGCAATGAATATTACATTCAAGTAAAGAATTAGAGGCACATCACTACTATATTGAAATAAACTAGAAACAAACAAAACATTTCTGTATCATGAATATATTTGAGGAATATCAGGAGTGACTGCATATTATGTAAATGAAAATTATGGATATATTTTCTATTCAGACAGTATCTCATTATTTTGAGTCAAGAATGTTTTTAAAATATTATTTCACCTATAAAGAAATGAACATGAAGCTTTTCAAGGATCATCTAATTAATTAATGTACCACTTAGTAGGTACTTCTGGCAAGATCACATTTTGAAGGATTGCATCTACAGATCTAGATATTGCAACTTCTGAAATTAGATCTGATGAAATAATCAAATCTCTAGTGATATACTTACGTTGGCTTGTCTCCCACTGCTACCTTTACAAAATGTGACTGTGGATCTGCCTTTTCTAAATCTTCATCAATAACAGGCCATGCTGAAAAACAAATCTTCCTTAATGTTTTCCTTATCATATTCCAATAGTAGAATGATAATTTAGAATGATTTTTTTCCTTGTCAAATTCAAGTTTAAACTCATCATAACTAATTCTTAAGGAATTTCATTCTTGTTAATGAGGTGCACAGGACAAACTACCTAATCCAAACATTTGATGTTTGATTGAAATCTGTAATTTGTTCTCAATCACATGCAGAAATAGTTGAAATGGGTGGAACTTCAGCACTTAGTACTACAGGTACACAATATTGGTAGGAGTGTGGTAACATCAGTATGGTAATATTGAATAACATAGCTTTGTATGTACCTATTCCTGGATGTATACAAAACTAGAACTCCATAAAAAATGTCACATTGAAGAAAATAGTACCTAAATACGTAGGTAGGTGAAGGAACTATTTTTTAGATAACAAATATTGAAACATTGGCAGTATGATTAGGTAAAGTTGGGTGAAGCAGATGGTAGATCTAGGGAGTGGTTCAGCTACTATATTGTATACCCACTTTGTGCAAGTACATATACCTACTGTGATTTTAATAATTTCAAATTTAAATATACACTGTTTACTATAGTCAATGCTACACATCTAATTCAAGTGTCTATTCATGAACTCATACTTACCTCTTTTGCAATAAGTACACCATGTGTCCCCATCAGGTCCTGGAGCACTGGAAAACAGTACATGAACTTTCTGACCCTGGCTATCAAAGGTTTTGAAAAATTCCAGGAAAGCGTCGTACCCTTCTACATAATGTTTCTGAACCATTTTGGGCTTTTGGGAACAGGAATAGTGTCGACTGTAGTGGCAAAACCGTTCAATACAGGATAACCTGCCTAGTGTACCGTTGGCGATGACAGACAACACAGAATACAACTTCACCGACATATATTCATTTATATTTGATATATCTACCAATCTAAACCGCTCCGCTGTTTACATGTTCTCATGACTTGCAATTTATACAATTCACAATAATTTGCAGATACAGATGAGATGACGTGTATACGTATGACACGCTGAAATGCTTATCTTATGACGTATGATCGGTAGTCGGAACGAAAAGCGGCACTCGGCAGGTACAGTCGTATTCAATGAAAAAGCGTACAAGTATTAAACAGGATTTCGGGATACTAGTTATAATAGTTGTGTAAAAACTGGCACAGCCAATGCTTTATAGTGTTTTCGAGAACCTATGACAACTTTACTGTCAACATTTGGTGAACAATCATTCCCGATAGCCCGTTTTATGCAGAATAGGATGACGTTAATTTCTCTCTGTAATATACTTGTACGCTTTTTTTGAAGGCGACTGTACATGAGCCGCCATGGGCGTAACCAGGCAGGGACAGGGATGGGCACTTGCCCCTTCCTGGTTCAGACCACTGAACGTGACTGAACTATAATTTGTAGGGTTATAGTTCAGTGGTTCAGACAGGGAAAATATCAATGAAAGTTGGAACATGGAGGATAATAATTATAATCTATTCCCGAACGACATTATTTTGATTCATACTATAATGATTCATCTTAAATTGTGTGTGAATTGAAATCAATTTTTCCGGATGCAAATAACCATGACTTTCGCTATTGATACATTCTTAGACCAATCAGAATGATTCTAGCTATGGCGATGACTTACCAGTAATTACACCATATAATGATGGAAGTAAGATATGGTATAATTACTGATGCGCTTTTGTTTCAGAAATTTTACTCGACCTCTCGAGAGTAGCGAGAGCAATGGTTCCGTTGATCTTCTAATAAATGGCGACATTGCACAATTATGACTTCTGTCAGTTTTGAAATTGTCGCAGATTTTTCGAATTCAGAGTTGTTTATTTCCACTGTTACATATGTTCCGCGTACCTAAAATGGCATTTGCCATTTTATTTCCACTCGTCAAAGCAGCAATAGCAGCATCACCATCTAGCGGGAAAATGTAGAATCAACGTCTCGCTCGTTGTGACGTAGAGAAATCATAGTAGGCCGGTCGAGTGATTTTTCTGAAATTTTCAATATATCGTCGTAATAATGGCCGAATGCGCGCACCATCTCTTACTTCTATCATTCACCATATTATTATCTTACTCTCATCATTGTGCGAGTATAGACTCGCAATGACGTTATGCGCAGAAAAGACGAATTTATGATACCTGAGTAGCACACCATAAAAAATGGACAGGAGACCCAAGCGATCACCAACCATTGACAACAACACATAATCAATAGATGTCATCAGAAATCAGTTGTACACCTATTATCACACCTTATTTGAACATTTTTTTTTTCGTTTCACTGCATGTCATATCTTGAATCGCTTTTCCATCACAAATAACATATCGCAATCATATTGCTAAAAATATGTCGCTGTTATATATCGCAGAGAACTTATTGCAGCAACGTCATGCACATGGATGAAAATTGAATGGGATGAAATAACATCCCTCTGACATCGCAGCGAGGTAGCTGCGACATAAAATGCGATATCGCATATTACAATTGAAGGGGCAACTGGTTGAAGGGGTCAAGTAACATTTTCTGAAAATATTCGGCTATGTCATGGAAGAAGGTTTTACATGCATATTATGTAACTTGCCCTGTCAGGATTTGTTTCTATTCTTCATATCTGAGTAGATACACAGTGGCAGAGAAGGGTCTATGTTACACTAAACATCAAGAACACAATGGAAGGATGGAGCTATGTGCCCATTATATACATGTCAGGAAGTGGAAAAAGGGGTTATGTACGCATGAATCATATGTATATCAAAAAATGATATGATAGAAAAATGCGATAAATCATAAAAAATCAACCTGAAACTATTCCTCACAATTGCATAAATCAAATTATTAAACTCGCTTTCATTAAAAAATGCCAGCTAACTCTACTAAAACCTATTTTTTTCACAAACTCATATTTGTAACATAACTCCTTCATCCACTTGCCCCTTCAATTGTTACATCGCTTCGATATTTCTGTGATGTAACTGTGTTTGCTGGGCATCTATCACCATAGGTGTGTAAAATATACTATTATCAGATAGAGAATGCGAATTCTCAAAGTATTTCTCAATATGTATATATACCTATCCATTATTTTCATGTTCATAAAATATCTGAGAATATTCTTTTGCAATAAAATAATATTATTCATTAATATCTTATTATACAGTATGATGCAAATGTATGGAATGAATTCATCTCAAAACAAGACGACTTTCGAAAAAAAAGCAAAAACTAGAGTTTAGAACTTTTTTTTCGACGTATTTTTTCAACTAGACGACCCTTCGATGTTCAATTCTCAGTAGCAGACCTCTGCAAGATTCAATTAATCATATGATAATCCATTTTTTTCAAAAAATCGTCCATTACGTTTTTACTCCAACACTGGTGACGTAACATCTCTCATATGAGTATCATGAGATTAGGCTTCAGAAATTAAAACTCACGTGTTTTTGGAATTTTTTCAAATGTCGCCCATTTCCGAAATAATGAATTTATTCCATACATTTGCATCATACTGTATATTATATTAACAAGAATTTCTGTAGTGAATGAACCTAATCAATTTTATGTTGAACAAAAATATTATTATTGAACATGACAGGACAACTCTTTTTCTACACATCCACTTAATATACAGATTGTTCGTAAAAATTAAGCAGGTTCAGTCCGTTAACATAATATAGTTGAAAATAATATACAGGGTGTTGCGAAATTCGACCGACAACGCTCGACAAGTGATATAGCCCTCGTGATTTCATAATCACTGGGATTGGACATTCGGTCTTCAAGTGTTCAGTTCTCGAGATACAGGGCGTTAAAGTTGAGAAATAGAAATAGTTTTTTCGCAATATCTCAAGAATGATTGAATACAATGCTTTCAAATTCGGTATATGGTTTGATATTTGAATGGGTCATTTCTTGACGAGAAAGCCATTCCGGACATTTCATCCAGTGGTGCTCTACAGGGGGTTGTGGTAACTTTTCTTCCCATATTTTCTACGCCACTGATGAAATTTCGATTATTTCCAATTCCTCGAATTCATTGTTCAATTTTGTTCAAAAAATGCATCATCTTCAACTGAGCTAAAATGTATAGTTTTCGAGATGTTCGACTCAAAATAGGAGATTACATAATAATATTCCATCATTTTCAGTAGTAGAAAATTACAAAAATATTGTTCTGGTGTGGTGTAGATTAGATACTATTCAGATCTCATTCTGTAGCTGAACAGAAATAGTTATTCCACGCATAAAGAGAAAACAAATATTCTTGTAATTTTCTACTACTGAGGAAGATGAAAAATTACTATGTAAACTTTTATTTTGGATCAAATATCTCTAGAACTGTTCATTTTAGCTCAATTGAAGGTGATGCAATTTTTCAACATTATTGAACAATTGATTCAATAAATTGGAAATTATCGGAATTTCATCAGTGGCGTGGAAAATATGGGAGGAAAAGTTATCACAACCCCCCGTAGTGCACCTCTGGATGAAATTCTTGGACTGTGTCTCTTGTCAGACAATGAACCATTGAAAGATGAAACCATATACCGAATTTGAATGTGAAATATCCAATCAATTATGAGATATTGCGAAAAAACTATTATTATTTCTCAACTTCATCGCCCTGTATCTCTAGAACTGAACACTTGAGGACCGTATGTCCCTATCTCAGTGATTATGAAATCACGAAAGCTATCACCTGTCAAGCGTTGTCGGTCGAATTTCGCAACACCCTGTATAGCCCTGTAAGTCTCAAAACGGAGCCCAAAATGAGAAATATCATCAAGTCAAATTATTATTGTTTGTCAAAGAATGTGTGCGTATACCAGTTATTCATTTTTTTAAATCATCACGCATTTTTTTTCAATAATCAATCTCAAAAAACGCTAGTTCTCGATGACGTGACATATACCGATAAGCACTAATTATAGTGTTTCATCGCTGAATCATGCTGATATCGTATATACAGGCTGATTCACGGTGAATGGTACATTAGACGTTTCTGGAGAACGCAACGTAGGATTATTTTGAAAATTCAGTTCCTTGGATAATTAGTTGTTCTATCGACCCCCAGCGAGCACAAACATCCCTGGGATGTTTTGGGATGTTTTAAAATGTTGGCATGAAGATGGTTATTTTGAGACGTAATATGCACTGACCAAAGAGGTCTTCGAAGGATATTGAAGTATTGTTTTTATTCTTCTGTGGCATTTCTTTGTTTGCTTACTGAGAGGTATCCCTGGGATGTTTTGGGATGTTTTAGAAATGTAGGCATGAGGATGTTTTTTTGAGGCGTAATATGCACTTCCCAAAGAAGTCTTAGAAGGATATTGAAAGTATTGTTTTTGTTCTTTTGTGCCCTTTCTTTGTTTGCCTCACCACAACGTCTCATGCTTACGTCACAATACGATGAATTCTGATTTGTTTTCGATTTTGTTCTTCTTGTTCGCAATTGGCATTCGCGTTTGCAGCGTGTCACGCTTACATCACGCTGTTAACGAACAGAAATGAATTTGGTGAAGTTTGTTGTGTTAGAGAAGACTTATTTGGTTTGTAATAATGACCATCAGATGCAAGATGTGTTGTTCGGTGCCTCAGTCCCACTAAGCAAAGTAATATCTCAACAATATTGCAGCAATATTTCAATGTTATGTGTAATGTTACATCAGATATTGTCGCTATCTTACTGCTAGGTCGCAGCAACTACTGAAACGGACGTTCAGCAATATTATGAATGTAATGTTCGCAAATGAATCATTCCAGCAGAGTTATTGTAACATTGTGTATGAAGTGAAGTAACATTTCATACTCAATGAACGAATGTAATCTTATTGTTATATTTTGTTAAGGTAACTGGCAACATAAAATAAAAAGTAAAGGAAAATTACATATTTTATATTATGAATTATACATAGTAACAATATTCTAATAATCGAATAATATCGTGTCGACTATTTCATAATTTAAAAGTAGATTGAAAAAATTTCTAAATATTTTTGATATAACGGTACTAGGTCTCATAGGCACTGCACTGCATAAGAACCTGGAACAAAGGAAATAATGATAAAATAAAATAGTCAGGAATCTACCTGTTAGTTGAGTTAGTTCATCTACCGGTTAAACTTGAGAGTTGAGGATTGTATACTTGATTCTGGAAATATTCATTTTCCAAGGTATGCTGAGAGTATCCTCATAATATACACTGAAGATAATATGAATATTTCTCAGCATCTAGAAAATATTCTGAAGAACTTTATTTGAGGTTGTTTTAGAATGAATTGTGAGTGCGAGCTCAAAGTTTTTTCTACAACAGCTAAGTGCAGTAAAATGAGAGATAAGATTTGATGATTCGAGCAATGATTCTACTATCACTATGAGGTTAAACAAAACCTCAATGTCCCTAAGTGTTTCAGTAATAATCAGGATTGATTTCATATAATTTGTAATGTTTTATAGAGTTCCTGATAAAGAGCCGATAAAGACCCGAAAGCTCAAACAGAAACAATAAGAGAGTAGGTACACTTTGATTCACTTTGACTGCATTCACTGACTGAATTCACGAGGTTGTCCTATAACTTTGAGTAGGTATACGAATAACGAATAATTATAATCATTCTATGTTATTTTTTGTCGATCGAACGATCCGCTTAGATCAATAAACGATGTATGAATTTGTAAAATGTATACCTAACCTAGAATAACTGATGTTGACTTACCTAACCATCAACTGCTAACTGCGATTCAAAACCTTCCCAACTGCCTAATATCACATATATCGCCAGATCACCACTTATACCTCAATTTATGTTCCAAAGTATTTTATTTATTGGTATCATTTGCCATTTGGACGTGTACAACAACAAAATACCTGTTACCGAAGCCAAACACGAACAAATATGGCGACTAAGATACTGGCGTTTGTCGAATGCGAAGTTTGCGACTGCGCGTAGGCATTTAATGAAATGGCGTCTCTCGATCGATACCCAATGTAGCATTTTGTATATTTCACATCAGCTTCTCCGCAGTTGCAAAATTATGCATGGTGGAGAACATTTCAAAAATTGGGAAACCTATTTCCAATTATATGTCTGTATGTAGTAAGCACTACTCAGAAACCGATTAAGAAGGTTATTTCATATCAAGAAAATATTTTTTGGTTCAATCTATTTTCAATGCATTTTTTCATTCAAGGGAAATGGAATCCTAATGCAAAAGTTCATTTTGACAAAAGGCTTTTGAGAAAAGTAACTCGAAAATGGTTTTTTTACAGCGATTTAATGTGCGCAAGACGCGTTGAAAATGTTTTGTTGTGTCCATGAAAAGGCTTTAAAAAGAACTAGGGAGAAGGTAGTTATTTTGTGACATATCAAGGACATGCATCTCGATAATTGCCGCCTGCGGCGGACATTGGCTGTTCTATAATAGTTCTATTCATGTGTGAACAGAACATCGCAGTGGAGGTTCAATGTCTCGAAATCTCGTACTTTTAACATCTCTGAGATGTTTTTGTGCTCGCTGGGTGTTGGCCAGTAAAGGGCCACAACTTCTTAGAGTTCAATTATTTACAAACATCTTAACATGACAAGGCCATCATCGTATTTTCAACTGATGGTTACTTAGCATAGGAAAATCATAGGCCCATTACCAATACATCGGCATCGCCACTTTCCCAGACTTGCCTGCACTAGGCCGGACTCCCGGTAGTTCAATGTTTGCTGGGTATCTCGAAAAGGAGCACATCTAGCGTTGATTGAGAAAGTGTACCTTTTTTACTTAAAATAAGGTGTGGGAATAAGGTTATTTCATCCTGCCAGGGAACTATAACGTTCTAGTTCTTGATATTGATATACACATAATGAATGTAAAAATGATCAAAAGTAATATAGTTTATAACTAAAAATATACAAATATTAAAAAAAAATCGTGAGAAATAAATAGAAAAAAGTAGGTATTAGAAAGGGTATATAGGGCCCCACAGATTGTAGATACTCCAATGTGTTGTACCTCTATACCCATATCAGAGTGGTATAAAAATAAATCAATATTTTGGTGTTCTATATGTTCAATTTTCTGGAAACATACCAAACATACAAACAGCGATCGTTAATCTATTTCTACTTCCGAGTTACAGGGCGATTTTGGAAAATTGTACTTAAATATCTCTTAAAAGAATAAGGAGGCGGGTACAGGGGCTGAGTTCAGCTCTGTTTTAGCCGCAGTTTTTGAATTTCAGACGGTCGAATACATAGGGACGAGTATTATTTTGATACATCTTCTTCAAAATTACCCGAGATAACTAAGTTGAGAACAGAAATCCGATAAAATATAATTTATTGATGTGTTATGTGTTTGAAATAATAGTAATACGATAGCAAATAACAAATTTTGCATTAGAGGTAAGACGATTTTGTTTGCATTAACATTCTTGAATAATAATGACGAGGCGTCGTGTCTACAATGAATTCCACTCACAAACCTGTTGCTTAGATATTTTATATCCAATGAACTCTTATATCAGGCCATGGCAGTAGAGTAGATATACTAGATGTTACCACATATTACTTATAACTACCTGACAAATACAGATATAGCATTTTACTTGATTCTTTGGGATTTTCTCTCCTCGTTTATATAAAATAAAAATATTCGATTTATTTCAATAAATTTGTAGTAGGTACAGACAGTATATATTTAACAGATATAGCAGTTTGAAAAATTGTATAATTATAATCGATTATTGAGCAAGTATAGGTTGTGTAGTGTTTGCACAGTCAAATGATATACGACAATATTGGTTTTCTATCCGAATAGTATAATTTTGTGTACCTATACCCAAATTAGCGTAGAGGTGGATCCTGAATAATTTAAAAAAATTCATTCATTTTCACCTATGCATCTAAAATACACTATGACTCACAATGTTGACATATTTTAGGTATACATATGAATATAGTACTCTGATTCGTTTTTTAAACTTATCCGGCATTTCTCAAAACTTTTGCTTGAAACTTCTTTGGATTTTTCATCTCCATATAGATATCATGGTGTTCCTCGCAGTAAATATATAAAATGAGCTATACCCTGTATAAGTGTATTTTTTTCAGGTGCGAAATGGGTACGGAGATGATTTTATTACTTCTGTCGATTATCTCCACAATTTTTTCACTAGAAGCAGTTGAATCAACTGAATCACCTAGACCACATATAATATTCATAATCGCGGATGATTTGGTAAGTATACAAATATACCTTCTGCTGATTTATATAATTCATAATTCACTGGTCTAGAGTTCCTAGGGTACGCGATGTAACAAATAAGGAACTTTAGACCAGTGAATAATGGTTATGCACCGCGATTATTCACTGGTGTGAAAAATGGCTATCGTTTTGCTTGAGGAAGTACAACAGTCGTGGACAAAAAATTAATATAACAATTATTAGTTTTCTTAATGTCAAATGAGTTATGATAAAACAGTTGTTAAAAATGAATTTACGGCCAGCGTAGCCTCGTGGTCAAAGCGTCAATGTTCTATCCACGTTATTGGATTGCCGGTAGGTGTGTTCGATTCCCAGCACGACCCCAGAAAATCTTCTGATGGCCTAAGAAAGTGTTTGGGATCACACGTTAATAAAGGTAAGGCCCACGTCATTCCTTGCTCGCACAAGTCTCTCGAAGACTCCTGAGGGTTTCTCGTAAAGGGGGAACCGAATAATGGATAAGAACAATTTTAGAACAACAATTTTTTTAAATCAAATATCAAAAACAATAGAAGTTGTGGACAAAGTATAGTATGCTACTCGCAAATAATGAGCTAATATTCACTCAGGTTAATTATGCCGCACTCGCTAGCTCGTGACATAAACTTAACCTTCGTGAATAGTAGCCCTCATTATATGCTTGTTGAATAATATTTTATTCTTTCCACCACCAGCTATGAATCCTATACCATTATTCACTCCTCTTCAAGGCGTAGAGTGTGTTTTTTCTACCAAGGTAGTTTTTGCCATTTTATGAATTACTGTCAATAAAGACTTATGTTAACCCGAATTCACAATTCTGATCCGAGATTTGCAGAAGTAGCACTCGACCCTAGTAGGTACTTATCAGTTACGACTTGTCATAAAGGCTTTATACTATTAACTACGAAATAGCTACAATGCTCAAAGTGGATTGAAAGGTTAAATAAATACAAAAAGCACGATGTCATTTCCACAAATATTCATGAAATACTTTCCTGGCTAATGCCACGCAGAACATTGAATTACATCCTCCCGAAATCTATGAATCGATACGTATAAACCCATACTTATGCAAGTTTTTCTTTCCCTAATGCCGATTGATTGGAATCGGCATTGATTTTGATTCAGCCAGGTCAATGGCGGCTGAATATCAAGTGAGCTGCCTGGATCAAGTCGGCAGCTTACTTGATATTTAGCCGTCATTGGCCAGGATAACGCTGGGACACCTACATACCGATACCCTAATGCTGACATGTCGTAACCCAACTCGATGAAATTTTACAGGAGGCACGAAAAACGAATAATATTATGAGAACTAGAAAACGGACGTAACCCACAAAATAAATAAGTAAACACAGTTTGTTCGAATACATCGTAAACCACAACTTGGTTCCAACAGGCATATTATTGTATAAAAAAAAAGGTTTTTGGTATTTTATATTAAAATACGAATACAAGATGCTTCTTTGACGCCGAGGTAAAAAAAATAAATAATGCAGAGCACCATGTCAAACTAGTCAGCTGCTATCAACACGCTTTGCTTGTTTGAACTGCACTGTGGGATACGACTAGTTAGACGTGATATAAATGCCGTACGTGGGTTCAGACATGTTGGAAATCGCGGGAATCACCGATTTATCATTTTATTTGGGTTACGAGAATTTAACAGTTAATAGAAATGCATGTCTACTTTCCTTTGGTGAAAAAATACTATTTTTCAATTTTTTGTGGGTTACGACTTATCAGCATTAGGGTATCGATACCGGTTTCAAGCTTTTTTGGCTCTCAAAGACTACCCGGAATTGATGAGAGCCAAAAAAGCTTGAAACCGGTATGTAAGTGTGGTAACGTTAACCTGGCTAAATTTAAATCAATCGGCATTAGGGATAGAAACCGTTACCAAGACGTGCATTAGTATTCGTTTATACGTATCGATGCATATAGATTTTGGACGGATTTAATTCAATGTTCTGCGTGGCATTATCCAGGAAAGTAATTGTTTTCCTCCCGACATCTACCATTGTTGTTCATTTCATGAACATTATTTGTGGAAATGACTTCACATAACTTTAATGATTGAAATATATTACTAGTGGTGAAAAAATTCAATATTCACCTTGGTAGTAAAGCATACTATCACCACACAGGACCTTTATTATAATACCCATCGGCTGAAGCCTCGAGATATAATCTTGGTCCCTGCATGGGTAATTATGGTATTCTTCAATTACTTGGTGTATAAATAGCTATTCTAGTCTAGATATCACTAAACATTCATTATATAGTTTCTCAAAATCTATATACAGCCTTACATACATGAGCGTGTCTTGCTTCAAGTGTAATCCCCTTCGTATTCAGCCACAGCCGTAGTTGAAGACGGCTGTGATTCAGCGGAAGGTGGCGGAAGAATTTTTGTTTTTTTCAAAATATATTATAGGTACCTACTCAAAACGACCTATCAGATGGTATAATATATGAATTGAGTTTGAGTTATCATTTCATCTCAAACATCAGATAGCTATGGTGGTATAGGCAATAATTTATTTTGAAAAATTGTTAGATTTCCTATTTATTGTTCATGCCTCGAATAACCGATACCACTGTATATGGAGTTCCATCAAATTTCATGTAGAGACCGTGTGGAACAATTTGGACACTTATGAAGGGACAGTCCTAAGTCCAAACTGAATAAATGTCATATGTCTACATCAGTGTCTCTGGAGGTCAATTCTTATGACGAACTCAAAACAATTCTCATTTTCACCATAGAGTTTGTCATGAAAATTTGTTGTAGGGTTTCATCTGTACTATCAGATGGTACTCCTCTAATAAAAAAATACATCTAAAAATTTCTTCTTCTTCTTCTTTTGTCAATTGAGAATTTATTTTTTTATTTTAACTAATTTTTTTCGAAAATCAACTTGTCCTTGTGAATATTATTGTATTCAGAAAAAGAATCTCGAACAAAAAAAAACATATAGTGCCATTTGACGAAGAAAAATTCAGTCGCTTTCACTTGGAATTTGTAGAAATAATGATCAGATTTTACTCATAGGATTTGATGAGTAAGTAATTTCTTTCGGGTTATTGTTCTTCAAATTCGTATAGTTGATAGCGGTGCTATGGCTTTGAGCGGATTTTGTCAGTTAGCTTGTATATTTATGAAACATATCGAATATTCTGAACTCATTTTCATTTTTTTAACAGGAATTTTGATACTTGACAGAAAACTAAAAGTTATTTTGTTCAATAGAATCAATCTTCCTGAAGAACATTCATTTTCTTGAGAAAGCACCAATGAAAATTCCTTTCTTCTTTGCTATCATCAATGAGCCGTAACTTATTCCTATGCCTCCCCCCCTCAAATATCGTCTGAATGGGACGGATTGTTACCAAATAAAATATGCAACAAGTTAATGCAATAATGAATAATAATAGGGCTGGAACGACGTCGGTTTCCACGGTTCAAATCAAATCCCCACCCCGAACATAGACGCCTTAGCCTACGGCGGGCTAATTTTGAACCGATACTACGTCAACCCAATATGCACTCCCTCGAGAAGCGCCCTTATGACCGGCAAACATCCCATCCATACGGGCATGCAACACACTGTTTTGTACGGCGCCGAGGCCAGGGGCCTCCCTCTGACCGAGAAACTCCTGCCGCAGTATCTGGAAGAGTTGGGATACGAGAACCACATCGTAGGAAAGTGGCATTTGGGATGCTACAAAAAGGAATATACGCCGCTGTATAGAGGATTCAAGTCACACCTTGGTAAGATAATGATTCATTCTTTCCTTCCTTCCTGTTCGGTTATATGAGTGGCAAACACCCTACCCATACGGGCATGCAATACCCTGTATTGTACGGCGCCGATGCCAGGGGCCTTCCTCTGGCCGAGAAACTTCTGCCGCAATATCTGGAAGAGTTGGGATACGAGAACCACATCTTCGGAAAGTGGCATTTGAGATGCTACAAGAAGGAATATACCCCGCTGTTTACATGATTCAAGTCACACCTTGATAGGAAAATGATTTCTTTTTTCCTTCCTTCCTATTCGGTTGAATGAGCGGCAAACACGCTATCGATACGGGCATGCAACACACTGTATTGTACTGCGGTGATGCCAGGGTCCTTCCTCTGGCCGAGAAACTATCGGCGCAGTATCTGAAAGAGTTGGGATACGAGAACCACATCGTCGGAAAGTGGCATTTGGGATGCTACAAAAAGGAATATACGCCGCTGTATAGAGGATTCAAGTCACACCTTGGTAAGATAATGATTCATTCTTTCCTTCCTTCCTGTTCGGTTATATGAGTGGCAAACACCCTACCCATACGGGCATGCAATACACTGTATTGTACGGCGCCGATGCCAGTGGTCTTCCCCTGGCCGAGGAACATCTGCCGCAGTATCTGGAAGAGTTGGGATACTAGAACCACATCGTCGGAAAGTGGCATTTGCGATGCTACAAGAAGGGATATACCCCGCTGTTTACATGATTCAAGTCACACGTTGGTAGGATAATGATTTCTTCTCTCCTTCCTTCCTATTCGGTTGAATGAACGGCAAACATCCCATCCATACGGGCATGCAACACACTGTATTGTACGGCGCCGATGCCAGGAGCCTTCCTCTGGCCGAGAAACTTCTGCCGCAGTATCTGGAAAAGTTGGGATACTATAACCACATCGTTGGAAAGTGGCATTTGGGATGCTACAAGAAGGAATATACGCCGCTGTTTAGATTATTCAAGTCACACCTTAGTGAGATAATGATTTCCTCTTTCCTTCCTTCCTATTCGGTTAAATGAGCGGCAAACATTCTATCTATACGGGCATTTAACACACTGTATTGTACGGCACCGATGCCAGGGGCCTTCCTCTGGCCGAGAAACTTCTGCCGCAGTATCTGGAAAAGTTGGGATACGAGAACCACATCGTCGAAAAATGGCATTTGGGATGCTACAAGAAGGATCTACCCCGCTGTTAACATGATTCAAGTCACACCTTGGTAGGATAATGATTTCTTCTTTCCTTTCTTCCTATTCGGTTAAATGAGCGGCAAACACCCTGTCCACACGGGCATGCGACACACTGTATTGTACGGCGCCGATGCCTGGGGGCCTTCCTCTGGCCGAGAAACTTCTGCCGCAGTATCTGGAAAAGTTGGGATACGAGAACCACATCGTCGAAAAATGGCATTTGGGATGCTACAAGAAGGATCTACCCCGCTGTTAACATGATTCAAGTCACACCTTGGTAGGATAATGATTTCTTCTTTCCTTTCTTCCTATTCGGTTAAATGAGCGGCAAACACCCTGTCCACACGGGCATGCGACACACTGTATTGTACGGCACCGATGCCAGGGGCCTTCCTCTGGCCGAGAAACTTCTGCCGCAGTATCTGGAAAAGTTGGGATACGAGAACCACATCGTCGAAAAATGGCATTTGGGATGCTACAAGAAGGATCTACCCCGCTGTTAACATGATTCAAGTCACACCTTGGTAGGATAATGATTTCTTCTTTCCTTTCTTCCTATTCGGTTAAATGAGCGGCAAACACCCTGTCCACACGGGCATGCGACACACTGTATTGTACGGCGCCGATGCCAGGGTGCCTTCCTCTGGCCGAGAAACTTCTGCCGCAGTATCTGGAAGAGTTGGGATACTAGAACCACATCGTCGGAAAGTGGCATTTGGGATGCTACAAGAAGAGATATACCCCGCTGTTTACATGATTCAAGTCACACCTTGGTAGGATAATGATTTCTTCTTTCCTTCCTTCCTATTCGGTTGAATGAACGGCAAACATCCCATCCATACGGGCATGCAACACACTGTATTGTACGGCGCCGATGCCAGGAGCCTTCCTCTGGCCGAGAAACTTCTGCGGCAGTATCTGGAAGAGTTGGGATACTAGAACCACATCGTCGGAAAGTGGCATTCGGGATGCTACAAGAAGGGATATACCCCGCTGTTTACATGATTCAAGTCACACCTTGGTAGGATAATGATTTCTTCTTTCCTTCCTTCCTATTCGGTTAAATGAGCGGCAAACACCCTGTCCACACGGGCATGCGACACACTGTATTGTACGGCGCCGATACCAGGGGGCCTTCCTCTGGCCGAGAAACTTCTGCCGCAGTATCTGAAGAGTTGGGATACTAGAACCACATCGTCAGAAAGTGGCATTTGGGATGCTACAAGAAGGGATATACCCCGCTGTTTACATGATTCAAGTCACACCTTGGTAGGATAATGATTTCTTCTTTCCTTCCTTCCTATTCGGTTGAATGAACGGCAAACATCCCATCCATACGGGCATGCAACACACTGTATTGTACGGCGCCGATGCCAGGGGGCCTTCCTCTGGCCGAGAAACTTCTGCCGCAGTATCCGGAAGAGTTGGGATACTAGAACCACATCGTTGGAAAGTGGCATTTGGGATGCTACAAGAAGGAATATACGCCGCTGTTTAGATTATTCAAGTCACACCTTGGTGAGATAGATTTCCTCTTTCCTTCCTTCCTATTCGGTTAAATGAGCGGCAAACACTCTATCGATACGGGCATGCAACACACTGTATTGTACGTCGCCGATGCCAGGGGCCTTCCTCTGGCCGAGACACTTTTGCGGCAGTATCTGGAAGAGTTGGGATACTAGAACCACATCGTCGGAAAGTGGCATTAGGGATGCTACAAGAAGGGATATACCCCGCTGTTTACATGATTCAAGTCACACCTTGGTAGGATAATGATTTCTTCTTTCCTTCCTTCCTATTCGGTTAAATGAGCGGCAAACACCCTGTCCACACGGGCATGCGACACACTGTATTGTACGGCGCCGATGCCAGGGGGCTTTCCTCTGGCCGAGAAACTTCTGCCGCAGTATCTGGAAAAGTTGGGATACGAGAACCACATCGTCGAAAATTGGCATTTGGGATGCTACAAGAAGGATCTACCCCGCTGTTAACATGATTCAAGTCACACCTTGTTAGGATAATGATTTCTTCTTACCTTTCTTCCTATTCGGTTAAATGAGCGGCAAACACCCTGTCCACACGGGCATGCGATACACTGTATTGTACGGCACCGATGCCAGGGGCCTTCCTCTGGAAAATGGCATTTGGGATGCTACAAGAAGGATCTACCCCGCTGTTAACATGATTCAAGTCACACCTTGGTAGGATAATGATTTCTTCTTTCCTTTCTTCCTATTCGGTTAAATGAGCGGCAAACACCCTGTCCACACGGGCATGCGACACACTGTATTGTACGGCGCCGATGCCAGGGTGCCTTCCTCTGGCCGAGAAACTTCTGCCGCAGTATCTGGAAGAGTTGGGATACTAGAACCACATCGTCGGAAAGTGGCATTTGGGATGCTACAAGAAGAGATATACCCCGCTGTTTACATGATTCAAGTCACACCTTGGTAGGATAATGATTTCTTCTTTCCTTCCTTCCTATTCGGTTGAATGAACGGCAAACATCCCATCCATACGGGCATGCAACACACTGTATTGTACGGCGCCGATGCCAGGAGCCTTCCTCTGGCCGAGAAACTTCTGTGGCAGTATCTGGAAGAGTTGGGATACTAGAACCACATCGTCGGAAAGTGGCATTTGGGATGCTACAAGAAGGGATATACCCCGCTGTTTACATGATTCAAGTCACACCTTGGTAGGATAATGATTTCTTCTTTCCTTCCTTCCTATTCGGTTAAATGAGCGGCAAACACCCTGTCCACACGGGCATGCGACACACTGTATTGTACGGCGCCGATGCCAGGGGGCCTTCCTCTGGCCGAGAAACTTCTGCCGCAGTATCTGAAGAGTTGGGATACTAGAACCACATCGTCAGAAAGTGGCATTTGGGATGCTACAAGAAGGGATATACCCCGCTGTTTACATGATTCAAGTCACACCTTGGTAGGATAATGATTTCTTCTTTCCTTCCTTCCTATTCGGTTGAATGAACGGCAAACATCCCATCCATACGGGCATGCAACACACTGTATTGTACGGCGCCGATGCCAGGGGGCCTTCCTCTGGCCGAGAAACTTCTGCCGCAGTATCCGGAAGAGTTGGGATACTAGAACCACATCGTTGGAAAGTGGCATTTGGGATGCTACAAGAAGGAATATACGCAGCTGTTTAGATTATTCAAGTCACACCTTGGTGAGATAGATTTCCTCTTTCCTTCCTTCCTATTCGGTTAAATGAGCGGCAAACACTCTATCGATACGGGCATGCAACACACTGTATTGTACGTCGCCGATGCCAGGGGCCTTCCTCTGGCCGAGACACTTTTGCGGCAGTATCTGGAAGAGTTGGGATACTAGAACCACATCGTCGGAAAGTGGCATTAGGGATGCTACAAGAAGGGATATACCCCGCTGTTTACATGATTCAAGTCACACCTTGGTAGGATAATGATTTCTTCTTTCCTTCCTTCCTATTCGGTTAAATGAGCGGCAAACACCCTGTCCACACGGGCATGCAACACACTGTATTGTACGGCGCCGAGGCCAGGGGTTCAATTCTCGAACTGTTCGAATTCAAATCGTATACGAATAAAGAAAGATCATACGTATGTATTGCTTGTTGAAGTGGAATAGACGATCGAATTCGTATAGGAAATAAACTCGAGAATAGACCCTCAGGGGCCTTCCTCTGGCCGAGACACTTTTGCGGCAGTATCTGGAAGAGTTGGGATACTAGAACCACATCGTCGGAAAGTGGCATTAGGGATGCTACAAGAAGAGATATACCCCGCTGTTTACATGATTCAAGTCACACCTTGGTAGGATAATGATTTCTTCTTTCCTTCCTTCCTATTCGGTTGAATGAACGGCAAACATCCCATCCATACGGGCATGCAACACACTGTATTGTACGGCGCCGATGCCAGGAGCCTTCCTCTGGCCGAGAAACTTCTGCGGCAGTATCTGGAAGAGTTGGGATACTAGAACCACATCGTCGGAAAGTGGCATTTGGGATGCTACAAGAAGGGATATACCCCGCTGTTTACATGATTCAAGTCACACCTTGGTAGGATAATGATTTCTTCTTTCCTTCCTTCCTATTCGGTTAAATGAGCGGCAAACACCCTGTCCACACGGGCATGCGACACACTGTATTGTACGGCGCCGATGCCAGGGGGCCTTCCTCTGGCCGAGAAACTTCTGCCGCAGTATCTGAAGAGCTGGGATACTAGAACCACATCGTCAGAAAGTGGCATTTGGGATGCTACAAGAAGGGATATACCCCGCTGTTTACATGATTCAAGTCACACCTTGGTAGGATAATGATTTCTTCTTTCCTTCCTTCCTATTCGGTTGAATGAACGGCAAACATCCCATCCATACGGGCATGCAACACACTGTATTGTACGGCGCCGATGCCAGGGGGCCTTCCTCTGGCCGAGAAACTTCTGCCGCAGTATCCGGAAGAGTTGGGATACTAGAACCACATCGTTGGAAAGTGGCATTTGGGATGCTACAAGAAGGAATATACGCCGCTGTTTAGATTATTCAAGTCACACCTTGGAGAGAATCTCGAACTGTTTGAATTCAAATCGTATACGAATAAAGAAAGATCATACGTATGTATTGCTTGTTGAAGTGGAATAGACGATCGAATTCGTATAGGAAATAAACTCGAGAATAGACCCTCAGGGGCCTTCCTCTGGCCGAGACACTTTTGCGGCAGTATCTGGAAGAGTTTGGATACGAGAACTACATCATTGGAAAGTGGCATTTGTGATGCTACAAGAAGGAATATACGCCGCTGTATAAAAGATTCAAGTCACACCTTGGTAAGATAATGATTCATTCTTTCCTTCCTTTATATTCGGTTGAATGAGCGGCAAAAACACATACTACAGACACATTGTATGAATAGAAGATGATGTTTGTTAAAATTTCTGAAACTGTACTATATATGTCCTCCGTGTGAGACAGAGGTGGCTGGTGTTGGCCAAGGTGGTCAGGTACACTGTCATCTGCTATAGCTTTGCTCGAAAGTACTATCTATGAAAAAGGAACAAATATCGTCGCGGCGGTTTTTGTATCAGTATCCACACTGTGGAAAATTCCTATCAACCATAGTCAGAAATCGAATAACCCTGCATGAAACTCTAATAGCATAGGGGACAAGCGAGTTATCACCTGTGCTTATATAGTCGACTTTGCTGATTATAACCCACCTGCGATTATTAGATATAGAACCTTGCTGCCACTAGCGAGTGCATTATCTGACTTTGCTACCGCTAGTGAGTGCATATAATAATGGTAGTGGGGCAATGTTATAATCGTAGTTAGGGAACTTTGCTACTCTTGATGGGTGGTCATATAGATAGGTGCATGATCTTCTTGCTGTAGTTATCAGTTATTTTCCAGTATTGTTGTCATCAAGAAAGGTGAAATTTTGACTGATATCCAATTTCACTTCCCATAATTTCCACCCTGATGTTTGGTTTGAATAGCAATTTATTGATTCCTAAAGAAAGTTTCGAACCAATGATCTTTGAAATTCAATAGATCAATTGATTCATGCACCGTCAGGAAAAACAAAAAGTTTTTGAGTATTTAATAGAAAAGAGAATTTTTCTGAAACTTTCTGAAACCATTGTATTTCAAAAACTAGGCAAGTTATCACAGATGCGTACAGGAAAACGAAATGTTACCCGTGAAATCATTCAAATATAATTTCATAACCTGAACATTTTTGCTTACAACAAGTTTTTAGACCACATTCTATAGAGAAGCTCTGCAACATATTTGACAATTTCAAAGTTTCATGGTACCAAAAAGAAGGAAATGTAGAACGTAAAATATTTGATTTTCAGTCGAAATACCTCGAAAAAACTCACTTTTATCATTTCATCAATCCTGGTAATAACTGAAGCACTCATCTACGAAAGCACTGAAAGGGACACAGAAGAATTTTTTAGTTGTTTAAAAATGTTTCCATTTTATATTTGAATTCAGATTCAGATTTCAAATAATGAATTGAATTCAAGAGGGGAAGTATTCGTAACTGTCGTCTCGTCGAGATTGTCGTCCTGTACATGGGTTTGCATCCAGAGCCCAACTGTGAATGATTGATCAAGCAAAATATCGAAAAACGATAAGTATTTAAGAATTATTTTCGTCGCCGACTTACAGTTGTATTATTGGTAGTGAGTGCAGTTCTATGCGATGAACCTTGCAGCCACAAGAACATATAACTCACTAGTAGTAATTCAGCTAGACAATTATGAAAAAATCATGCTGTCCCAGAGTGACTGCCTGATAGCGACAGCAGTATATACCTTCCTGTGGCAGGAAATTCACTCTCAGCAAAGTCGTTGCTATCATAGGATTTCAAGGTGCTGGTTCTATTCGAAAATGTATAACGGTAATATTATTTCTTTTGATGGTAGCAAGAAATATCTCAGCAAAACTCTAATAGCACAATTTTCCTCAGTCCAACCGCCGCGGCGGTCGTTTATGAATCAGTTTCCAACCGCCGCGGCGGTCGTGTAGACAGTATCCGATAATTATTGGGAATTTTATCTCAGGTTATTGGACCGGCCACCAGGACTACTTCGACCACTCTGCCGTCGAGGCCCCCGGTTGGGGCCTGGACATGCGCAGAGGCATGGAGGCGGCCTACGACCTGCACGGCCGCTACTCCACCGACTTGTTCGGCGAGGAGGCGGCGCGGATCGTCCGGCTGCACGACCCCACCCGGCCCCTATTCCTGTATCTCGCGCACGCTGCCGTGCACTCGGGCAACCCGTATAATCCGCTGCCGGCACCCGATGAGAGCGTGGAGGAGTTCGGTTATGTCGAGGGGTATAAAAGGAGGAGGTTCGCAGGTATGGAGAGATTTCAAAAATTTTACCTCGAAGAGGAAACGCCAAATTTCAGTGTCATTTGTGTCGTTTTATTTGCAATTTTTCCGATTCCGGTTGCTACTTTTCATTCCGACATACTACAAGGAAGGACGTGGAATGACTGTTGACAGTTGTCAAAGAATTAATTTAGATTGACGAAGAACGAAACTTTTTGAGAGTAGAAGATATTCATAAGACATTTTTATCGCGAGGTTCACAAGTTTATGAGCCTTTCAAGTAAGACAGGTTGCATATACAGTGAGGACGTAAAAAGTCCTCCCCCCCCCCTTATCTTTTGAACGGAAGAAGCTATCGAGGTCGGGTAAAATTCAGGTAAAAAGGTACTACTTTTTGGCATAAAAATGATTGTGGTCACGTGGCCTAGTGTCAAGAGGGTACCATCAACTTTTTTTTTTCAAATGTAAAAGGGGGTCACGTGGCATCTGGTTTTGAAGGCCTTCCGATTCTCTATCCACCACCGCTGTGTTTGTGAAAATCGACCAAGCCGTTTCAAACTGACGAGGCATTTGAAAATTATAAAAACAAGCTTAAACCTATGAGAACTGTCAAAAGTATCGATATGATTAACGTCAATATTAGACTGGCATTGAAATGAAATGATATTTGGAGTCTCCAGCAAAATAAATAAGGTAAAAAAAACTGGAACAAAAACCACATTTTGAAATACCAATAATATGCGCACCTGTCTTACCACAAAAAATTTACTCTTCGACCATAATCAGTGACGGAGTTGAAATTCTGCTGCAATTAATAGTTGAAATAATTTTTTGTGAAATTTTTGAAGCAAATTTCAATAGCTTGTCAGTTTGGAACGGCTTGGTCAATTTTCACTAACACAGAGGTGTTGAATAGAGAATCGGAAGGCCTTCAAAACCAGGTGCCACGTGACCCCCTTTTACATTTGAAAAAAAAAAGTTGATGGTACCCTCTTGACACTAGGCCACGTGACCACAATCATTTTTATGCCAAAAAGTAGTAAAAGTAGTACCTTTTTACCTGAATTTTACCCGACCTCGATAGCTTGTTCCGTTCAGAAGTTAAGGGGGGGAGGAGGACTTTTTACGTCCTCACTGTATGTGCATTCCCAAGTCAAATAAATACTCTCGATCTCAAAAGAGTTTGTCCAATCACCACAATCACTGCACCAAATATGCGTTGATTCATTTTCTAGTTTCTCAACTCAAGTATGTTAATTTTGAAATTATTCGGAGCCCCAATACATAAATATAACCTCTATCATCTATGGGTTGCGTGCAAGAACTGTCAGATGACCGACACTGGAGGCAAAACATTAAAACACAATGTCACTTTTCTTATTTATTTACAAGTGATCGAAATAGTTTTTCACAATTATTTTGGCATACGAATCGTATTTTTCCGCTATTCATCAATTCGCTCATGCCATCACATTGTGCTGTTGTAAAATGCACAAAAACTGCAGCGGAAGATGAAGGAATTCGGATGGTACATTATGATTTAAAAGTAAGTACCTACTATAGTCACTCACCTATAGTTTTCATTTTTGAAATTTGGTAATTTCTCTGATTTCTCATCGGAATTTTTTCTGCGATAGGAGCTAATAGAAATACACCTGAAATTTCTAAAATAATGCAAGAAGATTGGATTCATGCAATCAATCGGGAGGACTGGTCTGACATGCTGACGATCGTGTGTGTTGTAGACATTTTCAATCTATTAGCAGTATTAGCTTGTATTGCAGAAGTGGCAGAAGGCAGAAGGAATTTTAATAAGGAATGACAACATTTCATAATGATAACTATGTGAGATTACTATTTACCTGAAAAATCATATTCCCTAGTCTCTTGCTGCATTTTTTGTGCATTGTACAACAGCACAATGCGAAGGCATGCTTGAATTAATGAATAACGCAAGAAACACGATTCGTTTGCCAAAATATTGTGAAAAACTATTTCAATCCTTTGATTCCTCTGTAACCAAGTAAAAAAGTGAGGTTGTGTTTCAATAATTCACAGAAGAATGAGGTTGTCTTTCAATATTTTGCCTCCAGGGTCGGTCATCGTGCACGCGACCTATTATATGTCAATTCTCTCAGGCAAGGTCAAGAAGTTTCTCGTCTTATTTGCAAACCTCATTCTGTTCCCACCACCGCTACCAGAAGAAAACAAATAAAACACAGCTATTTTGTTCATTATATGTACATACAGTGTGTCTCACTTGTAATGGAAACAACCCTGTATCTCACGTTATCGTTGGGTAAGGATCCTGAAATTTGCTGGAGTGAGAGATAAAAATGCACTCATCACCAAGTGGGATCTTCAGTGATATACATTGCTCACCAACAGCCATGGAACCATCCCAATTTCCGGAAAATGATATTAGGAGTCGAAATAGGTTGAAAATCACTTCGGATTCGGAATCGGGACGCCCAATTCACTAATTATTCATATTTTTTCTGGAACATTTTCAGTTCTGAAAATTTCATTTTTGTCTCACTTGACTTGATGATTATTATCATTACATGTCTAATAGGATTATCCATTCGCAATACTCGCAACAAAACCAAAAACACTTGTTTTGAAGCGATGCTCAGCAAACTGGACCACTCCGTCGGAGAACTAATCAAAGCCTTTCAGGAATCACGAATGCTGAACAACAGCATATCATAGTCTTCACTACCGACAATTCATGTGTACTTGACTTGATAATTATTATCGTTACAATTATGTCTAATAATATTATTCATTCGCAATACTCGCAACAAATCCAAAAACACTTGTTTTGAAGCGATGCTCAGCAAACTGGACCACTCCGTCGTCGGAGAATTAACCAAAGCCCTTCAAGAATCCCGAATGCACAACAACAGCATCATAGTCTTCACGACCAACAATTCATGTGTACTTGACTTGATGATTATTATCATCACATGTCTAAAGGGCGCCGTACATTATGCTATTTCTCGGCAAGTTCGAGGCAATGCAATTTTCTCGCAATTTTCTCAATTTATTGCAAGTCGCCGTATATTGAGATATTTCTGTCATATTTTCTTGTTCATATTCACTATTTTCAGGTTTTTTGAGCCTCCAATGTATTTTTACAAATCCATAAACACTTGTTTTAAAGCGATGCTCAGCAAACTGGACCACTCCGTCGGAGAACTAACCAAAGCCCTTCAAGAATCCCAAATGCTGAACAACAGCATCATAGTCTTCACGACCGACAACGGCGGTCCCGCTGTGGGCTTCAACCTGAACGCGGCCTCCAACTGGCCGTTGCGGGGCGTGAAGAACACCCTGTGGGAGGGGGGCGTGAGGGGAGCCGCCCTCGTCTGGAGCCGTCTGATCCAGGTGCCGAAAAGGGTGGCCAAACAGTCGATGCACATCGTGGATTGGCTGCCTACGTTGGTCGAGGCTGCTGGAGGAGATGTGAGGTTAGCCCAGCAAACATTAATAAATGGTCCATCACTTTTTTAGAGCAGTGTGTCACCCCAGTGAATTATCATTGGCTTAATATTGGCATTTTTCAATGGTAAATCACGGAAGTTGCCCACTAGTCGACTCAACGCCAAGTGATGACTGAATGACGTATTTTCCGTGCGATCTCAATGAGAATAGGTCGCGTGCACGATGATCGACCCTGGCGGTGAAACATTGAAACACAACCTCACTTTTTTGTAAGACATTGAAACACAAACTCACGTTTCTTACTTGTTTACAAAGGAACCAAAGGATTGAAATAGTTTTTGACAATATTTTGGGATTCGAATTGTGTTTTTTCGGCTATTCATCAATTCAAGCATACCATCACATTATTCTGTTGTACAATGCACAAAGAATGCAGCCAGAGACAAAGGAACGTGATTTTCCAGGTAAATAGTGATCTCACATAGTTTTCATTATGAAAATCTGTCATTTCTCATTTGAATTCGTTCTGCCACTTCTGCAATAGGACCTAATACCGCTAATAGAGTGAAAATATCTATAACACACACGATCATATTTCTTCAGCACGGGTCAGCCCAGTCCTCCCGGTTGATTGCATGATTCCTATCTTCATGCCTTCAGAGACTTCATGCACGAGTATTTCTATTAGCTGCTATTGCAGAAGGGATACCAATGCGAAATGGCAAAATTTCGAAATGAAAACTATATGTGAGTAACTAGTGACTACAGTACTTCTAGATCACAATGTATACCTACCTCACATACCCTAAAAATTCGGATTCTTGTGCCTCTCGCTGTAATACGCACTGCAATGCGCACTATTCTTTGATATTACGGGACCTATACTGATAGATACAAATTGATTTCATTAACCGACCTGAAGTCGTTCAAATTTCAGACGAGAAGTATCCCAGAATTGCCAACTGAAGAAAGTAAAGCTTCAACATATAGTACCATATATATTTACTTCAGTCATAAAAGTCAAAAAGTAATCATTTTTTCAGTCAGTTATCTGGAATCGATGGAATTAGCTTATGGACAGCATTATCAAAGGATGAACAATCCAAAAGAACTGAGATCCTTCACAATATTGATGACATATATCAGAATGCTGCCGTTACTGTAGGATCTTGGAAATTATTGAAAGGTAAGAAACCACCTGTCGTTAATGAATAAATTAGGTACTTGATTGATCCTATTCTTTCGAATACCACCTATATTTTTTAAGTTAATTCGAGTAGTTATCCTATCGAGTTCAGATATTTGTATCTTACCTGAATTCTTTTTCTTCATTTCCGCCTAAAAATGCCATCATCGAGTTGGTTGAAATCCTTCAATGACATCAGGATATCATATGGGTCTGATTAGCTTGACGCGGTTCCGGTCTGCCAAAGTCCTCAGTTTCCTCTTGCAATCTGATACCAGTCGAAACGTCACTTCCTGGCTTTTCTATTGCATTTAGTGCCGCTTGACTATCTGACATAATGTGGATCTGATCATTCTCCACAGCTCTCATTTTATGTTCCTCTGCACATTGGAGAATTGCGTAGGTACTAAACTGAGGCATATTTCCCCAATGAGTAGCTAAGGCTAGTCTCCGGTAGAGTTCTTGAATGTACTTGATACTGCTGTTTTGACGTTTTTTGAATATCAACAAAAAACGCCAAAACAGCAGTGTCAAGTACATTTAGGAACTCTATTCTCCGGGTGTTTCTCCTGACCCAATCGCATTCTTGGGCCCGATCTGTATTACCAGATCTTTCCCTGCAATATGATGCAGAGTTCTTCATTATTCCATTCAGTTCTGTATGGTATGGACACTGAAAATGAAGTGTCAAATATTGAACTTTTCGGAATGCGACCTGTTCTCAAAAATATGTCCTTGCTAACTATTCTGACGATACTCATAATATGTCCTGTTTCTGTGTTGACATTGCCCAGTGTGTATTTTGTAGTCCTAAGGCACCAAGCATCGCCTCTCACAGTGAAGGGGACGCAGATCCAGTAATGTTTCCATGACTGTGGTTCCTAGACATGTAAGTCTTCGTACCTTGCTCAGTCTTTATAAGACCCTTCTTTGTTATGTCTTTGGGCCGCCATACCAGAGAGACATGTAATAGAAGGCATTACCAACTTTTTATACTTTTTATACAGCCAGTACGATGTGTGTGGTCTGTCTCCATTTTTTCCTACAAGAGCGTCTGGTCGTCATCGCAGTGACATTTCCGCTTTGTTGGTTGTTGTTTCCAGTTGTTGGTGCCAATTTGGTACCATTCTGGTTTTCCCCAAATATTTTGAAAACGGTATAGGCAACTTTTGTCTGATTGAACTTCGTATCATTCAACGTTTCCGAGAAGCCAATAGTGGTACGACCTGTGTACAGTGTGTCCCAAATTGTGAGAGATAGAGAGAATTACGAAAGGTTCAGCAAATATAAATAGCAGTTTGTTCACATTTTCATTGTGAAATTCGAGTTTTTTATACGAAAATACGTGAGTACCAAAAACATTTGAAAAAAAAAAACATCGCATGAAAAGTGCACTTTTATCCCATGTTCAACTATCAAATGTCGTGGAGATGAATTTGAGATTTACTCTTCCTTCAATACAGACAATGCTGTGTATTACGCACTTCAAATCAATATGGTCGTCTATATAATGATCAATTAATATTATTTTTTATTCGTATTAAAAATACCTGCGGCCACATTTCGATAGGCAACCCGGTAAAAATATACCCTCGTATTCATGAATATATAATAAAATTTAATTTTCATTGAATAACAGATGAACGCAGTAATCCTGCAGTCGGATCTCGTACTATCATAGTTACCTAGAGTTACTAAATGTACATGACACTGCTGTTTTGACGTTTTTTGTATAGTACGGAGACTATGACAAGCACTGACAAGCAGGCATAACCAAATAAATTGATGGAAAAAGCGAAAACTGACAGTACACGGACGTACATGACATAAATTTCAAAGGTTTGACAAATTGAGACGAATAGGAGAAAGATGCAAGTTTGTGCAGTTTCCAACTGTGAGAACACGGAAAATCAATTCACTCTATTCGAATTCCCATCGGATAACGTAATTCTACCAAAATGGAAACAGAATATGATGCGGCCGGCATGGAATATAGGTTCAGGCCACAAAATTTGCGAGGTTTTCAAATTTCTTGGTAGGATATAGACAATTTTTCAACATATTTCTATCAGGTACACTTCAGAACGGAAGATTTGATGTTGAAGAACAGGATTCTATTGAGAGAAATAGCCGAACCCACAATTTATAAACTGAGCGAGTATCGAAAAAGAACCTTATTCCAATTTAGAACCAACAAGAAAAGAAAAACTTGCAGATAATGAAATCCATTTCGAACATAATAAGAAAGAAAAAGACTTGAGAATAGAATTTTTAGAGCAGGAATATCCAAAAATCCAAGGTTTACGAGTGGAAGAAAGTGGGGAATTAACAAATAGAAGAAAAAAATAAAGATTTAGATGCAAGAATCAGAGTTAGCAAATTTCAGAACTATTACCGAAAAATTATTTCAGATTTGAAACAAAATCAGCAAATATCTTCAGAGAAATACAAGAAAATTGAACAAGCAAATATCCAGGCAATATTGAACAAAATTCACGCGTGGTTCATATTCAATAGTATGTGTATTTCGTTGGTATATATGTATTGAGGTCCTTCAGCCTTATCATTCAATATTTCGAAATGAAATACTTTTCTAATCAATTTATCGTACCCTTTTACCCATACTCGAGGCATAGATCTAGATCTATGCTCGAGGAGACGCTATGCACTCCCACACAAAAATCAAAGACACAGAAAGATATATGGATGTACTCTTCCTAGGATTTATAGAGGATGGAAGATGCGAGGATCCTTTATCTAAGCGAAAAACATATTCTCGTCTTTGTCTGGCAAAACATAATTTGCTTCAAAATCATTTGTGGTTATGTTTGCTTGTCACTGCTTGTCGAGTGTCCGTACTCTAATCATTCCAGAATTACGTCATTTGACAGGTTGCTGAGCGGCAAACATTGTATTTTGTCAAGATTTGTTATATGGAACCAGAATTAGTGGGATCGTTTTCCTTGGAATCCGAGTTGGAACCCGAAAGAATTTCATAATTTTGTTTCGTGAAACTGTTATTATATTGTGGATGTGGCAGGGATGGCCAGGACTATGCTCATCAAAGGTAACCTAACAGATAGTTTGTGTGCCCCTCAAGAAACCATCTCAAAATCACGTGTTCTAGAATGGTCAATATACAAAAAACGTCAAGCAGCAGTGGCAAGTACATTTAGGAACTCTATATAGTTACCATGATCCCAATGGTGAGGATCGAATTTGATACACCATGTCTGTATCACCATTGCAGGAACGACTTACGACGGCACGTGGGACGGCTGGTACGGCCCCAGCGGCAGAGGACCTCCCTACGCCTACAACACCTCCGCAGTGGAGGACTGTCCCACCGGGCGGGCCTTGAGAGCCGTAGGGGGGGCGGCTAGCGCTGCCCAGATGGCCGCCTTACGACGGGAGGCCGATGTGCAGTGCGAGCCGCCCACGGGCGATTCGACCGCAGGCAATTCCACGGGGGCTTGTAGGCCTCTGGAGGCGCCGTGTCTGTTCAATGTTGAGGAGGATCCTTGCGAAAAGGAGAATTTGGCAAGCAAGTGAGTTCTATTGCAAGAATGACAATGGGCGAGTGGACTTACGCCTATTTCCACAGTCTTCTGCAGTTTGGTGTTGAATTTCGGGGCATTTCAGTTGAATCAACATCTACCTTTATTATACAAAAACGTGCAATTAGAGCAATATTTGGTCTGAGGTACACAGAATCGTGCAGAAATTATTTCAAACTATAAAATATCCACTTTAGCCACTTGAAATAAATACAAAGTTTCACTTTTAATCCATAAAAACAGAGGCTCTTTGCTGCGTCCTGCAAACGTGCATGAATATTCGACTAGAGACAGTTTATAATCTTACCAAACTACCAAACTACTGCTACAATAGATCCCGTAAGGGTCCCCTATACACTGGCATAAAGATACACTATCACCTTCCTTATGCACTGAAAACATACTCAAACTCAAAATTCAAAATCACACTGAAAAAATTACTACACCAACATGTATTTTATAATCTGGAGGAATTCTTTAGTTCAAATTTACGATAGAATGACGTTCTAGTCATGCTGTTACTGAGTTCACCATTATTCTTTATCTATATTTTTCTATTCTGTCTGTTGTTGATCTGATATATACCTGTTAAACGTTACGTTTTCTTTCCCTAAGCTCTATGCATATGATACATCATTGCTATTATGGTTGAATCTGAAATCTGTGATAGCTGTGACCTATCGCATTATATTATAGATTATGTATATTTGGGAAATAAATATCTATATCTATCTGATAACGCATTATTGGCATTCTATTACTCCAGTGTACTCCTAGGGATCTAAATTGATTTTTGCAACACTTCTCACGTCTATGCGTTGTTTTTTTAATTTCAGAGCTCATTTCAAACGAACTTTCATGGCCGCCATTTGGCGATACGTCGAATAAATGGTGACGTCAGTTTTTATACTTACTGTTTCGTTATTGGTCGGATAATCTTCCATTTCCACTCATGAAGCAAGGTTCTCAAGTCACCAATTATAATCGTGTTATCAAGAAGATGTTACAGTCCTGTCGTTAAATAAAACATAATAGGAACCCATGATGTTTTAATTTATTCTTGACTTTTTCGAGCAACCAGCAAGTCCAAATATTTTTCATTCTCCATAACAGAATACCATGTGAATTTTGGAGACTTGGCCATATTGTGCTGAATGCTGAGAACTGACAAGACCACGCCCTCAAGTCGTGCGCCATGGTTGTCACGTTCATCGACTCAAATGTCCTCTAGTGTGAATTATTATAATTATTATTTACACAAATTTATTATAAGCAATAAGCCAAAAATCACAAGGGAACATTTTGAGACAATACTCAATCGAGAGTTTATGAATCATCGAATAACTAATATTACTGAAGTTCCCAATCGTATTTCAACACAAGACATGGCAACTGTGGTATGGTCTGTCCGTACTTAAGAAATCGTGGCGTTTTTTACTTGCGGTAAATATCTGGCTATATGAAAATTCTCGAAAAATATCTGAAACTGAAAGGTATTTGAGTGATGATTCTATTTAAGGAATTAAAAGAAAATAGTTCACTCGCCTATCAAGCTGGGAGCCCACAACGTGTTTTAGTGTCCTATTTGTTCACACTCAGCAGTATAAGAACCACCCAAATTCCACCTTCCACTCAGAGATTCATCAAGTCAAGAAGCTTGATATTTTAATAAACTACCTGACTTGAAAATCAAGCTCGTGATAAATCACATACTTGACTTTACTTGATTCAAGTTATTTATTAATAGACTTGAAATCAAGCTACTTGATATTACTCGATCTTGATATGCACTGATCAAGAGCAAGTCTTCCTATAATGGAATTTTCAGGAACGAAAATACCCGAACAGCATTTTTTGTGATTCAATTGAAAGATATACTGTGGAAGCATTGTGTTGAGAGGCCGATAGTGATTCGCAATTTCAATGATGTTTTTTTTTTTCAAGACATTTAACTTGTATTGTGATGCATTTTATTTTCTGCTTCAGATACCCGAAAATTCTCCAGAAACTGACAAATATCTTGGATAGATACAATGCAACGGCAATACCACCAGGAAACTTGCCATTGGATCTCAAAGGTGACCCCAAAAACTGGAACTACGTGTGGACCAACTTTGGAGATTACACCAACGAAACGGTCATTTGAATTATGTGTAAAATGCGTTTTTCCGGTAGTTGAAAATACCAATAATGTACCATTCACCATCTAATTCAATATTTAGCAATTCGTTGATTTCATTTTATCTACAGGAGCTTATTCCTGCTTACTAATTTGAATTTTCCTCCGTATATTTATTATCATTGTCGTTGTCAATGAAAATCCCAATTGAAAAACGCTAAATATGTATCGTCTACTAGGTTTTCCATATCACCAAATACACGTGACATAACGTATAAGGAAAATGACACTTCTAGACATATTCATAAGATTTCCAATTGTTTGAAACCAGAACCAGAACCAGAATATTATTGTTACACTTCGAAGATCGATTATTTTTTCCGACACAAGAATGTCTTCTACAAAATAACAATTGAAGGGGCAAGTGGAAGAAGGAGTTATGTTACAAATATGAGTTTGTGAAAAAAATTGGTTTTAGTGAAGTTAGCTGGCATTTTTTAATGGAAGCTAGTTTAATAATTGTATTCATGCAATTGTGAGGAATAGTTTTAGGTTGATTTTTTATGATTTACAGCATTTTGCTATCATATCAATTTTTGATAGACATATGGATTTATGCGTACATAACCCCTTCTTGAATTTCCTGACATGTAGGCAATGGGCACATGGCTCCTTCTTCCATTGCGTCCTTGATGTTTAATGTAACATAGCCCCTTCTACCACTGTGTATCTGCTCAGTTATGGGGAATAGAAACAAATCCCGACGGGACTAGTTAACTATGTACGTAACACCTTCTTCCATGACAACCGAATATTTTTAGAAAATGTTACTTGACCCCTTCTTCCACTTGCCCCCCCAATTATTTGTGAAGGTCAGTGTGAAATGGTGCGTTAGATCAAAGCGCCCAAAAAACTAGGGAACTCAGACCGCTACCTAACTTTCCTTTCACAATTCGATCTATTTACACCATATTCATATTAATATTACGGCGTTGTCAATACTAAGTAAGTATACTTTGTTGACGAAGAGTTTCCATTTGGCCTTCCTGATCATCCTCATGAAATAATTGAGTCGGAACAAATATAGTTAGGTCTCCTAGAGATATAACAAACGATCATTATCTACTGATGAAATCTATAATTTGGGAAGAGAAAAACATTAAATAATGAAACACATGTTTGGAAATATTGTCTATTAATAACAGATTGCTGAGATTACCACTATTTTCATAATGTGAATGAAAAGACTATAAAGAATGGACTTCAATAGAGCCGGAAATCGCGAAATTAAAATACCACTCGAGGTTTTGAAGGGTGCCTTGATAAGCTGAATGTATTTCAGCTTAAAATGATAATGATTAAATTTGTTATCTCATATACTTTCTATAGAGGAACGGAAAGTTGCTAGGTCGTTTGCGAATGTTTTTGGATACTATTTCGTTGATTGAAATCACTAATCAGAAGCCGCTGATAACCCAATCAATTCGATTTAGCTCAACACGTAAACATACCTACCCACATAACATCTCCTAAATCTTTTTCGGTAAAATTATACGAAACTGGACGTTTGGTTTGGTGTGAACATGTTATCTTGTGAACAAACTTTTTATGTAGGTATAATTTTCACATCTTCCCACTTCTTCCCTAGCCCATAAATCATGATCAACTAGATATTTTTCATAATTTCTTGATTAAAGAAGGTGATTTTAAATAGGTATCTACATACAGGGTTTCTCTGAAAGGTTTGTACAAAATGATACCAGACTCCTGAGACCAAAGTGAAATGATAAAACCAAACTTACCTCTAAACCAAAACGCTCCGTTTATAGCCGTTACAAGGCGTTGGAAAGAATATTTAATGTTTATTCAAATGCAACGCCCTGTCTTTTGAATTCGTGAGGATGTGTGTGTCACATATGGAATATCACTGATATGATTGATGATTTCATAGGAAAAGTATCAGGTATGCATCAAATTTTGAATTTGGGAATACCGGGTGTCAACAAATCTATTAGACAAGTCATAACTTCTAGACCATTAGGTGTATCAAAATGAGATTTAGTATAGGAACATGGTATTTGAAGAGGAGAGTTTTCACATATTTTTCACTTTCCGGTCACCTCCGGTTTCACCGGAAATGGCTCCGGTTCTAAATTTTTTAATGGAACACCCAGTATATTGTGACATTTTTGGATTTCTGAGATAATTCTAGATCAGAATGTGACATTTTCGAAAGTTTTTATGCCTACTAAAATTTTTCGGAGTCACTTTTGAAATTACATCTAGGTGGCCATGATTTGAAGTAAACTAATCTAAGGACCTCAGGTGATATCACAAAATTTCAATCGCGAAGTTTAAGTGACAAGTATGATAGATAAGACAAGTTGGCAAAGTTACATTTTCGTGTCTAACTATTATTTTTCAAATAACGACCATTTTTTGACAAGCACTTTCCGAAAAAAGGATATTTTGACGAATCTAACGATACTAATTATTTGCGATTGGATTACGAATAAGAATAGAACGGCTAGGCTCTGGAATTCATTGCCTGAGGAAGTATTTGCAACAACATAATTATAATCTCCAGAAGTTCGAAAAAATTCCAGTACCTACCTACCTCCTATCCCTATCCTCCCTAGGAACGCACGATGTTCTTTGAACATTATAAGGATTCCCTTTCGTGCGCTCCAAGCGATAAAAAAAAGAACATAAATTATATATTACTGACGAAAATACTTCATAATAATTTATTTACTTTTGTCAAGTGTTCCGAGGATAGGCATGATGCATGATATTTTGCAGTTAGAGAACAAAACACTCATTTAGGTTATGACAGTGACGAAACCTTCAAGAGCAGAAAGTAAAATTTTCTTGATTTTCGTTAAATTTTAGTTAAATTTTCCGTCAAAATAATGTACACCCAAAGTGAAAAAGTGAATATGTTGTTATTGTTTGAATATCACAAACTTTTATGAAAGCTGAGAGTTAGGTATTGAACCACTGAATTGACCAGACCAGGTGATGTCACTGGTCACATGGTCATTCTACAAGAAGTACAAATGGAATCTGCAACCAAACCATCGGACATAATGCCAGCCAGGCTCAGTTTCGATCATACCTTTGAAGTGGTTATAAAAAGCCGCCCTAGGTACGGTTCCGCTGAGCCTCAGCTGGACAGAGGGTCCCTTGTTTGGTACACCGATGGTTCGAAAATGGAAGATGGGGTAGGCGCGGGTGTATATGGACCCGGATGTAGGCTATTTGAAGCCTTAGGTCACCCCCCACTATCTTCCAAGCTGAAATACATGCCATTAACCTTTGCGCCCAAAGGTGCCTGAGCAAAGGTCTGAGGGGTGCCAACATATATATCTGCTCAGACAGCCAAGCCGCACTAAAAGCCCTAAAATCATTCGTTTTCACATCAAAGATTACATGGGACTGCTTTGAAACACTCATGCCACTGGGAAAGGACAACTCACATTTATGTGGGTTCCAGGGCATGAAGGAATCAAAGGAAATGAGGCAGCTGATCGCCTTGCAAAAAAAAGTGCAGCATCTGCACTTTTTGGTCCTGAGCCTTTTTATGGGATAAGCAAATGTCACCTAAAGGGAGAACTCAGAAAATGGGAAGAAATTGAAAAGTCCTCCTACTGGAGAGCAACTGCAGGTCAACGACAAGCGAAAAGGTTCATCAACCATTCGCAGAACCGAGCCAAAGAACTACTCAGCCTCAGCAAACCAGAGCTGAAGCTTATCACAGGCTTTCTCACAGGACACGGCCCTCTGAGGTACCACCTCAAAAAGATGGGCCTGGCGGAGACTTACTATATTTTCAACTACGCATTTCACTTGTATCTCATTTTGAAACACAGGCAGCTTGACTGAAATGGTATCCAAACGCTCAATTTGAGAACAAATAATGTTAATTGACTTCAACACATCAAGAACCCGGAAGAAATCTTGCATGTATCATTCAATAACATCAAGATATACACATAATAATACCCTCCAAAATGCATACTAGGTGAAATCACGTCTGAAAAGCTGTCACTATCTTCTGGTCTAATAATGATGGTACTTATTGATGATAATTCTCAGATGATACATTAATAGTGTATTTTTACCATCTTTATCCCGATTGAAAGTTCTTTTAATTCAGTGCATGATACAGATAGAGGTAGAATCTTTGGGCTGATAGCTTGAGTCAGATTACTGACGACCTGGTGGCCGGGATTTTAGTAAACGTTTGCAAATACCGTTTGCAAGTGTTTAAGAATTGATTTGTCGGGATTTGCTTCATCAACTGTTGAAGAGAAATATACTTATTTCAAAGTAAGATACATTTTACCTACAGCCTACCAGATTCATACTCAAGATACTAAAATAATTTAACTCCAATTTACAACTGGAGTAAAGTGATCTCAGGAGAAGAGAACAAGAGATAATTCAACACACAGCATATCTTCCGTTCCTCTTGAGAAAGAAAGTCTCACTTTTTTTTCTTGGCGATAAAATGTCTCATCTTAGCACCCCCCATCAGGTGAGACAACAATTTTTGGCTTGTTCCATAATCATTAAATTAATACTGACGAGTAATTATCCATTTATCATAATATCTTCTCATACCATAGATGAACAAACAGACTTTGAGACCGCTAGCAAAATCAGTTACCTACTTTGGCAATATCACAATATGGTAATAAATAATAAAAAAATACTTTGAAGTGTCTGTACAGATTTTCTGAAAAATATATACAAAAATAAACTTAAATAATTGTTCTTTAGATAAAAAATCTATCCTGCAGAATTGTTCGGCCTGTTCACTGTAATTTTGTTGGGCGTAAACATGTTCGTCATATCGTGCCTGAAAATATAAATATACAGGGCTAGACAAAAGGTTAGAAACGGGAAAATATCTTGGGAACCGCTATTGATGATCAATCTTTTTCAAAAAAATTGCTGGTTGGTAACATACCATACAGGGTGTTCCTAAGTATCTATAAAAGTAATTCCTTGGCCAATTAGGACTGAAAGTTCTTATAAACGAATCCTACAAACAAATGAAATGATGTTTTATTCATAACGAAAGATATTTCAATGAATTGGTATATGAAATGATGAAACCAAGCGGAAAACCCATTTCTGGAAGAAAACAACATCTCATTCAAGTCCTGTTTCCAAATTTCGATTTTTTTTTTTTTCGTTTTCGAGATTTCTGCTTCTATAGTTCTGACATCCAAATTCAATCATCCGGTACATGACATGTAAGAATGTTTTGGGTATGGCTAATCGACAATAAATTCCACAAATCCTATTTTTCTGAAATGCACATTTACTTCTATATTATAATTGGATCACCCTATACTTAGTGATTCTTATATAGGTATATGGGTCACATGGTCCATAAAATAGCCCATGGTTTTATCAGAAGCGGACCGATAAAGGGTTAAAGAAGACAAAATTGATGTGAATCAAAAGCTATTGTGTTAAGAAAGGATCACACTTCAGTCCAAAGTTTAATCACTCACATTTACCAAAGGGCGTTGAGGAGTTAAGCGTGAAATAGTAAAGTTTGTTTTTCCTGTATAATGAAACATAAATACGATTTGGTCAGAATTTCACCCAGACAAGAATTTAAAAAGTTACAGGGCGATCTATTTGGTCAAGTTTTTTTGCTGGCCGTTTTTTTTTTGTGAGTGTATGCGTAGTCAAGAGTGATGAGTAGTATTTTGAGTAGAGTATTACAGATAAACAGAACAGATTCATCGGTTTACCTTATGTTTTGCGGAAGAGTCGATTCGTCGAGTTCGTGTTTCCTCACAGCGATCATGCATAGAGTTTTCAAAGAAGGATTGAAATCCAATACGTACATGTCACTATGGTCTACCAGTTTGTCGTCTGTATTCCTTATGCTGTAGTTATCTAATGATTCAGAAGGATGTGGACTGAAAATTAAAAATTGATTTGAAATGAAAACATCAGGTGTTCTAATAATATTTTATAAACCATTCAATTGGATATTAGTCTCATTATTTAGAGAATCATAATATACTGAATGTAAAAAAATAATGTTTCTACATTCACCGGCAAAAGATATCATTCTAAAATATTTCAGTAATTTCCCCTATTTGTTTTTACTGTTTGAATTGAAATTATTTGTGCTAATTGTTTGATCTCTATAACCCATTTGTAAACCCCAATTTATCAATTAATTGCTCTTCAAACTTTTACGACTATCTAGTCGAAAGAACGATAATCAAGGGACGCCGTTTGTTTTTGTCGGTGAGTGTATATAGGGTCGATAGATTTCAAACAAAAACAATGACCAGTTAGAAAAATCATGCTAATTATTATTAACACCAAAATTTCATTTGAATCAAGAAGTCTTCAAAATTAATTGGAGTTCTTTTCCAATTAATGGGTACTAACTACTAGAGGGCTCGCAAATGTATGTATGTATGTGTATCTGTTTATAATATAAATGTATCGATAATATCGATAAGATCGATAAAATTTTCGTAATATCCGTTGATTATTAATTGTAGTCGCCCACTCCTATAGTCCATTCCAACTAACAACACAGCTTTGGAAGTCACAGGAAAGCTTTGACCTTCGCTTTCATTGGTTAATATCGGAGGCAATATTACACATGCCCAATATTATGACTTACGACGTGGCGTAACGGTTGTTATATAATGAAATTCCAATTATTTTTCGTACATTGAAATGTTATCATCATTTCGGATTAGGCGCCATATTTTTATTTTGTCAGTTTGAACATTCCTTCAGAAGAAGCGCCACCTATCTCCTTATTTGGAATGTAGTATATAGTTCACTTTCTACCCGTAGCACGCCCAATGTTCCTTTTCGGGTACTTAATGCATAAAATATCGACAAATTCGATAATATCGATATTTCAAAAATAAATATCGATATATCGATAATATCAATACATTGCGATTATCGATAATTCAATATCCTTATCGCCTACCCCTACTTACTACTTAGTTTTGATTCTTGTTGTAAATGTGTTTATTATTGTTATTATGTTATGTGTTAATCATTTCTATTGAATAATAATTACCAACATTTTCCTACAAAATATATATTTAATATTATTGAGCAACAAAGATATGTAATTTTAAATGAAATGAAAAAATAAATGAATAAAATAACTAATCAATTGTGTTTGTGAATTTTTCAGACAAATGGGGATTACTATTTTGTAGTAAGCCCACTGGTATTTTCGTAATAGTATATTACGTAATATGTGTTGTAAGAAGCATATTACAGACGAATGGAAAAGTTCCATGAGTGCGTAATTGCTTTACAACAAGCATTACGTACTATACTTCACCTACTGCCATATAGTACATCCAAAAAGTTTGGACAAACAGTCCGAATTATAATTCTTGACAGTTATGTCATCCGCTGTTGACGGCGATTACGCGATCATGAAAATACCTATAATGGCGGAATAAACGAAAACTGTGCGATGTGCTTACTGTGTGTTAAGAGCTACTTACTGAGGCTATATCTTGTGTGTTCTTTCCTACTATCTACAGTGTGTCCATTTAGTGCGTAATTCTTCGATATCTCGAAAGCCCTAACCTATAGAGAAAAACTTTGAAGGAAAAACTTTTTCAGCTACTGAAGTTGCTCATTTCAAAAATATCTTCAACATTACTGGGGGGACGACTCGGGGGCGAGTTTTTTTTAAATGGAACACCCAGTATTTTTTATTCGCAATTTATTCCGCCGAGGATTACCTTCACATCGCTGTGTGAAAAATTGAATTTTTTTCTGTGACGGGAAAAAAGTTTGGCATTTCATCTCTGTTGGCAGGTTATAAAATGTCACTTTTCATAAATTACTTTTTTCCCGTGGGAAAAAAGTGAGTACTTCTTTCCCGGATATATATCACATATATATACTCTGTTAATGGCTTTTGTTGTGCTATAGTTCCGAAAAATGAGTCAATAATACCGTGTCCGAGAAAGAACTGCAAGTCCTTTTATCTTCCATTCGACTTCGCGGTTTCGTATATTACTAAACAACTACTGAATTCGCAATTTTTTGAAATCAAATCACAGAATTGAACTGACAGAAGTGACATCAGATATTTGATTACTTCAAAAGAATGATAAAGATGTCTATAAAACGCAGGTGTCCCTACTGTTAAAAACTTGAAATTTCACGTCGCTAATTTTCAGATTTCGAAATAATGTAATATCTTCCCAATATTGATTCGTCCTTCCTTCTGTCACAGAAAAAAATAGTGTATTATACACGGGAAAAATATTAGATTTTAGCTCACGGTTTTTTGTCTCCCTCCGCTACGCGTCGGGAGACAACACAACCTGGAGCTAAAATCTACTACTTTTTTCCCTTGTATAATAAATAACTATTGTTGCGGCGTTGCAAAGTTATAATTGATAAACCCATTTTCACCACTATTGAAGAGTCATGTTGAATTGGGCATGGTATTTTCATTTATTCAAATTTTGAAAATATTTTCGGCATACAGTAGTAGCAAGGTCTCCTCACATACACCAATCCAGTGATTTTGCGAGATCATCTTTTACAGGGTGCTAAAATTTACATTTTGAATATTGTAAGATTCAGACGACGTGCATTAGAATTTTTCAAATAGAACACGGATCACGGATTTATTTCGACAACATTCGCCTTTTCATCACTGGAAAAAAAATCGAAATCGGTTGCGGCGTTTTCAAGTTATGAGTAATTTCCTTATGTTTATCACTATCTGAGGGCTATATAAGGCATGGTTCCTTTATTTGATTTGAGTGTGGGAATATTGCTTGCTATATGACATTCGAGGTGCTACATATATCAGCCAAGTATTTTTGCGATATGTGCATTGTCCAAATTTGAAATATCCCGTAATCTTGTTCCTTATGATCCAAATAAAATGTTCCTATGTGAAACAAACAAACATGTCAAGAGCAACGTCTGCCTTTGAAACAGTGGTCTGAAGGCCTTCAGAACAGATGAATTATAAATTGAATATCTGGTTCCATCATCTTTAATGACGCAAAAATCTTCATAATTGTTCCCTATAGGTAAGTAATTCAAAATATATTTGATTTTGGCGATGTTTGACAGGTCATTACACAAATAATAGGAGTGTATTGCAAAAAGATAATTCATACTCTGCCAAAAATCTGTGAAAGTAGCATTTTGGATCAACTTGTCGAAACCCACTCTGTTTTGAATTCAAACTTGGTAGTAGTACATATTATCTCGTTCACCCAAGCATTGGCTTCTACATTGCTCTGTGTAATTCTCGATGCATACTCATTTCTTCTCTGGAAAGTGTTAGAAGAATTTTCATTTTTATGGAGGAGATTGTGATGGAAACGCTCGCAGTTGTTCACACCACAGGATGTCTTCCGTTTGCATTTCCCATTATGGGAACGTAGGCAACAGTAACAGACATTCGACTTCTTAACCATTTTCCATCGCTGCTGTACATCTGAAGATTGGAACTGTTGACATTTATCCAATGAATGTTCTCCCTTCGTACATATTTTGCAGGTCCTGTTTGCTGGTTTTGCAGTGGTGGTGAGGTTAACGTTAGAGCATTCCGCTTCACTCTTATGGCTCATACTAGATTGATTGCTAATATTTTTTAGTATGAAGGTGATTCTCGATACTGCCTCCGACATCTTTTGTATCCATTCAGAGAAATCTTTCAGCGATTCATAGTGATCTTTGATTTTCTTCTCTATTAGGAAACTTCCCCACTGGGTGAGTAGATGGGGAGGAAGTTTATTGACGAAGCAGGATAACAGATATCTTTGATCAACGATTTTAGCTATATCCCCTTCAATTACGTTCACAATATTCCGGATCACGCTACTGAAGTTCAAGAATGACTCAAGACTCTCCACAGCTTCGACCGAATGTGCTTTCAAAAGAAGTTCTTCCATTATCAGCTGTGGACGTCCGTATTTCTTTTGCAGAATATCCAGTATGTCGTTGGGTTGGTTGGCAGTAATAAGTAGCAATTCCACTGTCTTTCGCGCCTCCCCTCTCAAGCAATTGTTCAATCTCAAAACATTTTCATGAGGAGTAAAGCTGCAAGCATCATTAGAAAGATTATATTGAGCATAAAATATGGGCCACTTCAAACATGAAGTGCCGTCAAATTGTGCCAATTGACTTCCTACTGTCTGACGTGTCAGCATATTGTTTATAGAACGTGTCAGGTTTTCTAGTTTATCATTTCTAGATTCAGTTTGATCGTTCACTTCGTTGGCACATTCTTGGACTCGACTATTCACCGACAGTATTTCTTCATTCGAATCTTCCTCTTCTGAAGTGATTTGATTTGAGTTGTCGTTGGATCGATCACAGATTTCTTGATATTTGATGAAAGCTTTCTCCTTGTACTTGAGGCGGTCTTCTTGAATTTTAAGAAATTTTGTCTTCTTCGTAAGCTCACTCTCTTTTGCTTTGAGAATTTGAGCCGGAGTTGATTCATCATTTTTCAAGGTATCGATTTCACTCTCCAAAGTAACGACTTCTTCTTGTTTCGTGAATATTTCATCTTGAATTTTATCGATATCTTTTTGCATATCAATTAGCATCTTCCTATCATCTGATTTCAAGGACTTCGTAGATTTCGCTTTACGGAACTTCGGATGCTTTCTGATGCATGCCTATCACTTTCTGCATGTAATTGTGTATTATCACTATTTTCTGATATTTAAAAGACATTTTTGATAAGGATACTAGACAATTCATATGCAGATGCAGATGTTGAGTACTTCTGAGAAAAGAAATCACATAGTTTCTGCAGACTCTTTATGCTGAGTGATTCACTGATAGAGGTCAGATATTGATTGAATTCCTCTGAATTCTGTTCGAAATTATACCCGGAAAATGCCAGAATTGACCTCTTCACAGCTTTTACCTTGGGTAGTTCGCCATACAGAAGAAAATGAATAAGTAGTAAAGGTAATTATTCATAACTTGACAACGCCTCAACCGATTTCGATTTTTTTTCAGCGATGAAAAGGCGAAATATATCGGAATGAATTTGTGAATGAAAATACAGGGTGTTCCATTTGAAAAATTCTAATGAATATCATCTGAATCTTGCAAAATTCTAAATGCAAAATTGAGCACCCTGTTGAAGAACATGTCGAAAAATTACTGGATTGGTAAACGTGAGACCTTGCTACTACTGTATGCCGGAAATATTTTCAAAATTTGGATAAATGAAAATACCATGTCTAATTCAACATGACTCTTCATTACTGGTAAAAATTGGTTTATCAATTATAACTTTGCATCGTCGCAACCAAATTCAATTTTTTTCACAGTGATGTGAAGGTAAACTTGGTGTGATAAATTCCGAATAAAAAATACTGGGTGTTCCATTTGAAAAAACTCGTCTCCGAGTCGTCCCGCTTTCATAAAACACCCAGTAATGTTGAAAATAATTTTGAAATGAGCAACTTCAGTAACTGAAGAAGTTTTTTCTTCAAAGTTCTTCTCTATAGGTTATGGCTTTCGACATATCGAAGAATTACGCACTAAATGGACACACTGTATAGTGGCCGTGGGTAAAAATAATTTTTACATATACGATTATGACCTTGGTCGTTTGGAGTTTATAGATTGGGAGATAGCGACATTTTTTTGGACACATTTGATAAAGAACAATTTCATTATTTGCATGTCATATTGCGCAATATCGGGACAACGCTAATCCGCAGCTTATCAATGTTGTTAAAAAACGATAAATGTCAAACATGATATATAAAAGCTCAAACTTCCCCAATCGTTTAATGACATATCAGTTAGAAAAGTGAAAAAGAACAAAATTCCCATTTTGCATAATTGTGAATTATTATTCTGGTCTTGTTTTTGATGATCTATGAATTTATTGGGGATATTTGAAAATGGAGTCTTCTTCTTTTTTTACTTCGTTAATTACTAGCATATGAATTATATCTGATGGTTGCTTCAATCCTGGTTTCAATTCTTGCAATAAAAAAAAAAGTTCACTAAATTATTCATCGGACTTTCGATCTGATCTGATCAATAACTGATGAGAATGTGTATCGATGAAAATGGCCAACCTATAATTTTTGAAGTTCAATAATTCAAAAGTGGTTACGAATATCAACATATCAACATCCATATTTACGTACTCATGTCCATGGCAGGAGTACATCGTTCTGCGAAACAGGTGGCAGGAGGTGATTTTTTTTTCAACTGATGTCATTGAACAATTGATGATATTGAGAAATGTCGCTGACTCCCGGGCTATTATCTATATTTAACTTCCACATGAAACAATAGTACAATGGTTTGTTACTAGTAAAAAATGCATACCTGGTTCCACCAAAAATGTAAACTTTTTCGCCCACCAAAACGCAAGCTTGTCTCCTCCTTTTGCAAGGTCTCTTGCCCACACCATTCGATGCAATTTTCCACAAGTTTGTACTAGGATCATATTCAAATATGTGATTGTAGTGTTCTTCCCTTACGGAATTATATCCACCAAAGATATACATTTTGTCATTGTACACAACTGAAACGAATGGAAAAAAACAGTTTTTTTTTTGTTTTTGTGTATACATCAACGTTGGCGCTGACACAGCAGCGTTGAAATTGTTTGAAATACAAATTCAATCTCCAACTTAGCGATGCAAAGATTCTCACTCTAATCTCTGTTTACTCACTTACTCATGTGGAATAATTATTTCAATGAAAATTTCACATCAAACATTTTCGATCAATTTAAAGCCTGTATTTCGTATCGTTACTATAGCAACTAAACAAATTTCTTGAAATTTTTTTCCTCCTCCTTGGGGGGACGGAGCATGAAAGTTTTTTGACGTTTATAGGTTAAATGACATTTACATTCAACTTCAGATTTTTTCGAGTTCATTCTATGAATCAATAAATGAAAATCATTTATCAACAGTTTACCATATAATATTATATAGGTATACTTGCAAATTCGAAATTTACAAAAACACATGTTGTTGCTATACGTTAGTTCTTACATTTCATCATTTTCATATAATATATACCTACTCTTCAGTTTTGACATGAAGAATGACATACGTAAATAAAAAAAATATATTATTCTTTTGAGTTAACATACAAAGCCTACTATTCGAACGTCAAAACCATCAAAAATCGTCATTATCCAAGTAATTTTTTAATGAAATTTTAGTGTGAACTTTTCTCACCGAATACCACTTCAGCTTCAATTAATATCCGGGAAATTTTTCTCGAACACGAATATTTAAAAAATTTCAAGTGATAATTCCAATACACAAAAAATCCTCGAATCTTCAATTTCAGATTCCCCATTATGTTGGTTGATTGATATTGATAACGTTTATTGCTCAACTTCCAGAAGGATATTCAACTAAAAGAAAGCAGGAACTTGAAGAACATAAACTCAGAATTATTGCATACCAGTTTTATCTGATCGAAAATTCGTAAGACATCTATCTGGCCATACAAAAAGTTCCGATTTTCAGAAAATGCTAATAAAAATAGTGTGTATTATTATTCATAACCCAGTACATTATTCAAGTTGCGGTCATAATTACTCGAAATATTTGCCATATAAGAAAAATGTACATATTCTCTGTCACACCTAGGTCACTTACAGCTCGGTATGGAAGTAATAAGCTATTTGAAATGATTAATAAAAAATAGATAGATTTGGGTGGAATCTTTATTTTTTTCGCCAAGTTTCCTAAGCAAATCTTAGCTCCTGCAGTTCCGAAGGCCAAACTGTTCCAAATTTATCGTGTCAAAAATGAAGCATACGTTGCCTCAATTCATAAACAAAACAGAAAGCAGTAAAATTCAACAGTCAATTGAATGTTCATAATACACGGGCATTTTTAACTCAATACATTCTCAGACTTCTTTCTGAAAATGGTCATTTGCATCGTGGCATGAATGCAGAATGCATTCCAATGATCAAATTGCAACTATCATATTCACATGTACTACAAACACTCTACATGAAAAATTACTGTTTCAAGTCTGACGATCAATTGGGTAAAAAATCCAATAACAGGAAATTGAAAACACTCACTGGCTAATTTTTTAGGTAATAGGAATTCTTCAAGATAAATATAGGTAATTATAACAAACGGCATGTCTAAATATATTTTTCCCAATTTTCTTTCAATCAATCTCACGATAAGTTTATGTTCTGCGGGCTTTGTATAAGTAGGTGTGAAGTTTACCGCTAATGAGATTAAATCACTACAATTTTTGTCAATATATTTAAATCGAATGGATTACTGTAGGTGGGTATTTGTGTTTTATTCTGGTTTTCGCTTTGAAAATGGGATGCGAAGAAGGGCATCCTCTTCCAACCGGAAGCCCTTCAAAAAAACAGCAAAATCGGCTTAATAATGATCTATAACTAAAATTGAAATACGCGGTCGCCTTATAGCACCATAAGCGCTTGTCGTTTCGAGCAGCTGTTAGGCCTCATTAAGGTGACGTCACCACGGAGCGTACAGGCCTTGTTGTATCGGCGGTAACGGTAAGACACACACAAGACAGGCAGCTATGGAATAAGAGATTATCTCTCACAATTCCGAGCAGAGAAAAGTTGAAAGGGAACGCTGCGAAGTTTTTGCCAGGGAGCTTAGTATGTCACAGACGGTTCCCGCCTGAACAACAAACAAGCCTCTGGCGTAAGAATCTGCCTAGAAGGAGGTGGTATTAGAAAAAGTTACGCTCTTGGAAAATAAACCACAGTTTTTCAAGCACAAGCATCCTGGTCGTAGCAATGAGGCAGGAGGTGGAAGAGGAATCAGAGCGGAAAATCTACATCTACTCGGACAGCCAGGCAGCACTCAAGGCAATCTGTCACCCCAGACAAAGTTCAGCACTGGTACAGGAGTGTGGAGAATCAAAGGATGTTGAACTAGTGTGGGTGCCCGGCCATAGAACATAGAACAGTTTTCGCGACGCCATTTTGGGGACCGGAATCTGTCATAGGCATAGCAAGGAGTCAAGTTTCATTTGCCCTCAATGCCCTCAACACCGGAGGAATATCACCAGCTGTAGGCAGTCTAAGGATTTCGTGGCTGGACCAAGTGTGCTTACAGGACACAACCGGCTAGGTAGACACCTAACGCTAATAGGTGTAGAAGATAACTCCAGTTGCCGCAAATGTGGACAAGACGTCTTACCACTACCTGGGCCACTGTAAGGCATATGGAAGGCCAAAATTCGGAACCTTTGGTGCTGATACGCATCATCAGGAAGATTTAATTAACCTAAGATGGACGGACATACTGACCATCATCAGAAGATCAGGGAGATTCGAAAAGGAGAAATAGGCCCTCCGCACACGGGTCGATCGGCGACATGGGCGACGCGATTGCAATGACGTCACAATTTCTGCATTCGTACGATTCAAGAAAAGGAAGTGTGTGTAATCCGCATATGGGTCGACGTTTTGTGTAGTCGACTCGCGTCTGATCAACTTAGTTACTCTTTTTTTTGCAACTTCAAAATGAAAGTTTTCGCTAAAAATGAGCAGTTCCAGTGACGAGGAGGACATATTCATGTTTTTGTGGCACCGGCAGATCAGGAGAAGAAGACAGACAACTAAGTTTATGGGTGCATCCGTACATTGCACGAAATTTTCACACTCGACTTTTTGTTGCTGCACGTGGAATGCAAGAGAATGACACAAAATTTCTGGCATTTCATAGAATGTCGAAGGAATCATAATATATTGATCTTGTGGAAACTCTTGCTCCAGCCATAAATTATATGGATACAAATATGAGGGAATGTGTCAGCGCAGAAGAACACATACTAATAACATTGATGTAAGATTCATATATTTCAAAAAATCAAACAGTTCCTAAATTTGAGAGTATAAATTGGAAACATAAGATTATATGTTCTAGTTACTGAAAGTAAAGAACTTAAGGTAGGTAACACAAATATTCACAATGATTGAAAAATTATTGAACAACTTTCTCCATTGAGACGCAAGATTCACTCGATCAAACTGCTTCCTTGCTAATCGCGTGAGACTGAAAACGAGGAGATCTTAAATCGTACGTTTCTAGACGACCACTAAACGACCCGTGTGCGGAATCCAAATGCTTTGCTTAGGAAGTCGAGTAGAGGGGAGACCGTCGTACGATTCGAATCGCGTCGCCCATGTCGCCGATCGACGACCCGTGTGCGGAGGGCCTTAGGAGAAGAAAGAGAAGATATGTGTGCAACTGGGGTCTTCAAAAAGGGCCCATGGGGTCCTATTTGCTAGGCAACCGCCTCCCCTCTCTTTAACTGCTACTACTAGGTATATTGACGTCAGAAAACAAGATGAATCCCATACATTTTACCCATTATCTGCTAAATGTGGAGAAAAAATCTAGTGTGCTGTAACTACTGGTCTGCTCCATGCTCGGTTGAGTGAATGACCACCAGAGGATGTTACCGTATCGGACGAAATGATCTTCACTTTTTTATAGAAAATTGTCAAAATTTGTGGTCATGTAAGTTGTCAGTGTTAAGAGCTGTCGTGACTTGTATTGTATTTTTTCCTAAAAAATATCTTTCTTTTTCAATTCTCATTGTTCTAATATTCCTTCCGTTTATAGATATTGTTTTGTGTTGTGCTCCCATCAGTATTATATATGATTGATTATTTGTTACAAACTCTGCCTCTCAATTGTGCCTACCAGAAAATGTGAAACCGTCTCAATTCATGGATTTCCAAGCGATATTTCTTTGCGACATAAGTGGATACATTTGATATTGAATGTTACAGGGTCATTACAAGAGTAAGATAACCAGAGCCCTGATCAAAAGCTAATAATCGATACTACTGATTCTACCTCTCATTCAATTTTGGTGTTGAACGTTACGAAATTGTGGACTATTGTAGTGTATGTAGCAACCATTTTGAGAAAGAATGATTTTTTGAATTTTTGAGTGATTGAGTGACCCATTACTATGTCGTGATACTGAACTCAAACTTACTGAACAAACTACGCCGACGGCCGAGAGCACCGCTGAAGAAGCTGCTCAACTCATTTACGATTTTCAAGGTTATGTAGGTTTGACAGGAAAGTAATTGGAATAAGTGTTTCCTCGGGTTGACCGTATGGCGGCACTACTGTATCGGCCACAGAAACCTGTAGGTGATTTCCCTTGTTTGAGCAGACCAGATACTACAGCTCACTAGATTTTTTTCTCCATATTTAGCAGACGATAATTTTACCACAGAAAAAGAATATCACTCGCCGTGGGAGTAAATTGACATACTAGTTTCTTATATGAAGAAGCTAAAGTCAACTTCCGATTCAGTCGGTAGATGAAAAAAAATGCGTCGTAGATAAAATGGGCGAAGGTTAATTTTCTTAGAATGTCAAAAAAATCATAATAAGGTTAGTGAAATGACGTACACGCTGAGTGACTCCTCCTTCCGATGGGCAAGTTTCCGCCCGCCCTGCAATTGTTCCACGTGAACGAGGTGAGATCTAGATACCACAGCTCGTTGCAATATAGCACTTGAGTCCTGCCAAGAGATAACTGCGGTTCATTCGTGGTTCCTCTTCCGCCAAACAAATACATTCGGTCCTTTATGACGACTGTCGTGTGGAAATCTCTCAGGGTTGGTTCTGCTCCTGAAAAAGTTCATTTCATGAAGAATCTCAGATGTTGACTTCAGAGGTGTGAAATGGCAAATATGGATAAAATCGGCGCTACTGTTGAAACTATTGTATATAAGATCAAAAACTGTTGAATTGAAAATTATTGGGAATGAAAGTGCGAGCAACTTCTTGGACTCTTTGTTTCCCAAAATAACTATAACTGACATTGAAGAAAGTCAAATGCATTTGACAAATGTCACTCAATTGGACAGTGATTGCTGCCAACAGTTAGCAGAAAATGTCTCACTTTATCCAAACGAAATATGTTCAGTTGACTAATCGCGTTAACATTGGTCATGGTTGACACCACTGAAGATTATTTGTACATACAGGGTGGCATTGAAATAAGTGCAAATATTTCAAACACTGAAAAAGCTCGACGTTTACTATCGAATGGCACTAATAAAAAAAATAGGGATCAAAATAAAATTTGAGGTTAGACCCCTTTTTCCACCAAAAGTTCTACACTGTAGCAAAACTGAAGATTATTTGTACATACAGGGTGGCATTGAAATAAGTGCAAATATTTCAAACACTGAGAAAACTCGACGTGTACTATCGAATGGCACTAATAAAAAAAAATAGAGATCAAAATAAAATTTGAGGTTAGACCGCTTTTTCTACCAAAAGTTCTACACTATAGCGAATCTGACGCATCTCTGTTCAAATTTCTATGCGGTAGGCACAATCACGCGGAGTTCAATCATTTAACTTGTTTTAAAGTGGCGTACTCGATATTTTCTCGTATTTTGTTCAATTTTTGGGATGAAATGTCTCGTTAATTAGAAGAATTAGAAAAAATCTAATATCATGGGAATATTCCTTAGACTGTATCATACTAATGTGCTGAATATGTGCACCTATTTCAAAAACACCTTGTATATGCTATCTACACTGGATCCTGTCTGGTCAATGTCATCAATGACATTTTGAATCTTTTTGCATATTGCACATACGATAAGATAAGATCTATATTTTCCAGCAGACAATAGAACATCGTATAGGAATAGACAAAAATATACTAAAAACTAAAACTAGGTAGGTACACAGTAGAATTTTAAATTAAAAATTTAAAAATTCAGAACACAATGGTTTAAAATTCAAGGCATAATCTACAATTCGATAGTTAAAAGTCATAGTCTGGATATTTCACAATATAGATAAAATTCACAAACAAAAACGTTTTTAGGACATAAACTATTCAACATTATACAAACATTTCTTTATTAAATATTCACGTACCTGATTTTTTAATATATTTGTATTTTTACTTTATTTCATATAGTTTGGCAATATATTGAATAATACCCTTGGCGCCATGGATGGAGCAGAGTTGAGATACCCTGTATTTATTTATATCATTTTTAGTTCTGGTATTGAGTTGATGTCAATCTCCGTTAGTACTAAATAGAGTACCTTTATTTTGAAATGGGTATAAAGAGAATTCAAAAATGACTAACTAAGAAACTGTTAAAATTCTATAATTTCGGAAAACATTTCTGCCAATAGCCCGTCCGATATATTGAAGAGTGAACGTAAAACTCGCTTTTGATCAATGAATTCATCATGTTTAGATAGAGATAAACCCCATAGACATATACGATATCGCAATCTACTGTCAACTTGTGCATAATACAATGTTAAAAGTTGATTAATTTCTAATACATTTTCAGGGGTTCTGAATTGATATGATAATGAATATCATTCATGTAGCCTATGAAAAACTATGTTACATTTATCTGTCAACCCTAAATCGGATGAATCTCATATTAAAACAGATGTATCATAAGTTTGAGTCGTATCTCCAAAACCATACCCCGACAAAAAATGTTGAGTGCGCCACTGGATTCTGCGTTAAATTTTCTATGGTATGGGTTTTTAATTTCACATTTTTGCTGAGAAACTTAGTAGATATAGAGGGGGTACAAAAAGTATAAATTTTCAAAATTGCCCTGTATCTCATAAACGGAAACAGTTATGCAAAATCTGATTAGGCCATCTTGAGTTTCACAAAAAAAGTGGCACAGGACCGCGAAAACCGCAAGGTTCTATCTCGAGAGATGACTGAGATACCACGCAAAAGCATCGAAAAGTGGACACACTGTATACAGGGTTGGAATAAGTCATGACTTTTATAAAAAAGTCATCAAAGTCCGACTTTTTGAATGAAGTCAGACTTTTTTGAATTAATTCATTAAAAAAAAACAAATTTCATTTACCCAAAGCAAAATAGAAAAAAAGAAACAAAAAAACTATATTTTTATTCCCTTCAGAAATCTTGTAGAAAAACATCATAATATAACATGTAATTTTTTCAAAACAAAATTAAAAGTGATGATAGAATACAGAATAAAAGATACATATAGATCCAGTATCATCCATAAAGTTCGTAACACATGGAGAAAAAGTTTATTAGTAGAAAACATTTTTTCTCGGGGATCTATTATGCATGCCTGACTAATTAAAAGTCGATTTTGACAAGTGGGGTTAGATGGGAAGATGAAGTTATTTAAAAAAAATTAAAATAGCTATTTTCAGTTTTCTCAAATAATGGCTGGAAACTCCATATGTGAGCATGAAATTGAATTCTATTCAACTTGTACATCATCAACATCACTACTGTCAGAAAAAAAAAAAATTTAACAATATTGAAGAATATTCGAAAAAATATAGCTATTTCCAATTCTCCTTCAAAAATTGCTCGAAACTGAATGTGGAATAGCAACTTGATGAGAAATGTTTATGGATATTTTGTCATCCATCCCCACTTTTCGTCGCTTTATAGCATTATTTTTATTTATCACCATACCAGTGATCACGTGACATGTGTCAAAATCGATTTTCAAGTTATCGGATATGCATAATGGATCGCCGAGAGAAAAAAATTCAATGCTGTGATAATAAACCTGTTCTCATATGTTATGGACTTTATGGATGATACTTGATACTGTATATATCTGTTAGTAAAAATCTCTGTCATGCTTGAAATAACAGTCTTGCCAAAATACGATCAAATTTTTCAGTTTAAACCAGTTAAAATCAAAGGTAATAGTGCAATTTATCTCATTTTTTTAAATTTTAATGAATTCATGACTTTTTCGAAAAAAGTCAATGGAATTAATTCATGAATTAAATCACTGATTTAATTCATATGAATTAATTCATGCCAACCCTGACTGTATACCATATTTAAAGAGTTATATGCTCCTAGCAATTTACTAATAACTTACCAGTTATGTGAATATAAGTCCAGTGCATCGTATCCAAATTGAGTAAATACACAGATCTCGCAAACGCATCGGAATCTTCCTCATATCCACCGGAGATAATCATATTATTTTTCCATAGGCAAGCAGTATGACCGTCTCTGGCAGGGGGTATGTTTCCGGTGGTTTTCGGTGCTGTCCAGCAGTGCCAGACAGTGTCGAAACAGAACAGAGTTGAACAGGAAGCCCTATCGTTTCGGCCTCCCCAAATGTAAATCTTATCGACGTACACTACAGCTGTATGTCCGTACCTTGAATTCAATTACATAATCGAAGCTATTACCTCTAACCAGGGTTGGCAAATTCATCGATATATCGATGATTATCCATAATATAGGTTTATCGATAATATTGATAATATAGATTTATCGATAATATCGATAGTTATCGTATGTAATACAACAAGTGTATTGATGAATATCGAAATACAAATCTCTTCGATCTTGAGAAACAAATTATGTATAGATCTCAACATCTAAAAATTAGAAACCAAATCAGTGATCCAGTAGATTTTTTATTCGTTTTAGCGTTCTAAATTTTTTTTGTGTTAGTCTTCTTCATAGATATAATAATATGTACGTTGTCTGTATTTTTATACTTACTTTTTGTAAATTGTATAATTGGCTTGTCTGTTGATGAATAATTAAATAAATAAATAAATAGATTTTACTTTCAAGGGGGACACTTGAAATGAGTAGTTTTAGCCCTCTTGGTTCAACACCCTAGAAGGGGTAGATGTTACCCGTAGATGTTACCCTTAGAAACTAATATGGAATATGGAAAGGGAGGTCAAGATGTACATCATTTTGAAGGGCGTTCAAGTCTCTTCTCAACTATACCCGAGTTTTTCATTTTTTGTTGAGCAGTTTCCGAAAAATGCCGTTCTAAACTTACAGAAGTAATTAGAACATGCCTGCACTGATATCTCGACTGATATGCATGGTTTTCAGGTTGGTATTATTGTATTGACCCTTTCGGTCCAAATGGTAGGAAGATTTTGAATGCATTTCAGTACAGGCATGTTACAATTACTTCTGTAAGTTTAGAACGGCATTATTCGGAAACTGCTCATCAAAAAAATTATAGGGTACCTTTGGAAAGGGAATTGAAAGAGAATTGAAGGCCTTTTGAAATAATGTGCATGTAATGTGCCACCGAAGATCTACTGGAGATCTACTTGCCTACGTCACCCATTTATGGCAAGCTTCATTAGAAAAACACGGGGAATCTCTAGCTGTCGCGTTGGACATATCGAAAGCATTTGACCGTGTTTGGCACGAAGGACTCCTCCACAAACTACCATCATACGGCTTACCACCTCAGCTATGCCATCTCTTATCGAGTTTTCTTTCAGGCAGATCGCTTCATGTGGTGGTGGACGGTGTATCGTCTGATACCATTGGCATCAATTCCGGCGTTCCACAAGGATCAATTTTGGCACCAACATTATTCCTTCTTCATATCAATGATCTGTTGGGAGTAACAACTTGCCCCATCCACAGCTTTGCAGATGATAGTACCCTCCATACTGCGTTCTCTTCCAGAATTCCCATTTCTTCCCAGGAAACTAAAAATTCACGGCGCAGGCAGGTCAATGCTGTCAATGAAGACCTTGCTGAAATCACAGCCTGAGGAACCAACAACCTAGTTGAATTCAACGCCACCAAAACTCAAGCCTGTATTTTCTCTAGAAAGGCGGAACTCAGTATGCCTGACATTGCAATGTCTGGCACCACCATCCCCACCAAGCCCACCATATCTATGCTCGGTATTTCCATCAGCAACACTCTTTCATGGGATAATCATGTCAGATCCATCGCAAAAGCTGCTTCACAAAAACTCGTATCCTTGTTCCGTGCGAAAAGCTACTTTACACCCCAACAGCTTCTCATGATCTACAAAGCGCAGATACGGCCTGTTCTAGAATACTGTTCCCACATATGGGGTTCAGCACCAAAACATACGCTGATGCTCTTAGATTCCACCCAGAGAAGAGCCATCCGCCTGGTGGGTGACGCCACACTCACTCACTCTTTGACATCATTGGAACACCGTAGAAAGGTCGGCGACCTTTCACTTTTCTATCGATACTTCCACGGGAAATGGTCTTCGGAAATCTCTGCTATCATCCCTTCACTAGCAATACCAGTCAGACGAACTAGACAAGCCCAGTCAGCACATCCTTTCATTGTCAACCTCGAAAGATGTCGAACAGCACTTTATCAAAACTCCTTCATTCATAGAACGGCTAGGCTCTGGAATTCATTGCCTGAGGAAGTATTCCCACCAACATATAATCTCCAGAAGTTCCAATACCTACCTCCTATCCCTATCCTCCCTAGGAACGCACGATGTTCTTTGAACATTATAGGGATTTCCTTTCGTGCGCTCCAAGCGATAAAAAAAAAGTCTCGACGCCCTTTTCGTAAAATGTTCTAAGGGTAACATCTACCCCTCCTAGGGGGTTGAACCAAGAGGGCAAAAAATATGCATTTGAAGTTTCCCCCTTGACATTGAAATTGACCTATCTTTTCGATTATTCATTTTATTTACTGGAAGGAAGATATTAAGGGTGGTAAGTTTTATAATTGACACGGCATTTTTCGGAAACTGCTCAACAGAAAATGATAAACTAGGGTACCGATGGAAAGAGAATGGGTTTATATCACAAAAAAAAAAAAAATTCATAATTCGATAGAGCTCACCCAAACTAGCTCACCACCGCAAACCGTTTCTTGCTGTGAGCTCCCTACGTTTTATAAAAAATTATTGAAATCCCCGATTTTTTGGACCTCTGAAAACGAGGCGATATTGTGACGTCAAAACCCTAATACTGAAACAAGACTATTCCAGACAGAGATGAATGATACATGATTTCTGACAGAGTGAATTAGCGCGAGATCACAGTTGAAAGAATTAATATATCAGTTGCCTCAGTCTCCGTCGGGCGTTTGGTATTTTCTTTTAACTATGGCGAGAAGAGGTTTCTACGTCATAAGAGGGTCCGTTTTCAGAAGGTACTATTATTTATGTCCAAAAATAAAGCATTCCAGTTATATTTTTCGATCGAATTATGTCGTCAATCATTATTTATGTATAAAAAGATCATTATAAACATGGTTTGAGTTAAAAGTTCTACTAAGGTGTACACGCCCATTGAACGCCCTTCAAAATGATGTGCCACTTGACCCCTCTTCCCATTTGAGATTTTAAGGGTAACATCTACCCCTCCTTGGGGTTGAACCAAGAGGGTTAAGAATATTAATTTTAAGTGTCCCCCTTGAAGATAAAATTCACCTGTCTTCTCGATTTTTCATATTATTTACTGGAAGATATTGAGGGTGGGAAGTTTTCAAACTTTCACCCTGTAATTCTACCAACTTTAGCAAAATCAATTTGGGAAAAACTGAGAAATTGAGCAACTATCGACATATTTTTCATTTATCAGTGTTATGGATATGAATTATTTCAATACTACAATAAAGTTGAGTTCCTTATAGCAAAATATATTTCCACAAGTGGAATAAAGTTAGTTGAACTATCAGCAGCTGCCTTATCAATATGTTGCTCAACCAAAGTCGGTATTTTTTATTTTATTTAGCTTAATTTTGTCCTAGTATTTTTTTTTCACATCTCGGTGTGAAACTTTCTCACCGAATACCACTCTAGCTTCAATTAAAAACCGGAATTTTTTTCGAGAACACGAATATTTCGAAAATTATTGAAGATTTGTGGTATTATAAGTGAAAACCACAAGAGGTTAAATTGTTTTCCGGATTTTTTTCTCGCTCATGAATATTTTGAAAATCATTCCGAGTCGAAGACAAGTGAAATTAAGGATCCTTGAATTACTTGTTGAAATTTGAATAACATCACTGTAGAACAATAGAATACAGGAAGAAATATTTTAACCATCAACATACATTTCCATACAAACAAGATTATTACTTCAAATTTGTACCAACATATTACCATATCAATAACTGTTCATTGAAATTTGAATTACCTAATATCAGAGGTTAGTATTGACCTTCTAACAAATGGAGGTGAATGTCATCCACTTTTTGAATTACCTATCACTTGTCATGACATGAATAAAATTCCTGATATTTAGCCTTGAGTATCTCATTGTTCATGACATTCAGATCACATGATACATATACAGGCTGACCAGGAAATCCAGTGTAAACAATTCTAGATCAACCTGAATCAAACAAACCAAATGTTGGAAATCTCTTCCATACAAAAACTATTTGCAAACTATTTTGTAGTACAGAAGAGATTTTCAAAATTTTGGATTGTTTGTTTCAGATGATTCCTGATAATTATGTTAAGCCATAAACATTTCCAGATATAACTAGAGAGAAACTCAATGTTATTACCACAATAGTTCATAAAATGAACGATAATGGTAGATAACGAGAGAAAAACAACTACTTTCCTGGCTTTCCTTTCTTTGCGGATGACACAACTTAGATAACACCATGCAAAACTGGTTCAAACACAACAACACTATCGAAAGATATGATTTCCCAAGCTAAAAACTATTTCAACTCAATTCAACTCTGCGTGAATGAAGAAAAATCTATGATATTAAATTTCAGCTCAAATCCTAAACAGCTCGGTGAAATATCTAGGAATTCACATGGACAATAAATTAACTTGGACAATACATATAGACAAACTATGTAGCAAACTTGCGATCATTGTATTTCTCCTGAAGAATTTGACTAGCATAATAGACAAAGAGCACGTGGTTATGGCCTATCATGCTCTTTTTCACAGCATAATGTCATATGGCATTCTACTGTGGGGTAATTCATCACACGCAAATCAAATACTATTATCCGTCATACTTCCTAAAGGGATATGCAGAATTACTAGTGAGACCACTCTGTTCTATTTTCAATGTCGCAATAAAAACTAATTCATTTCCGAAATTTTTCAAAATAGGACGAATTTCACCAATTCATAAATCTGGAAATCCCAGAGAAATAACCAATTATAGGCCTGTCACAATACTTCCGGCTCCCTCAAAAGTATTTGAAAAAGTGATTCATAATAGGCTCTATAGACATGTACAGCACCTTATTGCACCAGAGCAACATGGGTTTGTTGAGCAAAAATCAACTGTCACTAATTTGATGGTCTTTAGTCAAGATGTAGCATCTGCTATCGACCAGTGCAAGCAGGTGGATGTCATCTATACAGACTTAGCTAAGGCTTTCGACAAAGTCAGCCACAAAGCATTACTCCGAGCATTACTCAATAAACTGAAGGAGTTCTCAATCAATGCAAATTGTTGGAATCATATCTTTATAACAGAACTCAATTTGTACAATTCAATAAACATCGATCGGATAACTTTATTGCATTATCAGGAGTACCCCAGGGATCTATTTTGGGTCCAGTACTTTTCATCCTTTTCGTGAATGACGTTGGAGATTTTATAAAAACATCTATAATCAATGACGAAAATGACAAAATTTCACTACAACAATACCTTGACAGACTCATCTCGTTCTGTAAGTCAAATGATCTTCTTCTGAATGAAAATAAATGCAAAACTCTATCATTTACTCGAAAAACTAATCCCATTGATACAGAGTACTGGGTGAATAAAACTAGACTAGAAAAGGTATAAGATTCCAGAGATCTAGGGGTAGTTTTCGAAAAAAAATTCATTTTTACCTCCCGTATCAAGAATATTGTGAACTAGTTACAGAAGCTTGAGTTTTGTGCTTAGAAATTCATATGAATTCAACTGGAAAACCGGAATACTTCTATACAATGCTTTTGTACGACCTAAACTAGAATATGCCTCAGTTATATTGAATCCCAACACCATTGTATACTCTGAAATGATAGAAAAAGTACAAAGGAAATTTCTGAGAAACCTTTACTACAGGAAACATAAAGAATCTGCGTTTATGATCTCATACAGAACTCAACTCGTGGAATTTGAGCAAAGAACACTAGAGTCCCGAAGAGATATCAATGATGTGCTGTTTGTTTCAGACATAATCAGTAATAAACTGAATGTACCTGATCTACTTAGTCAAATAAAGATTCATGTACCTGAAGTAAAACTTCGGAGAAGAAAAAATATTATCTTCTACATTGATGTTAAATCTTGCTCACCTTTTGGAAAATGTCAAAGAGCTGTAAATGAATATAACTGTGATATAGATATTTTTACATTTAGTAGTAGCGAAATAAAAGGCTGTTTTCCACCTCTTTAATATCCTCAAAATTCTTAGTTATAGGCTATATATGTTCAATATTTTTGAAAAAGTTTGTCATGAACGTCTTGATTTTATATCTTAACTCAACTGTGTTCCCAAAACTTGAGTGTATTGTAATTTTTCTGTGTAGTGTATTTTTCTTTTTTTTGTGAGTAGTGTATTTATCTGTAGGATAGGAACCGAGATAGGAACTGTCTGTCTGTAATTGGGCCATGGCCTGTTGATTTGGCAGTATAAATAAAGTGATATATACAGGGTGGGTCACGGTCGATGGCACCTTAGACGTTTACAGAGAACGGGACATAAGATCATTCTGAAAATTTGGTTACTCAAGTAATTGCTCTTGATCTATCGATCTAAAATATTTTCAGCTCTGCGGCGTTGCCGCTTCTATCGAAAAGTAGCAACAACTTTGTTATTTTAAATGGAATACCCTGTATTTTATTGCATCTTCAGATTCTCTCTGAAGAGCTGATTTCATCGATATATCACACTTGGGGTCTAGCAGAAATGATTACAGAGATATAGGGTGTGAAAAATCGACATTTTTCAACTTTAGGAATTTTTTTTGTCGAAACTATTCATTATTGGTCAAAACGGCTCACATGTCCCTATCCCAACTTTCGATCAACTATCTACTGACATTTAATTGAAACAAATACAGGGTGGTGCAGAATTCAGATTCTTGATCACCCGGTATATGTCCCAATTAAATATCAGTAGATAGTTGATCAAAAGTTAAGATAGGGACATGTAAGCCGTTTTGACCAATGATGAATAGTTTCGACAAAAAAAATTCCTAAAGTTGAAAAATGACGATTTTTCACACCCTTTATCTCTGTAATCATTTCCGCTAGACCCCAAGTGTGATATATCGATGAAATCAGCTCTTCAGAGAGAATCTGAAGATGCAATAAAATACAGGGTATTCCATTTAAAATAACAAAGTTGTTGCTACTTTTCGATAGAAGATAGATCGATAGATCAAGAGCAATTACTTGAGTAACCAAATTTTCAGAATGATCTTATGTCCCGTTCTCCGTAAACGTCTAAGGTGCCATCGACCGTGACCCACCCTGTATATTATTACAAAAACGAGCCGTGCGTGTTATTTCGAAATCAAATTACAGAGAACCCTCCAGAGCCTTGTTCAAGGAGCTTGCTATTTCAACATCTACAAATAAATATATTTTGGAAGCTCTAAAATATGCAAATGAAAATCAATCATCATTACAGAGACAAGACAGGTATGAAACAAGACATAGACCCTATCAACTGCAACTTTTTAGACTCCATAAAAACTTTAAATCTTACAAATACCAGTCCCTTAAAAGTTTTAATAGTCTACCAAAAGAATGGAGGGAATTAAACTTGGAAAAGTTTGTGAATCATTGTAAGAATTTTCTGAGAGAAAATGTGTTCTACAACATCGAGAAATTTTATAAACATTTCAATGTATGCTTTCAGAATATTATTATGTCGTATGTGAGTGATTTGAAATATGTCTGTTTTTAATTAATTAGAAGCTTTTATTCAACTGGCATTGTATGTTTGTATGTATGTATGTAATGTTCGGGTGGAATCTTCGAACTCAATTTTGAAGTAGAAATCTTCAACCGATTGAGCTGAAATTTTGTATACACGTTCAGTTTGGAAAGGTGTGTCACGTTATTCTGAATCCAATATGGCGGACTATCCAAGATGGCGGAATAGCTATTTTTGATATACTTTTACAATATGGGTATCAAATGAACAGGTTCGTTGAGAGTAACTCGAAAAATGATATGACATCATTATAAACCGAATATGGCGGACCATCCAAGATGGCGGAATGTCATTTTTAATCTACTTCTACAATATGGGTATCAAATGGAAGGGCTCGTTGAGAGTAACTCGAAAAATAATGTGACGTTATTCTAAATCCAATATGGCGGACCATCCAAGATGGCGGAATGGTCATTTTTAATCTACTTCTACAATATGGGTATCAAATGAACAGGTTCGTTGAGAGTAACTCGAAAAATGATATGACATCATTATAAATCGAATATGGCGGACCATCCAAGATGGCGGAATGTCATTTTTAATCTACTTCTACAATATGGGTATCAAATGAAAGGGCTCGTTGAGAGTAATTCGAAAAATAATGTGACGTTCTTCTAAATCCAATATGGCGGACCATCCAAGATGGCGGAATAGCTATTTTTAATATACTTCTACAATTTGGGTATCAAATGAAAAGGCTCGTTGAGAGTAAATCAAAAAATCCAGCTAGCGATAACTAACGCCATCAAGCGATTATTCACGCCGCAGGCCATAAACGCCTACTTTATGCCCTTGATGCATAAATAACTATTTTACATCTAGATTCACTAGAAAAAAGAATGCTTGGATATATTTCAATCATTCATATCTTCATTTTTTATAAAAGATTGAGCATTTTTCATTCCAGAACTCACAAAATTGATGTTCCTTGCAATTTAATATTGAATCAGTCATCATCATTTGTTGTTATTGGTATCATTAAAGTTGCTAACTTTTATACAGTATATTAGGGACTGTTGATTTTTATAAATAATGAGTGATCCATCAGATATTTTACAAATATGCATATTGTGGGAATTTGACTATGTGGTAAATAAGAGGGGGAGGGCATGCTTCAAAATTATGTACACCTATTGCCAGTTTTGGCATTAAATGCTAGTTTATTGCCATAATGCTGACTAATGCAGATATTATTGTTCATTGTAAACAGCTCAATTGACATCACTTTCCATTTATGGTATTTTGATTTCCATAGCATTTAAGGCCTTAATCAACTTTGAGAAAATGTCACTTCAAGTTTAGCTTTAGGGCTTCAAGTACCTACACTGCTTTAACCAGATTATTTTTTCTGAAAAGTTTGGGTACATCCATGTGTGTTGTGTCCTGTCACATGCAATATATTGGTAGTTGAGGTATTTAGAATTAACATACCTATTCGAAATCTAAATAAAAACAACACATAGGGATTAGACAGAAATAAAGAATAGATGCCCCTCTCCACTATATATTCCCACTTAATGCTGCCTATTTCTGCATTACCTCTTCAATACCAACTATTGCCATTTAGTGCTGATCATTTTCCTATAATGCTGATAGTGAATATAATGACCCAAGTATTGCCATTTATTTCCAAGCATTTTGTACACTTATTTCCACCATGTCCTCCCCCTCTGGTAGATACTATTATTATATACTATCAAGATCAAAACTCTACTATAGTATCAGATCTTTGCTAAACAGTATCAGAAGCTTTTTGAAAAAGGTTCACGTTTGCAATTGGACACTATTATTGATTTGTGGTATTTGTAAAGCACTTACCTTTTGTAGGGTAAAATATCATCATATTCAAAATATGGCAGATGACTCACAGGATGTTGAGTCCATCTATAAGTAGCAGTATTGAGAACATGTACATCCATTGATGTGTACTCTCTAGAGTTTTCTCCTGTGCAGTAGCCTCCGAAGGAATATATTTTGTGACCAACAGCCACAGCTGCATGATTTACCCTTTTTGGGCCACCTTCCAGATGTACTATCCACCTCATATTGTGCCTATTGATTATTTCTCTCTCAACTCATTTAGAACGAGAAGTTAATTGGAAATAGTATTTTGTTAACTGTTGTTTTGATTTCGATCAAAGGATTTGACCTTACTATATTCAAGGAAAAACGTTAATTTCCCATTATGTGTTAATACTTTCTACCATTCATGAAGGCATTGTATTATTAATTTTTATTGGAGACGCTCGTAAACCTAAAATTTCATTAATAGAAATGTCAAATAATCAGCACTCCCCGCACCAGCTTCTACAATTATCGCAATTGATAAAAATAAAAAAATAAAACACTTTCCAAAAATCCTAACTCCATTCGCGATAGAAATACAAATTATAATCAGTTCTACCAACCTTGATAGAAAACAACACGTTGCTCCACCTCACGGCAACAGCTTGAACACTTCTAAGCGGTTTGTTTTGATGATGTGACCAATAAGCAAGGATTATTGTTGAGAGTTAATAATCCTTGACGAATAAGCACAAACAAAAAACAAATGTGAATCAATGAAAACAGGCCGCTTTGACAGCTTTTGTTTTGCTAATGACGTGCTTTGACTTTGACATCTCGATGGTAACGGGTAACGGCTTGAGCAGTGAGATCGTGGCAGTGAGCTTCTTATGACTAATAGTTGCGTTTTATTTATCCGATTCCGCCACCGGAATCAGTTTGATGTGTCGTTTTATTTGCAACTTTTCCGATTCCGGTTGCTACTTTCCATTCCGTCTCACTACAAGGAATGATGTGGAATGACTGCTGTTGACAGGTGTCAAAAATCAAATTAGATTGACGAAAAACGAACCTTTTTGCAAGTAAAAGACATTTAGAAGACATTCAGAAGACATTTTCAGCATGAGTTCCACTAGCTCATGATTCTTTCACGTAAGACATGTTTCATATGTTCATTCCCAGATAAAATAAATTCTGTCGATCTCAGAGAAATTTCTTCAATCACCACAATCAGTGCTCCAAATATTATACTTGATTCATTTTATAGATTCCTAACTCCAGTATTATGCTTTTGAAATTATTTGGATCTCCCAAATACAAATATAATCTCTTATGTGAATTCTCTCAAGCAAGGTTATGAAGTTTCTCGTTTTATTTGTAAACGCCATTCTGTTCCCACCACCGCTACCAGAATGGAGCAAATAAAACGCAACTAATGGCTGTGGTTTGACATTTTGCATGTCACTCATGGCTCATGGCAGTGGCAGTCGATTTATTGGTTATGTTATTATGTCAAGTGAATATCAACAAATCAACATCTAACAGTGAATCTGAATGAGTGAATGCAATCGATTTTACGTCTGAAACTGGGGAGTCTGCTAGATACAATTTTTTTTTTCGTGTAAGGAGTAAAAATATCCACACCATATGGGAAAATTAAGTCTACAAATCAAAGCAACTCTTGAAGGAATTGAAGAGTTGTACACCAACCACCCTGATTACACATTCCTTCTGAAAATAAAATGTACCAGCTGTGGGGAATTGTCTGATAAATGGCATGATGTTTCTGAATCCCAAACATTTCCTGGGAAAACTGGGAAATCAGAAAATAATTACATTGCAAAGTGCAAGTTATGTGGAAGAGAAAACTGTCTTGATATAGTGCAGGGCAGTAATGGTATGCATTTCACTTGTTTGTTATTATACAGGACTAAATTTGATAATTCTTCAGGGAAGTACACAAATGATGGCCAAGGAAACTTCAAAACAATTGTAACTTTTGATTGTAGAGGTATAGAGCCAGTTGAATTTTCTCCAAGTGATGGATGGCTAGCAAAGGTTGAGGAAAGTGGAAAGATATTTGATAATATTAACTTGGCTGAAAAAGAATGGGTTGAATATGATGAACAAAGCAAACAATCTGTTGGAGTGTATGAGTTTGAATCAAGATTTGTTTCAATAAAATGAAAACTCTAATAATTTTCCTATTGATTTCACTAATTAAATGTTTAATGGAAGTGTTATTTAGACATTAATAAGAATTGGAAGAGAAACTATTAAAAAAAAGGTATTTGATGGATGTAGCAGCATGGATGGAATTCCTGTGGCAGAAATGGAAGAAAGCATGTATTTGAGACAAAGATCCATTATATAATTAGGTCTATCTGGTTTTGAATACTGTAGTTTGAATTTCAAGTGACAAAGTGTTGATTAGAAGCATTTCCCAGACAATTTTAATAAAAAAAGTTTATATAAACTTGTATCCAGAAATGCTTTGGAGGGACAAGGTGTTGAAATTTGTTGTTGTTTGCTTTTTAGAAATAACTGGCAAATATAAGTTATTTGCAGGAAATTTGGTAACCATGGTTTTTTGACATGGAAAATCATAATTTCATATTAATCTTTATGTAACATCTAGAGTGCCCTGAGGTGCTGTGTATGTTTTCATTATTTATTTCAAATTGCTGTTACATTTTTGTCCATAAACTTTTGTTTTTTTTTTTCAAAAAAAATCTTATTTTCACACCTTTTCCAAGTTTATATCTTGAAAACGATCAGCTTTGTTGAGGTAGTGTACCTTTTTTATTTAGATGAGGTGTGGGAATAAGATGTTCTCATGAAAAGTACCAAAGGTTTACTGTCATGTGAGGGCAATATGAAATGCATAATGACATGACAGCGTACGCAGCGCCCTCTAGGTGTAACATGAAAATTAATATGATATTAGGATATCCCACTACAAAAAACCCTGGGTACCAAATTTCCTTCAAATAACCTAAGTATCTATTTTTTATTTAAAAAAAACTTAAAAAGAATTAATTTCAACATCTTATTGTATCTCCGAAACGAAGCATTACCGGACACAAGTTTATATACACTTTTTTAATAAAATTGTGTCAGGAATACGTCACTTGAATATTATAATTGATTATAACGTACTTATATATGTTACACCCAAATTCGCAAATTTTCATATTGAGCCACTTATTTATCACATCTCTGCTTGCTCACTAAGGCCTTTTCATCTAGATATATTTTTGAGACGCATGCGCTCGTTTTTAGATCCAAAATTTTATTGGGTAATGTGAAGGTGAAGTCTCATCTCATTGGCTATAGTTCCAACACAAATTGCTGATTGGCAATTTCGAATATGGCGGGTATTATTGACGTTCTGTCAAATGTCAACAGTGTCAATCACGTATTCGTCATAGAGAAACAACAATAACAACATAGTATTTTTGTTTTTATATCTCTGGAGTCTGGTGTGTATTAACTGTATATTATGATAATTTAATTCCAAAAAACTTACTTGCTCGTTACTAAAGAGTGTGGTACTATGGTGTTGTTTCGGTAAAAATGGCCGCCACTGTCGTTGGATGCGACATGTAAACAGAGATAGGCATTTTTCATCTAAATGAAAAGGCCTATTGGTACCTATTACTCTAGGTATGCTGTTTTTCTTCAGTATCCATTAGACTATATTGTCTAATTAACCAATCTATTATGCAGTCTGATGCTATCCTTATATTACTGTTTTTTAGTCTCAGGCCCAAGTTCACAGACTGTCCCTAAATGGTCATCACTGAGGAGCTTATTATTCATGCTGATTAAAACTACATTTTTGTTTCTTTGTCACAGCAAACTTCAAGCCGTCTTTGTAGCTTGACTCCTTGGAAACGGCTTGACCGATTCGTTTAAAAATTCTTGAAAATATTTGGTATGTCTGAGAATCAGTCGTAAACTATTCTGTAAATTGAAAATGGCGGATAGAATTGGCGAACGAGTTTTGTAATTATGATCGATCGGGGGTTTTCGGAGTCGGAGATTTATTCATTGTCAAAATTGGGAAAATCCAATATGGCGAACTATGAGTATTGCCATAAATACATCAAAATTGGGAAATTCAAGATGACGGATCCAATATGGCGACCGAGCTTTGTAATTATGATCTCTGGAGGTTTTAGGGGTCGGATATTTATCAAAATTGGGAATCCAATGCGGCGAACTATGATCATTGTAATGAACAGTGGAAAAACTGAAAACATGCTTTTATAGATAGCCAAGCTATAAGGAAGTAGATAGATTGCCGAACTAGAAAGAAGGAGAAGATAAAATAATTATAGTGTCTTGATGAATATCCAACTAGGAAAATATTTTCTAGAAGTAATGTATATAGCTAAACAACGTTTGCCGGGGGTCAGCTAGTATTGTATAATTCGTTTTTCATCAAATACAATATTTTTTAGATAATCAAATACGCATCAAAAGATTCCTTCCTTTTCTGGCATAGTTTCCTCAACAGTATTATACACGATATTTCATGACTTCATATTCTCCTTGGTGACAATCAAATCGTCACTAAAGAACAGCATATCCCTATAGAGGATCATAGTCATGATCAACTCGTTTCCATATTTTCAATTTTTTTATTTTTGTTGACACAATCTAATCAGACAAATGAATACCAATTCACTTGAGCTCATTCTCAACATGGTCATGGACATCGCATGCTTTGAAAACTGCCGCGGAATTTATTACGAAAATAATCACAATAATCACCACTTAAGAGGATTGTGGTATCGTGAATAAACTATGACCTCTCAGTAGGTTATTTGTTTGAGATGGTTATGAGCCATAGGTAGTGATTGACGCAAAAATGGGAAGAATGAAACTCGACATCCAAATAATTTCTAGTTCTACTACTTTTGCGAGAACATAATACTGCCTGAATATATTACAAAATCAAAGGAAAAATCTGGCTTTAAAATTATAATTTAATTTTCATTGAAGGATCTCCGGTTCTGACATAGTTTCCGATTCTGGCATAGTTTCCATTTCTGACGTAGTTTCCGATTCTATGGAATGATTCTGAACATTACCGCTAGTGAAAAACTCGATATTGCATAGCCTCATATTATTCTCCTCTGTGACATCCAAATCGTCGCTCTCAAACTGCATATCCATATAAGGAATCATAATCACTGTCAACTTATCCCTCTCTTTCCTGATGTCTCTATACCTATTTGTCCGTTTTAATGAACCTACTGTCAAACATCTGTCGATTATCAGTTTGCTGCGGCGATCGGGAGCGTCCCGTATCTTCTTGCCCCGGTGGCACTTTATACTCTAAAATGCTCATTTTCCTCTAGTTCCCAACTCTTCTGATCTGTGGAAAGATTCTCAATGGCACCAACAGTGTCATACTCGATATAGCATAGCATAGCCCTGGACATTCCTGTCCACATCCACAATATAATAACAGTTCGACCAAACAAAATTATGGAATACCTTCGGGTTCCATCTAGGATTCCAAGGAAACCTATCCCAGTGATTCTGGTTTCATATAAAATTTTGAAAATACACTGTTTGCCCTTCTGGAATGATTAAAAGAGGATCATAATCACCATTAACTCGTTTCCGTGTTTTTATTGATGCAATCTAATAAAAAAAAATGAATACCGATTCACTTCAGATCATTCTCAACTTGGAGAACGCATGCTTAGAAAATATCCGCGGAATTTGTTAAGAAAATAAGCACGTCATTTGAGAGGCTTATGGAATCGGCAATAAACTATGGCCGCTCAGTAGGTTGTTAGTTTTGAGCCATAGGTAGTGATTGAAGCAAAAAATGGGGAGAATGAAACAACATCAAATAATTTCTAGTCCAACCACTTTTTACGAGAACATAATACTGGCTGAATATATTACAAAATCAAAGGAACAATCTGGCATTAAAATTATAATTGAATTTTCATTGAAGGGTCTCCGGTTCTGGCATAGTTTCCGATTCTGGCATAATTTCCGTTTCTGACGTAGTTTCCGATTCTATGGAATGATTCTGAACATCACCGCTAGTGAAAAACTCGATATTGCATAGCCTCATATTCTCCTCGGTGACATCCAAATCGTCGCTCTCCAACTCCATATCCGTATACGGAATCATAACCACCGTCAACTCATCCCTGTCCTCCCTGTTGTTCCTATTATTGTCCGTTTCACTAAACTCACTGTCGAACCTGTCGATGATCAGTTTGCTACGGCGATCCGGAGCGTCCCGTTTCTTCCTGCCCCGGTGGCACTTCTTCATGTGTTCTTCCCTGGTGCTCTTGGAGAGAAAGGATTTGTCGCAGCACTTGCAAGGTATCGAGTAGGCCATGTGCTCGTCGAGGTGCTCCTGCAGCTCGATGCGGTCCTTCATGCCCATCGAGCACATGAGGCAGTAGAGGGGCGAGGTGTCGTGTATGGCGACGTGCTTCCTCAGGAGTTCCCTGCAAGGACAATGAACTCAATATAAACACCTGGAAGGGACCCTCTGCGAACCACGAGTGAGGCAAAAATATTGTTCAGGCAACCCGCAGTGTTTACGGATACCTATCTCTGTCTATCTCATGTTGGCTAATGGGAAGCGCTGGCATTATTTGAAATATTTTCTCGTTTTTTGCTTTTATTCAAGAGCATACGTGATTAAATAAAAATATTCATGAAGGAAAAAGGATAATGTTGCAATCAATTATTACTAAAAAATTGTTATTGATTTTTTTATTGACTAAAAAATGAAATTTCATTTCTATTCTTACAGGATTAGGAAGTCAAATGAATACAAAATTGAAATTATATATTTTCATTCAAATGTCACAATATATTGTACAGGGTGAGCGGAGCACAATGTCTCAGCACTATCAGAAGATAAGGAAAAATTTTAGAAGGTGTTCTTGAACGGGTATTGAGTACCTAAGGTCCATTTTGAGCATAATTTCCATAGGTTCCTATTTTTTCATTAGGTCACTGCCTACAAACATATCCCTTTATTAGAAATTGAGAAAATAAAATTCTCAATACAATATCCTTCTCCAATGGAACAGTTTTGGTTTCTTTATTGATGAACTTCGAAACTTGGGAGCTGGAAGTCGTAGGTTTCCTTCAAGGATCAGCATTTTTGGTAAAAAATGCCAATTTCCTTTTGTCTTGCTCGTTCTTGCATCCAAAGGCGACACAATAACCATTGTTTATCAAAACCTTCTCAACAATCAGTTCACAGTGTTCACACCAACAAATTCAGTCGTTTTTATAAAACAAAACACGCCAAATGAATAGATATTTCACATAACCAAAGACAAGAAAACATAAACACAAATCCACCATTAAACAACACAAGTAGGAAAAAGGCAGATTACTGTAAATCATGCTATCTTTGTTGCAGCTGCCGCTGACACACTTTGTGCTATTCCAGTGAACGGCCATCTCCCTTCCAGTTGTTTATATAGAGTTCATTATGCAAGGACTATCTCGAATCAACAAAAACTCAATTGTTGCGTTTTATTTGTTCTTTTCTGGTAGCGGTGGTGGGACCAGATTGACGTTTGCAAATAAACTTTTTGACCTTGCATGAGAGAATTGACATATTATAGATGATTCAAAATCAATATACTAGAGTTAAGAATCTAGAAAATAAATCAACGCAACCAGATAACGAATGATCACGTCACTGTGACGTCCCTAATTGGTGATTTTTCGTCGGAGACACTACACACCAATTTATGACGTCACTATAACGTACTCTCTATGACGTGATAATCACGTCATCGTTTCGACGTCGAGTGAACGTCACTTAGATGGGTGAAAGAAGACGTCAGTTTCATGATGTTGCAGGGACGTCCTGTCGACCTCCATTTTTTCCAGACCTTTTCTAAACAATGGATACTTATATATTATCATGTGAAACAGGAGTATAACTCATGAAAGAAAATCAACATGCAAGTTTTATTCTAATTATTAACATACCCGAAAAGTAGTAGAAAAACTTTTTTCTAAAAAACTTTATCTCGGAAACCAACGAGCTATGTATATATGAAAATTAATGTTTAGGTATACCTATATTGAAACCGTTACTATTATGACGTTGCAGTGACGTATCTATGACGTCTAAAAATAACGTCGGTGTGACGTACCAATTTGGTGAGCTTCGTCATTTAGGAAATTTTTCATTCTCAATAATTTACTATTTTGATTTTTGTTGGGTGACAAAGAATGCATCAATATACATTATTCAACACAGTGAAGCCAAATTCGCCAACATCCTTTCCATTGCTATCAAACTATTCTTTGTTTGCTTACATCTCGCCGACACAAACTACATAATTTTTTATACAAATACGAGTAACTAATTGCATTCTGATGGATGCGTACTGAAGGATGGCGCTGCTGAATGGGCGATTGAATGAACATGACACAGGAGGGACCCACCAAGCAGACTCAACAATGCATAATCAATATTATATAATGTCATCAGAGGCTAGTGGTGTTAATCACACCATGTTAAAGGAATCTTTTTTACGTATCATCGCCAAATTCAATCGTCATTTTGACATCAGTCGGACGTCACAGGTTGGTGAGTGAATGACATCAATACGACGTGAGTCATTGGGCTGTGACTTATTCACGTCATTATCACATCAATGCGACGTCAACTACTGACGTTACCTTGGTCATTCAAGTGACGAAAAAGAGGCGTCACTGGAACGTCATCTGGTTGCCTGGGATTTGGTGCAATGATTGTGGTGATAGCTGAGATCGAGAGTATTCTTTTTATCTGGCAATGAAAATATGAAACCTGTCTTACTTGAAAGGATCATAAACAAACTTGTGGACCACGCGATAAAAATATCTTCTACTTCTACAAAAAGTTTCGTTTTTCGTCAATTTAATTTAATTCTTTGACAACTGTCAACAGTCATTCAACGTCATGTAGTGAGACGGAATTGAAAGTAGCAACCGGAATTGGAAAAGTTGCAAATAAAGCGACACATTAAACTGATTTCAGTGGCGGAATCGAATAAATTAAACGCAACTAATGATCACGCCACTCCATAAAAGAGGCTCCGAAATCGGTAGTTGCGTTTTATTTATCCGATTCCTCCACCGGAATCACTTTGATGTGTCGTTTCATTTGCAACTTTACCGTTTCCCGGTTGCTACTTTTCATTTCGTCTCACTACATGGAATGATGTGGAATGACTGTTGACAGTTGTCAAAAAATGGAATTAGATTGACGAAAATCGAAACTTTTTGAGAGTAGAAGACATTTAGAAGACATATTTATCGTGAGGTTCACGAGTATATGTTCTTTCAAGTAAGACAGGTTTCATACCTTCATTCCCAGATAGAATGAATCTTCTCGGTCTCAGAGAATTTTCTTGAAGCACCACAATCACTGCTCCAAATATGCGTTGCTTCATTTTCAAATTCAAATTCAAATTCACTTTATTTTCCTTTTTGAACAGCAAGTACACTGTATTAGGTTCGTCATACATTAATACATAATGAAGTATGAATAAATAAATGATGCATGAATAAATGATAGATGAGAGAATGAAGCTACAAAAAAAATATGGATACAATTAAAAGTAAAAGTAGAGACATAGATACATATCAGAGGAGGGCATCTCTGCTCTTCATAAGTATAAAGAAATCTTCCACATTGTAGAGAGGATTCGCTGTTAAAAAATTTTTCAGCTTTGTTTTGAACAAGTTGAATCTCAAGTCACGAAAATCAGAGGGCAATGAATTAAAAAGCTTGACACCTATGTCATCACATCTTTTTAAGCGTGTGAGGGGCAGTATCAAATTGTTGTTTTTCCTGGTGTTGTGTGAGTGAACATCAGAGTGTACCTTGTAAGTATTTAAGTTGCTCTTCACTTCTACTAATCCATTTTCTTGATATTCAAATCTAGTTTTTTGATATTGAAATTATTCGGAGCCCAAATATATGAGTATAACCACTATGATTTAAAATATGTCAAATTCTATCATGCGAGGTTATGAGGTTTCTCGTTTTATTAGTCATTTTATTCGAAAACGTCATTCTGTTCCCACCACCGTTACCAGAATGGAACAAATAAAATGCAACTAGTAATTATCGACCGATAGACATTACCAGCAATTGGAAACTGCGTCAAGTTAAGACTTGTTTCCTATTTATAAAATCATGAACTATTAGGTCTGTTCGAAAATTCTCCGAAAAGTGCATTGTAATGTAGGAAGTGTAATGTAGTGGGGTGTACAGGCTGTCCCATTATCGATGTCCTTACAGAATATCTCACTTGTTCAAAGATACAGATTTACAGTTTTCAAGAACATTGCCTACTTTTTCGTGAAACTCACGAACGCTAACCGATGATTTGAAACTTGGCAGGTATACATAGTTCGGGTGGCAATGCATCATGAAATTTTTGTTAGACAAATAAACAAAATGACGGCTCCAAAATGGCGGAAGAGTTTTGTAATTATGATCCGATTCTATTTAAAATTGATATCTGGAGGTTTTTGAGATCGGAGATTATAATTTTTTCGTCAAAATTGAGAAATTCAAGATTTTGAATCTAATATGGTGGACGAGTTTTATAATAATATGATTTGATTCTATTGAAAGCTGCTATCTGACGATTAACGAGGTCGGAGATTATGATTCTTTCGTCCGAAATGGGTACTTACAAAAGATATAGGAACACTAAAAACACGCTTTTTTAGTTAGCTGAACTAAAAAATGGAACATAAATAGTCGTTTAAAAAACTGAAGAGACGCCCTTTAATAGATAGCCAAACTAAAAAGAAGTAGAAAATAATAAAATATTAAAAGTGTATTGATAAATTCCCAACATAGAATGTACGGAGATGCTAATATTTTCTGTGTTGTGTATTTATCAACACACTTTAATTACTTTATTTTGCACTTCTTTTCAGTATGGCTATTTATAAAAGGGCGTTTCTTTAGTTTTTAAAACTATACTATCCATATTTTTTTATTTGAAGCTTTTATCAACTTGCAATGTAGGTATGTATGTATGTAAGTATGTTTGTTTGGGTGGAATCTTTGAACTCAATTTTGAAGTAGATATCTTCAACCGATTGAGCTGAAATTTTCTAAATCTGAAATTGTTTTGCATCTAGAGTATTGTAATCTCGCTTTGAAGGATCATTCAAAATGACCAATTTGCACTGAGGCACGATTTGAAGTGTTGTAAATTTATGGGGATAAGAGAAAAATACGAAATTGGGGAGAATATAAAAATCTTTTCATGAGGTTGAGACTCACACACTGTTAGGAAATTCCTATAAAATTGAGTAAAGAAATTAGAATGAGAGGAAATATAAGTAGAAGGGGGATTGAAGAAACATGGAAAATGAATGGGAATTAGATGAAATATATAACTTGAGGGAAACTGCAGGGGATTAAGAGGAAAAGAGAACGGCAAATCACAGAGACCATGATCATACATACCACAAAATTGAGGATATTTGCGGGAATTGAAGAAAACTCGGGAAATCAACGGGGACAAAAAAAAATATTGTAATACTCAAACACTACTTATGGAGAAATTAGGAATTTGGATGAAAGGAATCGATAGAAAATGCAATGAAATGGTATAAAAATAATAAAAAAAATACATTCTAGTTGTCGTTATACTCACGCTGTCGTATATCTTTGCTGGCACTCGTCACAGTAATGTAACGCAGGCAAGTTGTGGTCCGATATCTGATGGTAGTTGAGCACCTCAACATCATAGAAATAGAGCTGGCATTTGTATTCCCTACAATAAAACTTGCTCTTCTCTTCCTCTTCTTGAGCTCTGCTAACCGACCTCGTCCTCTTCTTTGTCAACCTTCCTTTGGCGTCATATTCTACAGTCTTTATGAAATGAACAAACAGAGATCCATAATAGTTACTTACATTATATTTCCTTTAACTGTCAAAAAAGAGGACAACCTCATTCAACTCATGATGTGAATGATTAAATGATATTTCGCAATTATTATCAAGTACATTTACTCATTTTATGTCACTTTATTGATAACACCTGGTTTCTAAGGACATCTCATTAACTCTGTTTTTATATTGCAAAAACGTACAGTTGTCCAAGAGCCGGCTGCTAACGAAATGAAAAAGGGCTTTCACGCTGGGTTGATAGTTGCGCAATACTTGGTAACAGAGTCGTGCCAAAACTGCACATCGAAAAATACTAGTAACTTTCGAAATGGGCGAACCGCGTTATCGATTTGAGTTGGCAAAACTGTAAACCGATGCCAGATTTATTTCACATTACTAGAAGCGATTTGTTGTGATCAGCTGATCTCGGCGAATTATTCGTTACTGAAAATTTGTACTTTCAAGGAATTGTTTGTGATTTATTTGTGGATCATTGGTGAAATCTGAATTATTCAAAATGCCTAAACCATTGAGTGCGCAGGCGCAGATGATGGTGGTATCATTGATACAATATTTCGAAAATGAACGTGATAACTATGGCCCATTACTTCCACTGACTGTTGTGAGAGATGTAAGTTGAATGATGATATTAATAATGATATTTTGTGTTGTCAGAATGATCCAGATATGATTTGTCTGAATTAGTGTTGGTTTCATAAGTTTTTGTGGGTTTTTCTCATGAATTATATTGAGAATATTGAAGTAAGAGCAACTCTTGCTGTCTATTTCTTAATTCCCAATATAAGTAGATGCACCATTATTTATTTTCCCACGAAATTAAATCAATTGATCGAATTTCTATTTCATTTCACAAATTTATAGTAATTGAAAAACATTCAAAACGATTAGCTAACCTCAAAATTGAATTAAAAGTTTTTATAATTTTCACTCAGTAAATGTGAATACCTACTGATCAGTTCAATTAGGAAAAATGAATTCAAGCCATAATTGTGTATTTGTAGGAAAATAAGTTATTTTTGATGTTAATATCTGTAATTGTTTGTTGATGTTGTTATATATTGAATCATTCTTCAAGTTATTATTCTTTATAAGAATTCCATTATCATTAAATTTCATATTCAGTATATTGTTTAGGTTCCTGGTCCTTCGAATACGAATATTGAAGTTCATTTTCAAGTGCTGATTTTGAAACATAAATGGAAGGCTTTTGAGTTGGTAGCAAAAAAAAACATTATAACGTCCGATGATCGTAGCACTAGATATATCCATATTCGGGCGGTTGGTCATTCAGTCATTTCCTTTCAACTGGCAACACTGTATGTGTTGGCACATTGACGTCACTATCAACTCAGTGTGAAAGCCCTTTATATGTCCCAAAGGCATGTAAAACCATGGTATTTTCCATCAAACCATAATTTTGGGAAAATTCGGTACCTTATTGAAGAAATAAATCACGATATTCATGACACAGCAGAATTTTTGAATCGAATTATCTCGAAAATGGTGAATGCTATGGAAACAGAACAAGAGTTCCATTTTTGAGTGAAAATGTTGATATTTACATATTCGCTGGTCTAAGTGCAAAAAATTGCCAAAAACAAAAAGGTTGGGAGAAAAAGTGCACCTGCCCCACCTATTTCCGACGCTTCTGATAAAAATGTCGGAAGTTTCTCAACACTTCCGAATCGGTCATAAAAAGTTGGGTACATGTGCAAAATTTGGTTATTTCATCACCGAGGGTTTCGGAAATATTCTCATGAAACCATCATCTCGGGCTTCCCTTCAGATGGGTGTAACCTTCCAGGAGGCTCTTTTTGGACCCATGTTTATATGAACTTTTTTCACTTTATAGCTCATTTTTCTGAAATACTCCTGTTATTAGGCAACGTGGAAGTTTCCTTCAGATGAATTTTAATAAAATAAGTTCGGAACTCTCCAGTTTTAGGTCCACGCTGTACAGAATGGCGACCAACAAAGTCCAAGTCGTTTTAATTTTCAAATTAAAGCAATTTCTAATTTTAGGAGCGGCAAACTGTGACGCACATTTTGAATCTAGTCTGAAAATAGCTGATGGTGAAGAATATAGCTATCGAATAGCTAACGAATGGCTAACGAATAAAAAAATAGAAGAAGTAAAACTGGTAAACAAAAACATACATAACCACAAATGCACTCGGAGCAGAAATGCAGAGGGTAGTTGGCTTCATTCTGACAGGTTATGGTTTTGTTATTTATGCATTGAAATATCTGGAATAGAGCTGGATCCTAAACGAGAATATCATTAAATCAATGAATCACTATCGGCTACATTCAATGATACTATCCTTCCTAATTTACTGCCATCGGTCAGAACAGAATGAAGCCGACACCAATGTCTCCTGCCTCTTGTTGTGCCTGTCAGTATTTTGAGTGGTGTGGACGGAATCAAAGTACTAGGTGCTTTTGCAAGATATAATCTGCAACTTTCCTAGGAAATAGATCCGCTTTATTAAGGAAAGAATTCATTAACTAAAAAATGACTGACAAATAACATATTGTAATATAACGATAGTGAAAAATTATAGATTCTATGGCAAAATTCATAATTTATCTTTATTAGTAATCAACTTCATTCAGCCAATGAGAGATTTATGGGAATTATTGATAATACTTGACAAAGTAGGATTAAAAAACCTATTATATCCCATTGCTGTTATGATATAGTCATTATTCATTCAGAGAACAATTTCCGGAAATCTAGACATATGGATGATGCAACGTCGTACTGGCACAGGGAATCGTATTCTAACTCTGTGTGAATGTGGATTTTCAGAAAGTACGTCATAGGAATGGTGGAGGAGCCAAGTTCCTCTTTCATTTATTTTTTTCTGAAGTCAAATTTGATATTACGAAAAAAAAACGTATAGGTTGATTTTTTACAAACTTCACAGTGAGATGAGAACCTCAATATAGTAAACTTCTCCATTAACCTGTCGGATATATAATGAATAAAAAAAATAACTTCAAGGAACAAGTACTAAATTTCTTGACGTAATTCACTCAAAAAACAAAGAAGTCATGCATTGAACTTGATATATTGAAATAAAAATTCTGGAACATGCCCAATGTTACCTGTTTTTTCTTCGATGGGGATCTTCTGTTGGACCTACAGCTCACCGAGGAGTAATTACTGATTGGACTCGAGAATCGCGATACGTCCGAAGTGGGACTGGCTCGGCTCGTTCTCGATCTGCCTCGCTTCGGCCTCGTCCAGTTGTGACCTTTACGCTTTCTTCTGCGTTTGACAATCTTTCTGTCCACATTGTACCCACTGTCCTCATTGTCCTCACTGTCCCCGCTGATCTCGTTGACATCGCTGAAGTTCGAGGACACTTCTGAGCGGGCGCAGCAGATGGTGGATCGACCTGGAATTAAAGAGGTTCTTTCATCACTTATTTCTTGTTCCTGGGTATTTTTATTAGAGAACTTGATACCGCCCAATCGGAAGTTTTCATTTAACTAGATCTCATAACTAAGAGATCTAGAATGAACAGATTTGCCCCAATGGGGAAGTTTCCTTCCGATAAATTTTCATAAAATAAGTTCGGAACTCTCCAGTTTTATGTCCACGCTGTACAGAATGGCGACCGATAAGGTCCAAGTCGTTTTCATTTTCAAATTAAAGCAATATCTTATTTTCGAGGCGGCAAACTCTGACTTACATTCTGAATCTAGTCTGAAAAAAGCTGAGGGTGCAGAATATAGCTAGCCAATACTAAGGAATAGCTAACGAATTAAAAACGAATGAAAAAAATAGAAGTAAAACCGGTAAACAAAAACATACATAACCACAAATGCACTCGGAGCAGGAATGCAGAGGGTAGTTGGCTTCATTCTGACAGGTTATGGTTTTGTTATTTATGCATTGAAATATCCCGAATAGAGCTCGATCCTAAACGAAAATATCATTTAATCAATGAATCACTATCGGCTACATTCAATGATACTATCCTAACTTCTTGCTATCGTCAGAACAGAATGAAGCCGACACCCATGGCTCCTTCCTCTTGTTGTGCCTGTCAGTATTTTGAGTGCTGTGGACGGACTCGAAATATTAGGCGCTGTTGCAAGATATAATCTGCAACTTTCCTAGAAAATAGATCCGTTTTATTATGGAACGAATTCATTAGCAAAAAATAACTGACAAGTTATAAATAACATATTGTAATATATCGATAGTGAAAAATTATACATACCATCGCAAAATATCATAATTTATCTTCATTTGTAATCAACTTCAATCAGCCAATGAGAGATTTATGGGAATTATTCATAATACTTGACAAAGCAGGATTGAAGAACCTGTTACATTCCATTGCTGTTATGATATAGTTTTTATGCATTCAAGAACAATTTTCAGAAATATAGACAGACATATTGATGATGTCGGCAACGTCGAACACACAGATAATCGCATTTTAACTCTGTGTGAATGTGGATTTTCAGAAAGTACGTCATAGGAATGGTGGGGGAGCCAAGTTCCTCTTTCATCTAATTTTTTCTGAAATGAAAGTTGATCGTACGAAAAAAAAAACGTATATATTAATTGTTTACAAACTTCACAGTGAGATAAGAACTTCAATATAGGAAACTTCCCCATTGTCAGCAGCAGCGAGAGTACTGTTTCGGCCTACCAGGCCTCATCAGCCGCTCTCGGTCTGCCGACAACTGGGACAATACTCAACGTTTCGGGTATATTAGAGTCACTGGATGGCATCAGTTAGATGAGAGTTCGGACACAGAAATGACAACTGTGTTTTTGAATGTTTAGATTTATTAAGTAACACACCTTGCATTTTGACAAGAGCACCATAGTCTTCCCGCAATTTTTCATTCAAAATTGACTGAATTTGACAATACATTTCATGCGACTATTTAAAAAAGAAAATCTATTACTTATCATCACACGGAATGCAAAACAAAATTATCATATATAATTCCACAAGTGATAATATTTTGCCGGAAATATTCGGTGATTGTTACGACAGCTTGTTGCCTAGTAATTTCGTGAATGACATTGTTATCAAAACTACGAGCCGTAGGCTGTCTATCAATAGTTTTTATTTTTTCATGAAGTTAATTAAAGAGATATATGAAAACAAGCCACTTTCTCTCTACAAAATAGCGTTCTTTTTCTGTAAGACGTTTCGTTTCGGAGAAACCATCATCAACTATACCCTATGATAGACATCCTCATCTTGGACTCACTGTATATCATTGAATGGCGTTTTCAATACCGACCGAACTAGCTATAAGTAGGTCTAGATGGCGTTAAACCCGTGTGGCACACCTGTGTTCACAGGAGATTCCTCTGAGACCATAACTGTTAATTGAATTGGTGTTAATAGTCTATTTCTATTTTCCATCTACGGCAATGATTGATTTGACAGAAAATGTGACCTCTAAAATCGTATCTCACAATCAGACGCTACTAGGGTAATTGAAAAAAGAGCAAAATATAATATGTCTTTTCTTTTATTCACTCGAGCATTGTGATTAAGAAATAGAAAAGGATAGGAGTTCAGCTGTGTCCGAACTCTTATCTACTAATACCATCCAGTGACTCTAGGGTATATCACCCATTTCGAAGACACCGGATAATAAATGAAGATCTCTAGAGATCTGAACACACAGTAGACGCTAGAAGACAAGATTTGAAAAATCAAGACCAGATTCTTCACTTGGATAGCGACGATAGGTTGTTATTTTTAATAATAGATGTTTGATTGTTTTTGATAAAAGGGAAATGATATTAAAATTACAACCCCCACATAATTGGTGACCCAGACGTGATACTTCAAGCATTTTCGACAAACAAATAACGTTTAGTGACAGTGATAGCAGCTGAATTCTACGTTGGACAACATCTTTTATCAGTATGAACAGCATTGGCGGCGGAGATACCGGTATCAACAAAGATCTCTTTGACGAGCCAAACTTGATTGAACAGCAAGTTAATCAAGCGGCGAAATCGCAAGTCAGTCTTGAGGTACTCATCACCATTCTGAACAAAAAAGGTACAGCTTCTGTTTTCATCAGTTGAATACCAGTTTCAGAACCGAATCCAACAACTGCAAATAAGTACAAAGATATTAAAGATGAACTGCTGATTCATTACCCTGTGTCTCAGCAAACTCTATTCAGAAGATTAGTTTCTGGTCTCGATTGGGACACAAACGACCTTCAGAATTACTGACAGAAATTATCAAACTCAGTGATAATTAGCTAACTGACAATTTCACAAAAACGCTCTGGATGGACGGCTTCCCACACAACAAGGGCAAGTTGCGCTCGCAGCAGCAGATGGTCTGAACAACAATGCTTTGGCACAGCTAGCCGATGAAGTTGTTGAGATTCAAGGAAATTCAATGCCGGGGCAGATTATGCCTATCTCACAAACGCAGGAAAGCATCGATCTGGACCATCGCATAGATGATCTCACCAAGCAAGTGCAGGTATTAACTCTAAGAGATTTTTCACGCGGAATATGTTGTGTATTACGTAGTGCCACTCCACGTACTCGGAACAAAGGTCTATATTAAGCCTAATTTTTAAGAGAAAGTACCTATTTTTCCATAAACAATTCACTATTAGAAGGTGAATGAAAGGTGAATGAAAAGTGAATAGACATACAATATCAAGACAAATTTTTTCATTAAAGATGAATATCTGCGACACTGCGGCGCCCAGAATGTACACCTTCATTTTTTCCTTCCTGAAGAAGGAGAAGCTCTGAAGGCAAATCTGACAAAACAATATTCTGATGTAGCTCTAGAGTTTAAAACTTTGAACTTCGAAATGTTTTTTTAGTATCTCATCAAGATTGTCATTCTCCTTTTTACTTTTTGTTTCAGTGTTTTCACTTTTCTTTACAATAGAATAGGTCTTCTTGAATGAAACAGTTTGAGGGTTTCATTATCAATAAACTTTACATAACATGGGAGCTGGAAGTTGTAAGCAAATCAATGTCCATATGAAAAACGTCCTCTGAATCCAAGTCATGAACATCTAGTCACATCCACAGACACATCCTGAAAATAAATTACTATAGTTTTCCTATGGATCTGAATAATTTTCAACTTACCCATGGAGGACAATTTCTATTTGTCTTGCTTGTTTTGCATCCAAAGGCAACACAATATAAATAACCATTGTTTATTAATTCAAAATCACAAATGTTTTCAACAAAAATCAATTCACACCAACAAATTCAGTCCTTTTAAAAACCAAAACATGCCAAATTTTGCGATATTTCACATAACAAAAAACAATGAAGTTCTGTCTTCACTTTTTTGCCTGTTAAGATGGAAAAAAAAAGATCTCAAGTACTCCAATCATTAGATAAAAGAAAATTTAAACACCAATCCGCCATTAAATAACAACATGAATGTGAAAGAGACAGTTTACCATAACACAAGCTATTTTTGTTGCAGCTGCCCCTGACACACTCTGTGCTATTCGAGAAACCGGCAGTCTCCCTTCCAGGTGTTTATATTGAGTTCATTGTCGCAACGTCAGATGATGACCTTACGCCTGTCCATAGCTACCCATTAACCACACTTTTCAGGTTTGGTTTGAATAAATACTCATGAAAATGGTTTTTATATAATAATTGACTATTATACAATTTTAATACCTGTAATTGTCCTTTTTTATGATCATATTATTCCTAAAATTGATTATACTATTATTGATGAGTAATAATTGGAATTCCTATACCTCCCAACTTCTTCCAGAATTATGAAACCAAACATATGAAGATTTCTTATAACATCAATAGTATCACCAATATAGATAATTCGACAATTACAGTAAGAAAATCGGGTCTGTAACAATGTTACATGCAATGTAATGTCATTTCATGGAAATATATCAAAATCACACTGGCAGAATACCTATTTGTTTACATTCTAAAAATATGGAATATTACATATCCTACAGAGTCTGTAGTGGTGTGCAGAATAGCAGCATAACTCTAGTCACTTACTCAAACTACGTTGTCGCTCACTCTCCGCGATCTTGCGCTCCTGCTTGCTCCGATATGGCTCAGAGAACATCAGCGTCATCAATTTGGAAGGTGTCGGCGTCCTGTTGAGGGTACCCTGGCACTCTTCGATGTCATCGCCGTCGACTTTCAAAGAGGCGAAGATCTTCCACAGCTTTCCCAGCTTGCCGGGCTGCGGCTGGTCGCACGGGTTCGAGATCAGCGACCAGATGTTCCTTATCAGCTTGGCGATGTTGTCGAGGATGTTCATGCATGCGTTGCATACGCAGCTTTCGGGAGTGAGGTGGACGGAAACCTAAGAAATTCCAACTTACTGTTACTGAGGTAATGGAAAATACTATGTTGAAAATAATATTCAAACGTGAGAAAAGGTACTCCACTGTAGCACTATACAAAGAAACAGGCTTATTTGATGTGAGTAAATTATACACCTATAATTGCATACTATGGAATCATAATAACCCAACCCTTTACATAAATGAAAACCGAGCTAAATTTAATAAAAAAACGAGTGTCCCTCTCTGTAGATTAACCCGCACTCAAAGATTCATATCATACTCTGGCCCAAAATTAATGAACGTAGCTCCTACAGAAATCAGATCAATTTCTAATAAACACAAGTTCAAGTCGAAATTAAAAGAATATGTGAATCAAAATTATGATGTATTGAAAACTGTATACGAGCTGGATCCTTGATAAAATTGTTCAGTATATTACAGATATAAACCACATCTTACTGAAGGTAATACTATGAAGTAACTAAACAATTCAGCCTCACCACTCTCTCTTTCCACTAGACCTATATTCATTATGTACAATTTTTTTTTTTCTCTTTGTTTCCTCACCAATATTAGTGTTTATTTCATTATTCCTCGATTGAACGCACAAGATGACTGACTCCTCAAATTATACAGGGTGTTTCATAATTGAATGTCAATATTCGAGGAGGCGATTCTTGGGCTCATTCTAAGAAGAAAGTTTCATATGAACGTATGACCTAAACGTCCCAACTTTGGAGATACAGGGTGGTAAAATTCTCGAAAATTAATATAGCCTACTACAATGAGAAGTTATAATTCGAAAATACCAAATACGAATACAAAGTTCATGAACTATGAATTGTATTTCTGAAATTTGATCTTAAAAATAAAAACTATTTCTCTGCATTGTGATATTATCATATTAACAATATTACTATAATCATGTAGTGAAAAGCTTTTTATTTTTAAGCGAAAACCGTGCATCAGATTGAAAAAATTGTAGTGATCAAATTTGCTTAGAAATGATCGGGAATTTCAGGAATGATTTCAATTTGGAGATTAATCAGTGGCGTACCATCAATGTCTGCCAAAATAGGTATGTGAAATTCCATACGAACGCCACTGGTGGCAACAACAAAAAATGTGGTACGCTAACTGATGCCTCTTGATACATAGTACATGTATGCCAAATTTCATCAGAATATCTGAAGTGGTATTACAGATATTAATAAAAAACTATTAATTTTTGAGAACTTCACCACCCTGTATCTCAAAAGTTAGGATGTTTAGGTCATACGTTCATATGAAACTTTCTTCTTAGAATGGGCCCAAGAATTGCGTCCCCAAATATTGACATTCAATTATGAAACACCCTGTATACAGGTAGCCAATTGTATATAAAGCAGTATAAGTTGTTTATAGGCTGATGACTACAACTCAAGCTTTGCTCAGGTCGCTCAGCCTTTGTACGATTTAATGTATTTAACCTATATGTAATTACCTGAATAAAATTTCATTTCATTTTTCATATCATTTCTTTAATAATGATAATAATCTTTATTTCGAAGAAAAAAGCGTAGGTACAGCAAATAACATTCGAGGGGCATTTCGCAGAGGAATTTTGTTGTACACTCATGTGGAATTACAAGGAATTGCCGAGGAATTGAGAGGAATTGCGAGTCATTGAGAGGCATTACAAGGAATTATGAGGAATTGTGAGGAATTGTGAGGAACTGTGAGGAATTATGAGTGACTTGCGAGGAATTTTTGGCATTCTAGTACGAATAGCGCATGCGTGAAGACCTCGATTACGTAACATCTCGCGTGTTGTCTTACCGTAAACATAAATCTTCAGTAAGTTCAGTAATCTCTCAACTCAAGCTAGGGAGAGAACATCACGTCAATCATGTGTATTATACGTGAAATGAATTTTCTGGAGAAATAACTGCAACTGCCTAGAAAGCCAGACAACATTAGAGGTAGAAAAAATTGAAAGAGTTGATTTACTGAGTTCCCATGCTGATAATGATGACCTCTAATCGAAGATGGAAGATATATCAAATAAAAATCGAACGACATTATCTGGGGGTGTGGGGGTTAATGTTACCCAGATGATACCTATGACGAGTTGTGTCCCCTTGTGTAACATTTTCGAGGTGTATTTTGGTTTCTCCTAGAAATCATTATTTCACGAGATATTCAGGATTTCATTTCGTTCGATCTCCTTGTGTTCAACACAATATTTTGAAAGACAAGCTTTATAAATACGGTATGTACCTAGATAACAGGTTACAATCTGTGAAGATTATCGATAAAGGAAATACCTATATGTCTGATTTTATGGTAAATGCACAAGGAGTTCAACAGGGATCCATTCTTGGGCCCCTGTTATTTATCCTTTACATAAATGAGTTACCTTCTGTTGTACCAGAGTCTTTTACCACTCTTTATGCAGATGATTCAACATTTTTGTTTAGTGAAAAAGACTCAAACATTTTAATGGCCCAAATTGTGAATGCTTTGTTGAAATTTTCTGCCTGGTCTAGTGATCAATCCTCGTTGTTTAATACAACTAAAACGAATTTTATATCATTTCATCCTCGCCAAAAAACTTGTATCCCTGATATATTGGTTAACAACTCAAACATAACAAGAAAAGGAAATGTGAAATTTCTGGGTGTATTATTTGATTCATATTTGTCCTATTTATTGACCTATATTACTGGCCAATTTTAGTATTTTAAGGTAAATGCTCTAGTTTCGGTTACTTTTCAATTTTAATTTGTTCTTTTTGACCTGTCTTATGTCATTATTTGATATTATGAGATCAATAAATTCTATTCTATTCTTGTATAGGTACCGGGCGAGGTACCAGGTGATTTTCCATGGTGGCTCACCCCCTCGCTCACTTTTTCATGATTGAAGGTAGTTCGAAATTCCGGGGTTGTGAATGATAGTTCCTTGACATTCTGTAACATATCTACTTGCTTTGGTGACTTGGCGTACTTCCGGTTTCACCGGGAATGTACCCAATAACTTTAGATTTTAAATTGGACACCCTGTATTTCATACCATCATCGGTTGAGGAATATCGTAACGAATTCAAAGATACTGGGTTCGATAGGGTTATTGCGAATGATTACGAAGATATTTGCATTTGAAGTTTCCATATTTTATGATCAATGGGTGTGACGGCGCAATTCGCGAGATTCACGAAGTGGGCGACATCTAGGTTACATAATACGAACTTCAAACTGGGGGAAAACAAACTGTTGTCTATGGAGAAAGTGCATAGACTACATTGCATTCAGCTTGCTGTAGCTGTAGTCAAACTTGTCAATGAAATAAAGTGTTGGCACTGTTGGTAGTGATGATGGTTGGGTTGGTTAATTTTTTTACATTATTACATTTTTCATTTTTATGACGAGCAAATCAATTGACATATAAAGGAACAGCTACAACATGTTTACAATACCCAGATTGTCCTGCTTTGCAGGAACAAATAAAAATGCATTGTTCTACAGGAGTTCCTTAGGACCCCAACTTCAATTTTACTCCATGTGGGGAAGATTTCATCGCCGATGTTTGTAGACAAAGTGCACAATGTGCCTTTTGTTGAAGTCTTCTGCCTCACAGAAAATCACATGATTAGCACAGAGAACTGCTTCTCCTTCCACTACTGGTCGGCTTTTTCCATCTAAATAGAGCAAAATATCTGCCAAAAGAACATCTACAACAGGCATTAGCGTTTTCGATCGAATATTGACAATTAATGTCAAGAAATTTAAAAACTCATCACTCTTATCAGTACAGTGTGTCCAGTTTTCGATGCTTTTGCATGATATCTCAGTTATCTTTGGAGATAGAACCTTGCGGTTTGCGCGATCCTGTGCTACTTTTTTGTGAAACTCAAAATGGCCTAATCAGATTTTGCAGGACTGTTTCCGTTTATGAGATACAAGGCGATTTTGAAAATTTATACTTTTTGGACCCCCTCTATATCTACGAAGTTTATCAGCGAAAATGTCAAATTAAAATCTTGACCCATAGAGAATTTTATGCACAATTCAGTGGCGCACAAAAATTTTTTTTTCGGGGTGTGGCTTTGAAAATACGACTCAAACTTATGATTTTTTAAATTGAACACCCTGTATTTTATAGGCTCATTAAATTCCTTATTTTTTTCCCTTTGAAATGATATATGATGTATAAATATAACATCTTCAAAAATGTTAAAAAATCACTAAAACATTGAATTTTAATAGTGGGCTATGGGTTTTCCGAGGGATTATCATATAAAGAAATTTACAATTGAAGGAATATCTCCTTTGATTGTGCCATGAAGGGGGAAATAATAATTTCAACACTAATTAACTTGCAATACACAAGACTCAGATATACCTGATATCCACAAATATATAGTAATGAGAAGTTTATAATGTAGAATAAGCACCTGATTGAATATTTACTGAAACAATTGAATCTCGAAATTATTCAGTGATTTATTCATTGAATTGTTCGAATTGATGTCCATTTTTCATCACAAACTTTCTCATATTAATCATTGAAAGATGTCTTTGTAATTCCTGGAAAACTGCCTCTGTTGTTGCACAATGTTCTTCAAGTATGTTGGGCCACTCACTGTATTAAGAAGTATTGAGAAAGTTTGTCAACTGTATATGGGGGAAAATGGATATCAATTTGAACATGTCAATGAATAAGTTACTGAATAATTCCGGAATTCAATTATTTTAGTGAATATTTAATCAGGTGCTTATTCCACATTATGAACTTTTTATTACTATTTATTTGTTGCTATCAGGTACCCAAGTTTAGTGTTTTGTTAATTAATAAGTGTTGATATTGGTTTTGACCTCTCCATGGAAAAATTTAAAGAAATATTTCTTCAATTGGAACGTTTTTCATTAGAAAAATCCATAACCAACTATCAAAATTCAATATTTTAGTGATTTTGAGCAATTTTGAGAATTTTATATTCATTCGTTATATATCATTTTGAAGACAAAAAAATAAGGAATTTAATGAGCTTATGAAATACAGGGTGATCCATTTAAAAAATCATAAGTTTGAGTCGTATCTCCAAAACCATACCCCGAAAAAAAAATTTAAGTGCGCCACTGGATTATGCGTGAAATTCTCTATGCGATAAGAGTTTGATTTGACATTTTTGTTGAGAAACTTCGTGGATATAGAGGGGGTCCAAAAAGTATAAATTTTCAAAATCGCCCTGTATCTCATAAACGGAAACAGTCCTGCAAAATCTGATTAGGCCATCTTGAGTTTCACAAAAAAGTGGCACAGGACCGCGAAAACCGCAAGGTTCTATCTCCAAAGATAACTGAGATATCAGGCAAAAGCATCGAAAACTGGACACACTGTACACAGTACACAAGCTAATAGTACTAATGGGATTGAGTGAGGATTTAGTTTGTTTTTCCCCAGTTTTGACGTGGCTTTGACATGGAACGATGAAAACCGAGCGCCACCTGGTAACATTGATTCCCGCGAATATCGAAACTTCTTTTTCTGTCACACTCATTGAGCATATTAAACCTTGGAAAATCACCCGGTAATCGGTATATTATTATACAAACCGAGATACACATTATCTAATAATGCTGGGTCACATATATCTTTTAGAATATAACACCTTATTTACACTATATTCTAAGCTCAGATTAGGATATGAACAACATTCTCTTTTTTCATCTCTTGGATCGCACGAAAAGGAATCCCAATTATATTCGAAGAACATCTTGCGTATTTAGGGAAGATAGGGAGAGGGGATAGGTACAGGGTGATTCACCATAAATGTCCCCCCCTTTAGCTCACTTATTATTGAACCGATTTGAAAATTTGAAAAATCATCTAAAATGATTTTTCAGAATTTTTTTTCCGTTGCATCAGAAAATACATGGCGCTCGGACCAAACGATCTACAGAGTACTACTTGATTTTTTCAAATGGCACACCCTGTATTTCATTGTATTTTTATATTCTCCCTGAAGAGCTGATTTCATCAATATATCACACCTGGGGTCTAGCGGGAATGATTACAGAGATATAGGGAGTTCAAAATCGAGATTTTTCAACTTTAGGATTTTTTTGTGTTGAAACTATTCATTATTGGTCAAAACGGCTTTCATGTCCGTATCTCTCTTTTGATTCACTAACTACTGACATTTATTAATTGGAACAGATACAGGGTGGTCAGAATTCTGAATCTTGAATCACACTGTATACATATGTTCCAATTGAATGTCAGTAGATAGTAAATCAAAAGTTGAGATAGGAACATTGGAGCCGTTTTGACCAATAATGAATAGTTTCGACACAAAAAAATCCTAAAGTTAAAAAATCTCGATTTTGAACACCCCATATCTCTGTAATCATTCCCGCTAGACCCCAAGTATGATACATTGATGAAATCAGCTCTTCAGGGAGAATATAAAAATACAATGAAATACAGGGTGTTCCATTTGAAAAAATCAAGTAGTACTCTGTAGATCGTTTGGTCCGAGCACCCTGTATTTTCTGATGCAACGGGAAAAAATTTTCTGAAAAATCATTTTAGATGCTTTTTCAAATTTTTAGATAGATTCAAAAATAAGTGAGCTAGAGGGGGGGACATTTATGGTGAATCACCCTGTACGTATTGGAAATTTTTTGTCGATAATAAAAACATATTATCTCTATTGATTAAATATCAACAAGTATCACAAAAAATATGAGGAATATCGAGGAATTGCCAGGAATTGCGCGAGGAATCGAGAGGAATTACGAGGACATGTGAGGAATTACAAGGATTGTGAGGAATTGTGAGCCATTACGAGGATTTACGAGGTATTACTACTCAATATATTGAATTATGAGGCATTATGTTGGCATTGAGGAATTAGTGTACACAATTTCACTCAGCGTAATGCCTCGATAACATTACAGTAGCAATACTGACCCCTGATTTATAGATTCAATAACGTAAGATTTTTCCAGTACAGTTTTTAGAATGTCGTTCCGCAAAACGCTGATCGTGGCTGCACCAAGAGATGCCCATTTCCATCTTCCTATGTTCGCGTTGTGGAATAGTGACAGAACGTCATGCAGAAGGGAGGTTGGATTTATTGTTTGATTTACATTAGGACATGATTAGAGATATTATACAGGGTGGGTCACGGTGGATGGCCTATTAGAAGTATCTGGAGAACGAAAAAACAGAACATTCTGGAAATTAGGGTACTTCGATAATTGGACATTCTCTATAAGTCTAAAATGTTTTCATCGATACAGTGTTGCCACTTCTATCAGAAACAACTAGCAAAAAATTCATCTAATGTTCATGAATGCGCTGATTAAACGTACGACCTGTCTGACCAATATATACCTTAGGACAGCACAGTTGAGTTTGTATACCCCCGAATTTTCGAAAATGTTCGTATTACAATTCCCTTGATATTTCTGAGATGCAAAATGATATGATGGAACCCAAAATAAGTTATCTGTGATGACATTAATTTCGAAAAATTGAGTTACCATGGTGAACGTTGATTCCATCAATGATATTCCTCACTGCAACCATGATGTATTTATATTGTTCTTGAGAGGTGAAGAAGTATTCACAAAGAAAAATCAAATACACTGGTCGTGCATAAAATATTGTATGCATTTCAGGCATAACTTAATTTTATGGGATAAATATTATAACAATCATTGACAACAAGGCTGTCAAGTTATCTGAAGTCACAAAAAGATAAAACCATGAGGCTCAATAGTTCACTTTCATGTAATTTTGATTATTTGAACAGTAGGAACATTTTCTGATCAATCTTTGGGAAGTCCATCTATCATAGAAAGTAAATAATTTTACTCAAATTTACAAACTACTTGTCTAAGTTATAATTTTAATATCTCATTTAATACTGATTTACACAAAATTATAATTTCAAATTGTGGTTCTTATCCATGATTTTCACTTTTCAGTGATGATTAGAATTTAGGCTGGAAAAATGTAAAATGATCTGACCCAGTAACTTGATTACTATTAAAATCCCTAGACATTTAAAATGTACTTCAAATCCGATTTAGAGTAAATTTTACTGATCATTTCATTATAAATATAACATGATATGGATGCAACAAAAGTGTATTGTTTAGAACAAAATTAAACTATAGAAAACAACAATTTCCATCAATTTCAACATTTATGTTTACCCCATTGCAATTAGCCAAGTGATAAAGGGGTAAATCATTATTTTTGCAGTTGTTACTTTTATTAATTTTAGTGGCATTTCATTTTTTCTTTCCTAATGTTTTCTTTAATATGTTATGTGCATAAAAAAATACATATACACCTCAGGACAAAAGTGTTTTTTAATCCCTCAACAAATTATATTTGTCTCTGGATTTAAAATATCACTCTAATCACTAGGAGTATAATGTACTATTTGTTGCAACCAACTCAAAAGTAGTCCATTTTATGTTTCAATTACTAACACAAAACTATGAACTAAAAATAGGTATGTTGCTAGGCAACATTATTACTTCCTAGGAGCTGAAGTTGAACTTCAACTCCTAGGAACTAAAAAGGTTTTACTAGGTCACCAAGAATAAACAACATAGGTAAGTATTCATTATATCTAACAAGTAACTCAAATACACCTACATAGTTGATTTGTATAATATTTATATTGAAACAACCATTCAAACATTCTTGAAAATTGAATAAACCTGATCTGTAGTCTCTGTTGACATGATGCATATCAACACAAATTGTAACAAAGTAAAGTACCTAGTCTGAGGCCTTGTTTCTATCTACTTGTCAAGTGATTCTCATTGGTGATTGGTGGTTACTCCACTTATATTTATTTTATTTGGGTTTTAATTCTCTGGGTTGCATAAAAAAAATGGCATGTTTCATTAGAATCAAAAGTGACTTTGTTTGACTTGCAAATTTTTCTTTGGTTTGTCTTTGCTGAACAATCTACTAATATGCCTTGAAAACTAGTAGATAATTTGACTTTATTACTTACTGGAATTTAGTGTGAAAATTATTATAAGAATTATCATGAGAACAAAGACAAGAACATTGTTTAGATAGATAACTGGCAACAATATATACCATTGAATTGTTATTACTTGGTATCAATTGTTAATCACTCATCAACACCTGAGGTTGCATTCATATTCAAGTTTGATTATATTATCATATACTTTTACCAGTGGTTTATATGCTCATTATTGACCATTCAAAGGGACTAGAATAGTTCTGATGAGCCAGGTTTAAATGGATCAATATCATGCACTTCTGTTACTTAACAAGTGAATGATGAAAATGGGGCTACTTCTGCCTTTGTCTGTACATTCTGGCACTTGAAACAAAAGCACCATGAAATTATAGATTAATAATTTGTTCATAAAATCTCATTTACTTACATTTGATTTCAACTTAACAGCTTGCTCTATTTTCAATAAGACATGGACTAATTTAAATATAAGTTAAATCAGATTCTTATCAATGCATTTTGTATTTGAGTGGGCCTAATGATTGTACTCTTGAGATTAGTTAAAATCAAATATAAATCAAATATGTTATTTTCTTGGTTATTTCTATGAACAGACCATAAAAAAAGAAATGAGTAATTGGAAATGTCTAGACCACTTCTAGGCATCAGTATAATATAATCAATCCCATAATGGTGTTGATTCTTATACATATTTGAAATTTTCAAGTAGGCATTTCTTTGACTACCAAATTGCCAGGGTGAGGAAAAATCACATAGAAACAGCTTCTTCAGCCCTTGGAACCCATGAACCACTTTCTAGAATTCTTGTAGCATTGATTCCATGTTATATTTAGTGATGATTGCATATTCAACATCACAAGAACAAACCATCTCTAGAAACTAATGCAAAATAATTCAAATTCGAGTGGATATCTACTTTTTCTCCATATATCTCCACCAGATCATCTCCAACAGTGTGGTTGATGTTGCCATAATTTGAGCCGACGCTAAAGAGGCGAACGTCGAATTTGCGGCATACCATGCACGCCATAATTATCGGCCTCTGAATCTGATCTAAACAATTTCTGGTGTTATTATTCGAAATCTAATGATAAATTCATCAAACAAAAAATTACACAAAAACAACAATCACACATTTTCTGACATTTTACATATTTGACATTTGCCAATTTGGCATTTGGATGATCAGTGCATGATCAGTGATGAATTACTGATCATGATCAGTATCAGTGATCACAAAACTAATTTTTCTCATGACCTGCATCCTGCATATTGAATCCTTTGCCTGCAGAACTGCAGAAGTCAGTGGTGTACCTATTATCACACCATGTTTGAGGACACTTTTTTCTCGTTTTACTGCGATGTCATTCCACATCACATCATAGTATTATCGCAAAACACATCGTTTTTTATCACAAATAACATATCGCAATAACATTACAAAAAATACATCGCAGCAATGTCTATGCGACATAGAATGCGATATCACAGGTCATTCGCTGCTGTACCTGTGTTTGCCTTAGATCAGTATGATCTAAGGTGTTTGCTGGGAAGGGACGGGCGAAGTCGATTCTACACTTGACTTACACTGATTTTCAGTACACTTCACTTATTCTACCAGCGGAATGGAAATAAAATTAGAATAATATTTTAGGGTTAAAAAATTCCCACTATTCCCAGTGTCAACGTCAAATGTCATGGTGAAAATAAACCAAATAAACAAATACGTCATCGATATCGATTTGATTCATTTGATTGATTTGATTGGAAATTCGATAATAATTGTGTATGAATATTTAAATTTTGTAGATAGGTCTTTCTCGTTCAATGGATATTATATGATTAAAATTAGGAATTCTTCAGTCAACAAATTTATTGAAATAGTAAATTCTGGTGAAAGTGCATGGGAATATTGGGGTGATTTTCTCACATGCTTGGGTTCCAAATATTTCTGATAAATATCTTCAAATTGGTTGTAATGTACATGTATAAACTATGAAAACTCAATGATCGAAAATGCAATAAAAGCTTTTGCGCATTTCACATTACTTCATGTTCTTAAACTTGTAATTTGAATATAAAAGGTTATTTTCAATTAGGTAATATGGATCAAATGCTACCAAGTCCAGGTTTCAGCATACCTAGCATAGGTAAGCTTTTGCTACACTTTCTTGCAACAGGATTATTCCAGACTGTATTCTTCAGGTACTCCGCTTCATCAACCAGAAGAAGATCAGATGATTTTGCCAAATGCTCTTCAGCAACAGCAACAACAGCCCACTTCATCTCAGATCCCACCATTAGCTCCTATGGGTGGTTTAACTCCTACATTAGGGCTTGGCATGGGTCATGCTATGACCATGCCACAAACTAAATATGTTACTGGTTTTACCCTGCCTATGAGTGCTATGACTGCACAGACACCAGTAAGTTATCTTCATCTTTACATGCTAGCAAAAAATGTGATCAAGATTGTTATAGTCAAGCATGAAGTTGATTGGGGTAGTTTCTAAATATAATATCCACCAGTAGCCCCTGTTTAAAGCTCTGTAGTCTGTAGGGAAAAGAAATATGTATAAAATATGTCTCACACATAGTTTATTTATGCCTTATTTGAAATTAAGAATTAAGCATCCCTAGCAATGCTCCAAAAATATCCTTACTTTGTAATAACTAAATTTCGTAGGGCCATAAATCAACAATTATTATTGTGTTTCAGCAACATACAATGATGAGTCCCATGGCCAATTTGGGGTCAGTTAATGCTGGAACAACACCTGCTATGGGACCATCTACTCCTTCACCAATGACTCCTATGACACCTCATTCTGCTGATCCAGGAATAATTCCACAACTACAGTAAGTTTTCAAAATTTTATTTTTCTTATGATTTCTCTGATTTCTTACTCAAGTTTTGAGTCTTTATTCATGAGTATCTATCAATTTTAGAATATCTGTAGGCATGTGAGGCAATAAAAGCATTTTGGCAAACAGAATGGATTCTGTTGAATTTCAGGAAACTCATGAATAAATTCTGACAAAAGTTCATTCTTGGTTGATATTGATTTCACAGTATAAGGCACACTGAATATACAGCTCATGGTTAAAATGGAAAATATCAGTAAATATCAGAATTCCATCCATCATAATGTATATCTCATCCAAGATTATCATAATGCATGTTATGTTCTCAGTTTTCTCAGTAAATATCATCATCTTTATTATTCCATAGAAACAATTATTGACAAATATGTTTATAACAGGAAACATCAAAAACCAAAATGTATTACATTACATTTGAAATGTTATAGGTAGATATAATAATCATTCTAATAATTCTTAGAGGTTGAGCTGATCCTTGTTTGAGTGAATTAATTTAAGGTGTGGCAGAGCCAAATTGAATGAATGATATATATATTGCAGCAACCTGGCACTTTTTCTTTCAAATCTCAAGTAGGAGGCCAAATGTTTTTTATATTTGTACACTATTCTCTAACTCAGTGATTAGTTGCTTACAATGATGCAAATTCAAAAAATTTATCATAACTGATAAAACTGCTAACTTGCAATAGCACTGTTTCCTCTGGTTTTCTCTTTTAACTTTTGAATTATTATAATTCAGCAAGAATTAAATTGTCCTTATTATCTCTACAATAAGGACTTTCATAAATACTGTCTGTAGGTTAATTGAGGAGGTGGTATATTCATTATTCCAAAATTTGGAATAATAAAGGACTTTCATTTTACATATCCTTAAAACTCCATGATGAAAAACTCCAAAAGAATCTTTCAGCTCTTTTCAGCTGGAAGTTTGATCTTCAGAAACCATCTCCTTGGCAAAAATGTTTGGACAGAACAAATATCACTGCACAGCAATTTATCATAATGATATACATTGCCATTAAGTACAAAAAAAATTGAGCACTTTTGCTCAGGCAGGTTTTGTTATTTTACTGTACAAAAAGGGAAATGGAGGTGCAACAGACATTAGGAAATGTACCAGTAGTGAATGAATGATGTAGATATCAGATATACTGTCTGTTGTTCTGTGTCAGACCATGGTTTTATTAGGTATACTATAATGTATGCTTTGTAAATATTTTCTATAGAAATGTGTCCAAATTTCCTGTGTACAAATTTTAGTATGATATCCCTGGTTCCTAATTTCCCATCAATCTTGGCTGGGTTCTGTTATATTCATATTTTTAGTTTGATACAAGTTTCATATTTTATAATAACTACCTAGGTATATTAAGGATTTTATTTTTATATTACATATCAATTAATTATTTCTTTTTAATGACACATTTGATGCTTTGTCAATGAGATTACTCTTCTTGGGACTATTAAAGCATATTTTTGATTTGATTTTTGACAACATCGATCAGTCTTTGGATGTCATGATGTCATTATAAGCATTTGAATGTTGTTGGATGTTCTGGAAGTAATTGAGCTTGTTTAAAAGGCATTGGTCGGCTTTGGAGGTCACTAAGTCTGAAGGTCATTATCATTATGTCTGGTAATTTTTTTGCGCTTATCAAGGGATGGGTTTTTTCTACCTACATATTTTTGTCTGAAAAACACGAATTTGATAATGAAAATGTGGAGAAACCACTATTTATTCAGATATTTCAAGAAAAAGTTTCGAATGTCCCCTACTTTGTTCCCCTGTTTTGGATGCATTTACAGCTACTTGCTCTTCTTATTTTGTCATTGGACATGAAATATGGTTTTTATGGTGAGTTTTTCATATTTAGTGAACATACCAGATGACCACAACAGATTGCTTTCAAATGACCTTACACATGTCATTATTTTAAATGATCTTTTCACTAAATATTGATGAATCACAAGAAAATGATATTTCTAGTTGACTCTTATATATAAAAAATGTGTCATTGAAGTACATTGTGATAGGTTATAAAATGTCCAATGATGAAAAAAGAAGGTCAAATTGTTCTAAATGCTATCAAAAAGAAGATAAAATTTGTAACTTCATAATGATATATCTTGATAAATAATGGTTTGTTCACCTTTTCATTATCAAATTCGTGCTCTTCAGACAAAAATACGTGAGTAAGAAAAAAACATTTTAGAAAAACCAATCACATGATAAGTACAAAATTACCTTATGTCTTTGGTTTGGTAGTCATTGGATGTCTATGAAAGTCAAGTATATTTGGAAGTAAGAGGTTTTTGGAAGGAGATAAACGTTTCATGCTAGAAACCTTTCAAATCAGGCATGCAAACTAGATCCTGAATATTTCCAATGTGTCTTATGATGATGTAGTACCGCCTAAATTTCTGAATTATTCAATTTTGAACCTTTCAGCAATGGGTTTTATTTGCACCTTTCTATCTGGACTGCTTTTCGCCATCTACTCCAAATTTGAACTTCCTGCCATATTGAATATTTTTATTAGCAATTCATTATTGAATTATTAAATGGAAATATAATATTGAAGATTGACATATTGATTGACTCAATGACGCTTATCGACAATTGACGTTATAAACAATTGTGTGTGGAAATAATATATTATATATAAATAATTAGTGCATGTTTCTTGATGAAAGTGCAATATCAGTGCTGCACAGTGTTGCATAATAACTGCATAATACAAAACTTGGTGACCAATAGAAAGCTTGACGCTGACTTGACATGTTTCTTATGATTGGACAACTAACTTCCCCCCCATGCCACAGGCATGTTCGTTTGTGCTTGCTCTATCTGCTGAACTTGATTTTTTATGACTTTTTCTGTTTCCATCATGCCATGAAGAGAGACAACTATGGGAAAAAAATCAACTTTAGCATGTTCAGCAATACAAATGAACAGGCCTCACAAATGCAAAACAAAATTTGATGACAGGTTGGGTTTTGGCGGGAAACTGGAAATTAGGTTAGCACTTACTTGCTTTGGAATATTCATTTCACTTTCTGAACATTTCAGGTGATCTGTTTCTTCTATTTTTCCTCTTCAATTATTGGAACAGCATGAAACTTTCAGTTGAAGAAATTTTGCTTTTTCCTGTTTCTTCAACTGTTTCTTTAATTTTTCCCAGATTGTATGTTGTTTATCACTGGCACAAAGAACATCATGTGATCAAAGATCAAATTGATAATTGATCACAGATCACAGGACACTGAATCACACTGTTCTTGTAACCCCCTCTAATTACAAATGTATTTATTGGCGGGAAACTGAAATCAACAATTAGGTTAACTGGCCTCGCCCATGTAGACAGGTTCTAGTGAAAGAATTGGAAAAGTGTTGATTTTTCATTGTTAATACGGCAATTCCATCATGAAATGCATACCAAAACTGTTTATAGACCGTGCTATATCTAGTAAAGATAGTCAACGGATAAATTTGATGATGTATCGTTCACTGGTATATGACTTCTGTATAAGCAAGTTAGTTCCATTCACTATTAGTGAAGCGGCATAGTATAACAATTGTACATTTTGTGATACAAGCATGAAATTTTCATCATTGTTAGTACATTATAATATGAACGTAATTCAATGATATTGGGGCACCTAATGTTACGATTTGGGATCGATATGACTACAGTGCTTTCGTAAAATACTAAGTTCATTCCTGAAGAAACTTCTGGAAAAATAAATATACAGGGTTAGCTTTATCTGTATGTATGACATGTATGCAACCTACACCTTTGTACTCACTTTTGACCCAGTTTAAACGGACCGATTGATTTGAAATTTGGCAGGTGTACATAGTTCTGGTGGCAATGCATCATGAAATTTTCGTTAGGCAAAGAAAACAAAATGGCGGCTTCAAAATGGTAGACGAGTTTTGTAATTATGATCCGATTCTATTCAAAATTGATAACTAGGGGTTTTCAAGGTCGGAGATTATGATTCTTTCATCAAAATTGGTAACTTCAAGATGGTGGATCCAATATGGCGGGCGAGTTTTGTAATTATGATCCGAATCTATTCAGAATTTGTATCTGCGGGTTTTCGGGATCAGAGATTATGATTCTTTAGTCAAAATTCGAAATTTCAAGATGGCAGATCCAATATGGCGGACGATTTCTGTATTTATGATCCGATTTCATTCAAAATTGGTATCTGGGGGTTTTTGAGGTCGGAGATTATGATATAATCTCCAAAATTTGTGTATTCAAGATGGCGGATCCAATATGGCGGACGAGTTTTGTAATTATGATCCGAATCTGTTCAAAATTTGTATCTGGAGGTTTTCGGTATCGGAGAATATGATTCTTTCGTCAAAATTTGAAAATTCAAGATGGCGGATCCAATATGGCGGACGAGTTTTGTAATTATGATCTGATTCTACTCATAATTTGTATTTGGGGATTTTCGGGGTTGGAGATTATGATTCTTTCATCAAAATTGGAATATTCTAGATGTTGGCTCCAATATGGTGGACGAGTTGTGTAATTATATGATCCCAATCTTTTCAAAATTGGTATCTGGGGGTTTTTGTGGTCGGAGGTTATGATGCTCTTGCCAAAATTGGAAAATTCAATATGGCGGACGGTTTTTTTCATCATGATGCGATTCTATTAAAAATTAGTATCTGGGGGTAGTCGTGGTAAGAGATTATGATTTATGCACTGATTACGAAGATGCTCATATTTTCGAAATTGTGTTTTTATCAACACACTTTTATTATTTTATTTTCTACTTCTTTTTAATTTGACTATCTATGCAAGGGTGTTTCTTTAATTTTTTAAACTATTATTCATTATCATATGCTAAAATGTCTGTTTTCCAATTTTGATGGTGGTATATCTCAAAAATGAGGCAAGTTAGGACACATGTTTCTATGAACTTTGATTCCTAAAATATGACCAGGAATCACCTCCTTGTTTGCACTTATTCATACCCTGTATTTTAGTTCTTCAGCTACTAGCACATATTTTCTAAATATAATGGTTTTTCTTATAAGGACCAGGTGATAGGTCAATAATCGTTTTTTTCTGCAACCGACTAAATAGTCGTACATTTTTATTCCAAAATTCGCTCTTGAAGTTGACGTTTCTATTACTGACACGAATATAGGTAGGTATGTTGCTAGGCAAATCTTCTAGTTCCTAGGAGATAAAATTGAACTTTAGCTCCTAGGAACAGAAAAGGATGTACTAGGTCATCAAGAATAAACAACATAGGTTAGTATTCATTATATTCAACAAGAAACTCAAACACAAACACATATCTAGTCAATTTGTAATATTTATATATAAACTACAATTTGAACATCCTTGAAAATTGAATAAAACTGATCTCTGAATGCCTCCACAGTATTATTTTCGAATTAATCACTTCGAAAAAAAAAAGTTTGGTGGAGTACGGAACTGGAGCTCACACCTCACTATGTACTAAATTAACAATAATTAAGATCAGATTGTGAACTATTTGAATACAGCCTTAATAGTTATTTATTATATACTAGCTGACCCGGCAAACGTTGTTTTGCCATAAACATTATTTCTAGAAACATTTTTTTTAGACAAATATTTATCAAAAAACTTTCATTTTATTTCTACTTCTTTTTAGTTTGGCTATTCATAAAAGCGGAATTCCTGAGTTTTTCAAACTATTCTATTTATTTTCTACGCATTTCTTTTTAGTTTGGATGAAAACGTGTTTTATTAGTATTCCAAACTATTATTTTTATTTTCTACTTCTTTTTAGTTCGACAATCTTTCTCGTTTTTCAACTATACTATCAATTTGCTACTTCTATTCAGTTTGGCCTCGAGTTTGGCTATCCATAAAAGCTTGTTTCATTATAGTTCATTATACTATTCATTACAAAGCTCTTTCGCCATATTGTATCCGCCATCTTAAATTCCCTAATTTTAAAGAATACAATCATAATCTTCGACCCCGAAAACCCCCAGATACAAATTTTGAGTAGAATCGGATCATAATTACAAAACTCGTCCGCCATATTGGATCCTCCATCTTCAATTTCCTCATTTTGATGAAATAATCATAATCTTCGATCCCAAAATCCTCCAGATACAAATTATGAATGGAATCGGATCATATTTACAAAACTAGTCCGCCATTTTGGATCTCCAATCTTGCCATTTCCAAAATTTGCTGAAAGAATCATTATATCCGACTCCAAAAACACCCAGATATCAATTTTGAATAGAATCTGGTCTAAATCATAAACTCGTTCGCCATATTAGATCCGCCATTTTGAATTCCCTAATTCTGACGAAGGAATCATAATCTCTGACCTCGAAAACCCCCAGTTACCAATTTTAATAGAATCTGACCAAAATTACAAAAGTCGTTAGCCATATTGGATCCGCCATCTTGAATTTAAAAATTTTGACGAAAGAATTTATATCTCTGACCTCGAAAAACTCCAGGTACCAATTTTGAATAGGATCATATCATAATTACAAAACTCGACCGCCATATTGGATACGTCATCTTGAATTTCCAAATTTTGATGGAAGAATTATAATCTCCGACTCCAAAAACCCCCAGATACCATTTTTGAATAGAATTGGTCCATAATTAAAACACTCGTCCGCCATATTGGATCCGCCATTCTGAATTTTCAAATTTTGATGAAGAAATCATAATCTCCGACCTCGAAAACCCCCAGATACAATTTTGAATGGAATGTGACCATAATTACAAACCTCGTCCGCCATATTGGATCCGCCATCTTGAATTTCCAAAATTTGACGAAAGAATCATAATCTCCGACCCCGAAAACCCCCAAATACCGATTTTGAATAAAATCGGATAACAATACTCGTCCGCCATATTGGATCCGCCATCTTGAATTTTCGATTTAAAAAATAAATTACGACCGATTCTCATACCTACCGAATACGCACAAAAAATTTTATACGAATCGGTCGAGCCGTTTCGGAGGAGTTCGACCACTAACACCGTGACCGGGACGCGATTTTACTAAATATAAACTATTGCAGCACAAGACACGCCCCCTACTACGGCATTGCAAAATATAATCGAGCCCAGCACAATCCTGCAAAATCTAATCTTTGACAGCACAACGTAGCTGATTCATATAAATAAATCGATTGAAAAAGTAGCACATACCACGTTATATCTCATCTTCAAAGTACTTTACTTAGGCAAAACTCAGAGACTATTTATCCTCAACGAACTAACCTATCCCTGATTGCAATATTTTTGAGGAAGGAAAACCGAATGGAGTGTAGAAACACATTGATTAATAATATATTTCAAAAGTTGAGTTCTTCAACAAAATTGAATAAAATGAGACTGTTTATCCTAAACGCACTAACCTATTTGACTTCAAATATTTTATGAAAAAGGAAAACCAGAATGAAGTAAAAAAACATTGGTGAAAAAAAAAAGTTGCAAAAAAAAGTTCGAGTTCACAGCGATTCGAACCATGAACCTTCAGACTGAGAGTCGACAGCGCTAACCAGTAGACCATTTGGGTGTATGAATTTACTGCGTACAAGAGATTGACAACGAGAAAGCTTCAGTTCTTGCGTTGGAGCACAGTATGAGATATGACGTATTATGGTGGGCGTGGTTTGTGCTAGCGTGCAGTATATTTAGGAAAATCGCGACCGGGACAGGAGAATTTTATATATTAGATTATTTTACGCCAATCCTAGGGTTACAAGAATCTGCCACACTTTCTACGTTATCGTAGATGGAATATAAAGTTCTTCAATATCTCAAAATGCACAATTGTCACGAATTTTACTATGCTGCTTCACTATAATAATATGAAATAATGATCATCATTAGCTAATATTATGAATATCAGACTATTTTTTTAATTTCAGAAACATTGTGTCGACAGTGAACCTGAATTGCAAACTGGACCTGAAAAAGATCGCCCTGCATGCCAGAAACGCCGAATACAACCCCAAACGTTTTGCGGCCGTCATAATGCGGATCCGAGAGCCCCGCACCACAGCCCTGATATTCTCTTCCGGTAAAATGGTTTGCACCGGAGCGAAAAGTGAGGAAGATTCCCGATTGGCGGCCAGGAAGTATGCCAGGATCATCCAGAAACTGGGATTCCCCGCCAAGTTTCTGGATTTCAAAATCCAAAACATGGTCGGGAGTTGTGACGTCAAGTTCCCCATTAGGTTAGAAGGACTAGTACTTACCCACAGCTCTTTCAGCAGTTATGAACCTGAACTGTTTCCGGGGTTGATTTATCGTATGGTGAAGCCGAGAATTGTGCTGTTGATTTTCGTGTCTGGTAAGGTAGTGTTGACAGGTGCCAAAGTTAGACAAGAGATTTATGAAGCGTTCGATAATATTTATCCGATTTTGAAGAGTTTTAAGAAGCAGTGAGGTGGTTGTGACGCTTTGAAATCAATTGTATTAGGTTATCAACATAAACTTTGTTTAGTATCTAATTATTTTTTGTGTGAGGGGAGGGATTCAGTTCAAATAAAAAAATTCAATTGCACCTGGGTCCCCTACTGTTCAGTTCATGTTTCTGTCAGGTACTTTACCAATTTGATAATGAATGTTTGGAGGTATGTACCTAACCTGGATTTACCAAATTTATCTTGCTTGCAATTTCTACAATCATGAAATAACAGAGAATGAGTGAATTTTTAGTGCTTTAGCCCTGAATTACTTTTTTCTTTATATTATATTGACATATTACTTTGTTAACAAAATATTGCCTCTTTCAAGTTGTGTTCTAGACGAGGTTCTAAAATAGATGGTTAAAAGAAAAGACTATGGTGTTGCTACTAGTGTAATAATGGAATATTTGGGTTTGAACATTGAAGAAGTGAGGCATAAACAATTCAATTTGACAAACCTTTGAAATTTATGTCATGTACCTACATTCGTGTGCTGTCAGTTCCCGCTTTTTCCATCAATGAATTTGTGGTTATGTCTGTGCTTGTCATAGTGTCCATACTCCAAATATACAAAAACGTCAAAACAATAGTGTCAAGTACATTAAAATTAAGGAAGGAAGGTCAACCAGTATGATTAAAAATGGCCTATGTATTTATTCACATAATGAAGCAAATATCTACTTGAATACTAAAATATAATGGGGAAGTTTCCTATATTGAGGTTCTTATCTCTCTGTGAAGTTTGTAAAAAATTAATATAAACGATTTTTTTTTGTAAGATCAAATTTCACCTCAGAAAAAAATAAACAAAAGAGAAACTTGGCTCCTTCAGCGAACTTTCTGAAAATCCACATTCACACAGAGTTAAACACGATTCCCTGTGCCAGTACGACGTTGCCGACATCATCAATATGTGTAGATTTCCGGAAATTGGTCTTTGAATGCATAATAACTATATTATAAGAGCAATGGGATATAATAGGTTCTTCAATCCTACACTTTGTCAAGTATTATGAATACTTCCCATAAATATCTCATTGGTTGAATGAAGTTGACTACTGATGATATTTTGCGATAGTATCTATAATTTTTCACTATCGTTATATTACAATATGTTATTCATAACTTGTCAGTCATTTTTTTGCTAATGAATTCATTCCTTAATAAAACGGATCTATTTTCGAGGAAAGTTGCAGATTATATCTCGCAACAGCGCTTAATACTTCGAGTCCGTCCACACCACTCAAAATACTGACAGGCACAACACGAGGAAGGAGTCATGGGTGTCGGCTTCATTCTGTCCTGACCGATGACAGTAAATTAGGAAGGATAGTATCATTGAATGTAGCCGATAGTGATTCATTGATTCAATGATAATTTCGTTTAGGATAGAGCTCTATTCGAGATACTTCAATGCATAAATAACAAAACCATAACCTGTCAGAATGAAGCCAACTACTCTCTGCATTCCTGCTTCGAGTGTATTTGTGGTTATGTATGTGTTTGTTTACCAGTTTTACTTCTTTTTCTATTTTTTTCATTCATTTTTCATTCTTTCCATTCGGTAGCTATATTCTTCACCATCAGCTATTTTCAGACTAGATTCAGAATGTACGTCACATTTTGCCGCCCCGAAAATTAGAAATTGCTTTTATTTGAAAATGAAAACGACTTGGACTTTATCGGTCCCCATTCTGTACAGCGTGGACATAAAACTGGAGAGTTCCGAACTTATTTTATGAAAATTCATCGGAAGGAAACTTCCCCATTATATTTTGTTGCTATCTTCATTGATCTGAAAACCAGTGAGCTCTTAACTTTTGTTAACAGATGGCTGGATATAAAATCTAGTATGAAAGAAACCTTTGCATCTATCTGCATGGAGCATAATAGTTATTTATGCATCAAGGGCGTAAAATTAGCTTTTATGGACCGCAGCGTGTAAGTAAGAGCCCGAGCGACAGCGTGAGGGCTATCAACACGTCTATAATAGGCTCAGTTCCTGTATGATCTAAGATAATAGGTCAATAAAAGCAAGTTACCCTCGAAATACAGACAGCATTTAATGCACGCCTGGTATTCATATTCAATTCTTCATTATGAATACCTCTTCACCTCTCAAGAAGAAATACATATGTTTTTTTAATCAGGAGTTGACTTATACAGGGTGTCTCAAAATTGCTGGGACACAGAGCTACCACGTGCATGTCGGTCTTATAAAAGACCATCTTCAGCCTAATTGAAAGTTTTGGAGTTGGAAAACAAATGTTGATGCTACTATTTGTGGAATTGTTGTCAATGCCTATAGTCGAGAAATCAAATTCTTAATGAAAAAACGGGTTCTCAATAAACGAAAGGCCCCGTGCTCTGAGAGCGCATACCATTAGTTTCATTGAAATTTCATATACCAAAATGGTATATGAAAGGTGTTGCTAAAAGGTTTGTTTTGACAACACCATAAATTAACGGGTTTTTCACAAAAGGGGTTCCCCGGCCCTTATGAAAGCGCTACTTAAGGAAAATATCAATAAAATTGATCGGGCAAATAGCCAGCACGTGTTTAAATCTAAACCAATTTGGTTAGTAAAAAAGAAAGTGTTTGGAATCACACGTTAAAAGGTAAGGCACCCGTCATTCCTTGCTCGCACAAGTCTCTCGAAGACTTCTGAGGGTTGCTCGTAAGGGGGCAACCGAATGACAGATAGAACAATTTCAGATATTAGAGTGATGTCGAATAATTGAGTATTAGACCGAATTTTGTCGCTGTCAGTTATACACTTGTAGGTAGATTTGGCCATGGGGGTAAAACCTATATATTGATGACATTTACTACATCAATGAATATCAAATTATCTCAGCAATTCACAGTTGAATCGATTCAAAAATTGAGAAATATCTACTTGATATTTCATTTAGATAAAACAGCAATACAGGAAACGGGATTAACACGTCAGTACTGAATAGAAGAGTTTGCCGTTGTTCGAACGTTTTATGAAACTGTAGAGGGTATTCAAATGGCGTTTTTCGAAGTATTACAAATATTTTATCGAAATAATTATGCATTCACTACTATATTCCAATTATATGCACATGATATGCACATTCAAATTGAGATGATGTCTATTCGAAGGAGATTTTCGTGTTGCTGTGGTATGACAAATAGCCACGACATATAGCGGTCTGGATAGTAGTAGTTATGTCAGTGAATTATCTGGAAAACACATGGCAAATATTTGTTGTTCACCACTTGTTCACTCACTGACATAAACTATTATGTACACTGCTAATGGCATAAAAAAGAAGCTATTCCACTTACGAGATCGAATTTAGGATCTGTCATATATCTTACTCATTCCTACTTATGTTTCCGAACACTAAGAGATAACTCGATGTCATGATCGACAGTTTGGTGGTTCCTGTGCATGAGCAGAAGTCTTTTCAAACCAAAAAATTACCCGAGATTCTCGTGTTCTGGGATATGACATGTAACGGTCTAAATAGTAGTTAGGTTAGGTTCCATGTGAGTGGGGCGAATACCTCCCCTCCACTGCGACCCCAGATGGGTCTATTGTGGCTCACCCCTAGAGGTTACAGTCCACATCTTTTTACAAAGTTCATGGTTGAATTGGGTGAGATTTGTCTGAAATCGATAGGTTCTAAATTGGTAAAGCCAAATGTGTCGAACCTTAGTCTTTCTAAGCTAGAGCATGAACATAATATGTGTTCAGCCGTTTCATCTTCCACACAACAGAACCGACAGTCCGTTTGTTGGTTCAGACCCATCCACCCATCCTTCCCAGGTGGTATCTTAGACAACAGTGTCCCGTAAGCAGTTATGATAGTGTTGTTCACCTTTATTTATATTGAACATATAGAACATGAACTTTCAGCGCCACCTAGGGGTTCGCGAATACAAATTAGAGACGAACGAATCAGTACGCCATATCTTACGCTGCATACTATGCATTCATTTGCACAATATTCTGTAGGGACAAAAATCAAGATTGCAAACAAGATATTTCAACGGATTTCTTGTCAATAAATGAAAGGAGTGGATTCTTGATTCTTGTACGGAATGTACAATAAAATGCATAGTGTCTTAAGGGGTTTATTGGCATTCTGTTTTGTGTAATAATTGAGTTTTTTTATTGGTATAGTTTTCCTGATATATTTTGATGTTGATTTTCTTTTGATTGAATTTTGTGATACCAGGATAAAATAATCATTATATTTACTGATGTTTTAAGTTTATTCTATTGTATATGCTGCTATCAAAATATTAAAAATTATTTTCGTATTATTCCGAACTTCTCATTATTTGTCACAATTTGTTAACAAGGAGGTAAAATTTTTGTTCTTTAGACACATGCGCAATATTTCAATTCACAAACTTCAAATTACCAATAAAATATTTGCAGTAGAGCTTTTCAAGATAATCTTTTTCCTAAGAGTGTGAATCACTTGAGATGTTTGTTTTTCGCTCCTTCCTAAAACGATGATGAAAAAACTGGATTTTATGAGGATAGTTCGGAATGCGTTAGGTAAACAATGTGTTTCCGAAATTGGAGCTATAAATAAAATTTGGTGTATTATGCAACTTGTTAAATTACATTCTTGAATCGTATCAGAAAATTTTGAAACAGTTTTAGAACGTCCGGCATTGTCAATGCCTTCAATACCGGTGCTTTTGACCTCGACAGGAGCAAACGCTTGAGTTTGGTTGTTAACCTCTGATCAACGATTTGCTCCTTTTCCATCTGTATATAATATACTTACTATCGTTCTCGATTTCTTCAGTTGACCTAAAACACTGAAATGAGTCAGTTATCGCTTATAAATTTCAAATAAATAAGTAGTGTTTCATTATGATATAATTATAAGAATTTTGACTGCAAATGAAATAAAACAGCAGTGGTAATAGATAAAAATATTCATTAATCATATTCTAATAGAATTGTAATTCACATTTATAATCTACAAATAAATAATTGTAAGAGCAACATTATATTATGAGGAACGTTAAACAATACCGTCAAAAAATATACAATATGTACAAATAAAAAAAGGAATGAAGTGAAATTGATATAAAATCAGATATAAAAATAGACACATTACTTCTGGAATTCAAGATAGAGATCTGTAGAACATCACTTTTATATGATCAACAAAAAAGCAGCCTGGCTAAAACACTTGCTTCATAATTTTGGACTGCTAAAACGCAGGCTGATATTCAAACAAAAGTATGTAGTTTATTTTGAAGGGAATAAGTGTTAAATTGTTTATCATTTAGCCAGTCTTGTTATTCTTTGATCACAAATCGTTTTCTTAACTGGGAGAAGGTAAGTACAACAGGGTTAGTTTCAATAATGTACCCTTCGATGTTTGATTTTCAACTGATACGACGACCATACAATTTATTAATAGAATCAACATTCTTTAGGTGTGATTAAAACGCTGATTTATATCGATTTTTGAATCATCTTTCCTCTCGAATAAATTATGGAGCGTCAATTTTCAGTTGAATAATCTGTATATATCAGCCTTGTGCGGAATGATTCTTGTAGTTTAATTGGTTCTTCTTAATCATGAAGTTTTAAATCACCATTTTAGTCACTAAATGTTTGCGCAGTTCGCATAAGTGTGCACTTACCTTAAGAGAAAAAACAGTCTTGCAGGAATGTAATTGTTAATATTACTGATATGTTTGGGGATATTTCCATACATATCTATTTTAATATTCAAGCAATAAAAAAATCACAGCAATTAAAATATCAACATCAATAAGCGAGTCTAAATCATGAAATAGTCTCAGAATAGGTAGACATATTCAGGTACCTATACTTACATATCCGCGATAAAAATAAGCGCGTGCTATCTAGTGGTAATTTCTGGAAACTGTGAAATAATTTATCTTTGTATATATTTTTAATTATTAGGTGTTGTTTATAGTTATATTCAACCCACAAGTGTATCAATGAGTGCGATTCTGTTGAAAAACTGATTAAAATTGGTGCAGAAACGTTAGAAAGTTAACTCTTTAACGTAAAATCAGCGATCTACCATCGAACATCAACTTTCAGACTGAAAGTTGTTCGATGCCTCTACTACAAATATTTCACGCCTTGAACCACTAATGAAATTACAAAACAAATCAATTGAGTGCATTTTCTAGAACCAACAGTAAATTTATGCCAACATAGAAAATTTCTAAATCTGATTTAGTTTTATAAACTCAAAATATGTTCGTTTCATTCATTTTGTCAGGAATAAATTTGAAATATCAAATTTAGCTTTCAATGAAGTCAATACAGTCCATAGTTATGGGCAGTGTTGCCAACTTAGTGGATTTCACACTAGAACTGGTGGTTTGAGTTCTCGTTTTGTGAGAAAATATGGCATCTAGTGGATGGTGTTGATTTTGGTGAATTTTTTCAAATAAATGGTGAATTCTGGTGGTCGAGGACATATCCGAAATGTCCTTTGTTTGATATGATATTTTGATTCCTACAATGTAATACTAGAGAAAAGTTTCATTAGAAAAACTAGTTTTAACTGAAATCAGTTTCTTACGGTTATGTCCAATTTCGACTATTTTTGTACGATCTTCAATGTTGCTTTTTACTTCTTGTTTTTTTATGTATTATAATATACTAAAGTATGTCATTGATGCTATGAATAATTTATTTTGTTGGTTTTGTTTTCTGTTAAAGAAAACACTTTTTTCACCTGATCTGATTTTTTCATCTCGTGTTATCAAGTGATCTGGACTGAAGTTGAAACCACCAGAAAATCACTAGATATGATAAAATTTTCGCCTGCGGTGCATTTTTTTTCAATACCACTCGGTTTTGTGGTTTTTTGATGTCTTTTAGGTGGCCAATTTAAGATTTTTGGAAATCTGAGTTGGCAACACTGGTTATGGGACTAGACAATTGAATTACTTGATACCAAAAACATCAAGACGAACATTGGCAAGCAATCTGTGTGTCATATTGGAATTATTTTTTATGACCAAATGAATTGGAAAATAAACAAGATGAAAGAAGATTTAAAGTTATTAAAGATTTGATCACTCAGAATTGTAATGTTATAACTTCCATCTTTAGAAAAAGTATGAATTTGTTTCCACTGAGTGGAATTCATTAGTTAACCTTTCAATATTATTAATATTTTTTATATGTGTTCATGTATCCCTATTATAAACAGATATGTTTCTTGGGGTAATAAAAAAATCAATCAATCAATCGTTCGTTAATATACAAATTGATTGTTAATTGGGAGTCAGAAACGATCAATTTCGTGTACCGGATGTACCACTAAGAAAGGACGCCGGCTGTATCTCGGAAACTATTTGCCGCACAGGTTTAGAAAAAAAATATGAATGATAAAAGTGGCCAAGAGAAATTATTTTCAAGTTTCCAGGACAGCCCCTAGAGGGCGTAATTGCATTGGCCAGTTTAAAAAACGGAATTTTATGAAAATTTGATATATCAAGACATATCAAAAACACTTTTTTCATGTTCTCGAGTTGATTTCCAATCATTTCGATCAAAACAAATTGTGCTAGCTCTTTAAATGAAAGAGGCAGGGAAGGATGAATAGTACTTTGAAAAAACTCCCATTACTACAGCTTGGTCTAACGGAATTCAACGATCTTGGTCTCATTATGAAGGTTTTTTTGGTTCTTCCAGATGAATCACGAATTAAGTCGATTCAAATCCTGTGATGGTCGCTAGATGGCATCGTTTGAAAAATCAGACAATTTTCCATTTTTTTCGAAAATTTCAAATGGAACCATATATTCATTCTACTTCAATCTGAAAGTAGAGCAATCAAGAAGAAAAATGGTGAATACCGCGAATTGATGCCTCTTGAGGAACCGGTGAAATACTCGAAATAATATTATGAAAATATTCACCACAGGAATCTGACTTCAATAATCGTCATCAGAAATATCCTGTATCTATGAAATTACGATTTCAATAATTCTTTCATTTTGGTTTCACAAACTGATGTTATATTTCAAAATAGTGAAGGAGACTCTTAGAAATGACATAGCTAATTGAAATGTAAGTAGTGAGTATTGGCTCAGGAATGAGAAAAGGCAAGTTGGCTTTGAATGCAAGAAACGTCAAAATATAATTGAAGTTCCATTGAAAGTTTTCACTGTGGATTGCTTATTTGTCAAAATGCCGATAAAGAATGAGGAGGCATTTGACATGCAACCAGTTTAAATTTTAATATTATTCCGAGTATTTCTCCGGTTCTTCAAGAGGTATCAACTCGCGGTTTTCACCATTTTTTTTTTCTCGTTCACTTCACTTTCATATCTTAACAGGAAAATTATATGGTTCCATTTGAAATTCTCGAAAAAAAATGGCAATTCGGCTGATTTTTGAAACGATGCCATCTAGCGGCCACCACGCGGGATTTAAATCGACTTGATTCGTCATTTATCGGGAAGATCTTAGGAAACCCTTCATAATGAGACCAAGATCGCTTAATTCCGTTACACCAAACTGTAGTAATAAGAGTTTTTCCAGAGTACTATTCATCCTTCCCTCCCTCTTTTATTTAAAGAGCTAGCGCAATTTTTTTGAAGGAAATGATTGGAAATCTACTCGAGAACATGGAAAAAGTGTTTCTGATATGTCTTGATATATCAAATTAAAAAAAAAACGTTTTTTAAGTTGGCCAATGCAATTATGCCCTCTAGCGGCTGTCCTGGAAACTTGAAAATAATTTCCAGAGATTTTTCTTGGCCACTTTTATCATGAATATTTTTTTCCGAAACCTCTGTGCGGCAAATAGTTTCCGAGATACAGCCGGCGTCCTTCCTTAGTGGTACACCCGGTACATTAATCAAACTTGTTCATAGGAAGTCGACGGAAAATGGTTCATATAATCAATAAGGCTTTTGAGCTGTTACTATTTGGTTTCAACCTATTTTTCACTTGAGAAGCCCTAATGTTCATTGTACTTAGCTCTGTTGTCACTAATACTTGTATATTATACAGGGTGTTTTTTCATGACATGCTCATATTCTTGGACCCATTTCAAGATGTCTCAAACGTCCTAACTTTTGAGATACAGGGTATCAAAGTTGAACATATACATAGATTCTTTTTTTGTCCACCCTGTGTAGCTTTTCCTGATGGCGAAATTTATTCTGCTATGTGAAAGCTGTCCTGAATGGAGTACTCAAGCTTAGCATTTACATCAAAATTTGAAGTTTTTATCTCGTTTTTTCGTTTTTTTGTCGAAAACGAAGCGTCCTGTCGGGTATCAACAAGATGATCTTTTTTGTACAAAATTGAATGACTTTTCATAGCATTTAATTGAATTCGTTGCTCACTTTCAAGAATAATATAATCATATCCCCCTAACGGCGCCACTGTTAGAGAAAAAGAAAATTTTTATATATCAAAAAATGCACCTTGATGCATAGAAGATAATGTACCAAATTTCATAAAGATGACTACAATATTATTCCAGTTTTTATTAAAAAACTGTTTTTTTTAAACATTATCGCACTGTATCTCAAAAGTTAAGACTTTTAGGACATACGTCAGTGGGAAGTTTTTTTTCTTGAAATGCGTTGAAGAAGCACCCCCTTGAACATCAGAATGTCTTTAAGGAACACCCTGTATATCACTTCAAATTAAAAAAAAAACAAAAATAATAGATAGTTTCTTCCAAATATTGTACTCTCAATATCATCACTTATGATTGATATGAGAACTTTTTTTCAAATAAGATCTTAAGAGCGCTCTTTACCGTAACCGTGCTATGTTATTTTTTCATCGCGAATAGGTATAGTTTTATCTTTCGAAATCCCACGATCTACTTCTATCATATTCATTTTGCTACCCCTAAAATTCGAAAATTCTGTCTAAATTATTGTCATCAGTATTGTCAATATTGGCAATATCCTTACTTCCATCCAGTTCACTCGTCCGGGTAAAGAATATTCAACAGGCTCGTATACGACCCGATAGCGAACCCAGCGAAACCGATAAAGATGATCGTGAGGTCCTTCCACAAAATCCACTTGTTCTTCCCCAAATTTTCCGGCCAGAAAGTGATGATCTCCACCAGCGGCGGGAAAATCAGAGCCAAAGCGGAACTGCTGAAGGCGCCGACCAAAGATATGACGGCCCCCAAGTTGGGGATGGCGATAGCGATTAGGAAGGTTATGAAAACTAATACTGTTCGGGTCACGTACTCAGCTATGTCTCTGGATTTTTCCGTGTTGAAGTGATTTTTGATGATGGGCCACACGATGTTGAACGGGACGTAAAACTGCAGGCTGTAGGAGAGGAAAATCGCGATGGCCATCATCAGTCGAACGGATTGTGCCAAACTGAAACGGAAAAAAATATCCAGTTAAGGAATCCGAGTTGTCATACTTTGAAGTAAACGTAGGTACTTTTATAGGTTGGGAATCAAATTACCGGCATATTGTCACGAGTAGAATATACGGTATATTAGAAATTTCGAACCATGAGGGTTTTATAAACATAAAGTTAATCAAATCATCCGTTGACATTGAATTATAAAAACTGAGCAAGCAAGTCTCATGAGAAACGTGCATATCTGATGAAATGATGTATATAAATATTGGATGTGAGGGTTCCGAAGTTAGTCTGGTCTGGGGCTACTCTTGAGTTGACAAGGGCTCGTGGTCATTATAATGTAAGTAAGTAAGTAAGTAAGTAAGTAAGTAAGTAAGTAAGTAAGTAAGTAAGTAAGTAAGTAAGTAAGTAAGTAAGTAAGTAAGTAAGTAAGTAAGTAAGTAAGTAAGTTTATTCAATTAGATTTTAACAATAATTTTTGATGAGAGAAGCCACCTAAGCTAAGCTTGTATTGTGGGCCATTCTCTCATCATACATTTTTATGTTGAATTACTAACAAAAAAAAAGAAAAATCTACTAGCAGATTAAAATGAATCACAATCAATCATTCCTATGAGTGTTATAAGGAAAGGAAGAAACGAAAAGAGAATATCACTGGTAATTGCAATATATTGTAAGAATAATTAATAATTATTCGAGAACTGATTACAGGATATCCTTATAATACATTTGAACAAAGATTTTGGCTTGCTTTTTGAATTTATTTTTATTTTGTATATTTCTAATATCAGAGGGTAGTAGATTGAAAAGTTTGGGACCATAATAGGTTACAAATTTTTGTGTGATTGTGGTTTTAAACAAGGGAATTGGAATTTCTTGCCTTGCTGTTCTTCGAGTATGATGATAATGTAATGTAGGAGAGAATATAGAGTTTTTTGTCCAGATGAGGCATTGGTGGCAATACAGCTGATTTAGATTTATTATTCCTATTTCATTATAAAGTTGCTCAGTTCCAAATCTTCTGTTTTTATTGAACAGTATCTTCAGTAGAGTATTCTGTGTAACTTCTAAGCAGTGAAGGGAAGTTCGAAAAGTCCCACCCCAAACAATAATGCAATAGCGAATAATGGACTCAGCCAAGGCATCGTACACCATTATTTTATTTTTTTCATTCAGAATATTTTTCAACTGGTAAAATTTGTAAGTTGTTATTAGGTCTTAATATTCATTGTTGTTTATTCATATTTGTCATCACTACCCATAATGTTGCATTCTTCAATAAATATTGTTATGTTTGAATACAGTGTCGTAGTCGTACTTTCAGCTACCCCTAAACTATTAGTGCCTATTCGAATATTACCTCTCGCAAGCCAAGCATTACCCCTTATAAATCGACATGGGTGGATAACCGCCTAGGCTATTATATCGTGGATGGTGGAAACAACCACTATATCGTGAAATGGTGGAAACAACCCTTTTATCGTGACAATATATACAGGGTTACTGGTTATTCGATACATTCCTTTGGTGATGTGATAGGGGAAGTGGTAGGGAGTGATTTTCACCCTAACTTTTTCTGTTTATCTCCAAAAGGTAAACTTCCAAGGTTTAAAAGTTTGTTTTCCGAAAATTTGCTGTGCATTTTTTCAACTTTTCAACTAGAATACATGAACAACACTATGATTTTATGTTTGGAATGGAAAAATTACAGAAATAATACATATATAATAGATGAATTGTGAAAACAAACTCGTATTTTTGTTTGTTGATTTTGAATTTCAACACTTTGTAGCGGTTAATTTTGAAAAAAATCTCTAAGCCACATTCGTCAAAAATTCTAAATATCTAACCGGGTACAAATGATAATGAAAGTGCTTGATACGGGTCGTAGTGTTCACTTTTTACAAATCCTGTGCAAAAAGAGACCTCTATTAGGAATACATGCTTGACAGCGTCTTCTTATTTCCGTTTTTGTTATTCTAGTTCTCATCATTTTGTATGAGCAGGACAGCGTCGGTTATCATTTGTATGAGTTTTTCTCGGGTATTTACTGGAGTTCCATCAACTAGCGCTACCATATCACCCCACACTTAATGATCAAGGGGGGTTAGTTCAGGGCTACGTGCTGGCCAACCTATTGGACCTGACCTTCTAATCCAACAGTTCAAAAAACGTTCATCTAGGAACTGCCAAACGATCAGCCGATAATGCGCTGAACGTCCGTTTTGTTGGAATATCATACGTCCTCTGTGTGCTAACTGTCAATGAGTTCTATCAACACATCAACAAAAAACTTCTGTTGGGTTTTCTTCGGCCCAATGACGAAGGTTTTGAACATTATTTTGTTCTGCTATTTGGATGCCTCGAGCAAATAAACGAAAATAAAAACTGCCGAAAATAAATACTGATAGGCATTTTTCGAGTGTGTTTCATACTATTCCTTCGAAATAACAAATCCGTATCAAGTACTTTCAGTTTCATTTGTACCCAGTTATATAGATAGCTATTGCCTTAACGAAGTTTTAACATATATTTGACGAATGTGCGGCTTATAGATTTTTCTAAAAATAACCGCTAGAATGTGGTTAAAATCCACAATTCACAAACAAAAATACGACTATATCTACAATTTATCTAAGATCTAAATTATTTCTGTAATTTTGTCATTCCAAACATAAGACCATAGTGTTGATCATGTATTCTAGTTGAAAGTTTGAAAAAATGTAAAGCAGTTTTTCGGGAAACTAACTTTTAAACCCTTGAACTGTTCCTCTTGGAGAAAAACAGACAAATTGAATATCTCAAAAACTATCAACTTTTGCCTAATGCATATTACGGTTTAATTTCCTCCTCACCACCTTCTCTATCACATCTTCAAAGGAATGTATCGAATTACCAGTAACCCTGTATATAGATTATACAAGCCAGTCGACCAGCATAAAATATTGGGATCCTTACCTAACCTATAACCGACTCTAACCTGACCTGAGACAAAATATTCGAAGGCAAAATACCCATCCACAAAATATTCTGTTTGAAAAAGCATCATGAGATGAGATATACCGAAACAGAAACTCCACAAGCCAAATAGTCTTGAGAACCAGCCCTCAAAATATATTCCTATAAAAGTTTATCAATTGATTAATGCAGAATCAATGGCATGTACCATTTGTGCCAGACCAATTAAGCTATTGGGCTTATGTTCCTATAGTCTTAATTATTAGCAAAACTAAAGGATATGGGTATAAATCTGGGTTTGGTAGAATGGATTGAGAGTTTCTTAGTTGGTCGTCAAAAATGTGTGAAAATCAATTTTTTATCTAACGTGATTCCAGTATATTATCAGGAGTTCCTCAAGGCTCTCATTGTGGACCGTTACTCTTCAATTTGTTTGTCAACGATATTAGCAAACATATTTCTCGCTCTGTTTTTACGTTATATGCAGATGAATTCAAAATATTCAAAGAAATTCAGCATCATATGGATATTGATCTGCTGCTATATGATTTGAATAACTTCAATGTTTCTAGGGTTAGTTATTTGGACCTCAATATTTCAAAGTATTTTTGTATCAGTTTTTCAATGGGTCATAATTATATTGAGCTAGAACGCTTATAGAATAAATAATCCTGTTTTGAAGAGAGTCAATGAGATGACCTATTCTGTGTCAGTCTAAGTAAATTCTAAACTAATGTTGTGAATATAATTATGAATACCTAGTTAATGTAATAAGTATGACTTAAGTGCTATTTTTCTATGAGTGTAATTTTCATTGCTCCTATAAAAATGGTGTAACCGTTGAAATAAATAAATAAATAAATAAATAGCCAATCTCTTGGCTTAAGTGAATGGGTGTTCTACTCTGATAAGGTACACCTGAGATAACATCATCTTCTTCACCAATTTTTTCACTTATAGGGATGAGCGATTTATTCAGATTAGCCAAATGCGGCTCTGGCTATTTCGTCCTTAGAAACCAGATGTTATTATCAATAAAGTGACATGTCGCCATCGTGTATAATATCTGTTATGTATGGAACAATTATACAAGAGGCTTAGAAAAAAGATCGAAGAAAGGTATCGGGTGATTTAGTAGTATTAAAATCTCTATGAAACGAAAATGCTATGTTGCGTTGGATTTCTTGAAAATTTCGAAACCCTTGATGACTGAAATTTTAAAGACAAATACAGTTAGTATAAATGTGCAATGGAGATGGTATATTTAATAAATATGTCAGTGAACGTTCTATAGCACTAAATGATGATTTTTTTGTTTGAAATTTGTTTGTTTTTTGTTCTAAAATTTGTTCTATCCGTCAATTCTACTCACAATTCATCTGCAGGCAACAAGAGAGTAACACTCCCCAAGACTGCCTGTTCACCGTATTTGAGATAGCCGAAGAAACCCACGGCCGTGTATAAAACTGCAACTATAACCATGCCAGTGTTGAGAACGCCAGTCCAACCACCGAAATCCTGCGGATTTTTCATGTTGTTCTCCAAAGGTAAGATCTGAAAACGATACATTATAGTTTCACCAATGAATGAGCCTTTCCAGTCATTTCTAGAAAACAAAAAATTACTAGAAATGATATATGGCTCTGGAATATCTAGAAATAATTCTTTGAGATTTTTTCTTTCCATCAACTCATCATATGAAAAATCATTGAAAACGCCGAAATGAACGAGCGCATTCAAACGTTCAGGCATGGCCGCGAAACGTGTGACGTCAGTGCGCGAGCAATTTGGATTGGTAATGCCCTCACCTTCTCGCGGGTGCCAATAGACTTGACAATGATGCCAATATCGACAGAAAGCTATGATTAGTCGGATATTCATTTCTCGGTTTTCTCACTTTACAGATGCTGTTAGATAACTGACTAAGTAAAAATATCCCGGGTGTCCCATTCAGAATAAAAAAATTAGGGTCGTTTCCGGTCAAACCGGAAGTGACAGAAAACAATTGAACAGGTCAAATAATGCATATTTATGTACTATATGATTACACTCCAAATTTCGTTCGTTTATCTATGGAAACAAACAATAAGTTATAGCGGTGAGCCACTTTTGAGAAACATCATGTATGTACTGTCGGTTGGTTGGACGTCGACAGGACGTCCCTGCAACGTTATGAAACTGACGTCTTACTTTACCCTTCTAAGTGACGTTCACTCGACGTCGAGATGATGACGTGATTATCACGTCATAGAAAGTACGTCATAGCGACGTCATAAATTGGTGTGTGACGTCTCTGACGAAAAATCACCAATTAGGGATGTCACCGTGACGTGATCATTCGTCATCTGGTTGTATGAATATAAGGGGGTAAATAGGACCAGTCTACCAGATCACTCTTTAATCCAGCACATATTCTTTCCCAATCGCTTATCCTTTCAACCATCAATTATGGAGACCCTGTCTATGGTCCCTTCTTGGATTCGGCTAATCAATTTAAAATACAACGTGTGCAAAATTCATGTGTTTGCTTCATCTTAGGGATACGTAAATTTGAACACACTTCTCAAGCTCGTACCAACCTTGGTTGGGTATCCATGTCCGTTCTCAGGGAATAAAACTACTGCAACATCACTTATTCAGTATATCGAAGAAACCTGTTCCACTATTCAATAAATTGACAAAGAGATTAAAGCTCCATTCTTTCAACCTTCGAAGTAACGAAAACCTACACATCCCTCCGTCATTCGTCAGCAATGTTCAGAAAATCATTTTCCTACTTAGCTGTATTTTTTCACAACACGATTATTAAAGATCTCATGCAATACCCGAAATCTACATTCAAAAAGAAACTAAAGGCAAAATTCAATATGTGATAAGAAGAATTACATTTTCATTTCAAACTATGTAGCTTGTTGTACACTACTAGTAATATGTCCCATCACACAATCTTAATTTTTTGTCCAGTTACTCTGATTCCCATAATACATATTAGGTTAAGTGTAAGAGTAGCTTTAGTTAAACTTCGCCTACTATTTGATTTTTCGATCAATGATTTTCGATACATTTTTTTTATGTTCTGGTTCTCACGGAAAGGGATATTCTGTGGTGTTCTTCTTGAATTTCTGCAGGTTATATGCCTCGGGGGACGTCTCCCTTGGCGATGTGTTCCAGAGCCTCGCTGTTCGTTGGATGAACGAGTCTTTGGAAAGAGATGTTCTGCAGATCTCCAAAGTGACCACGAAGGAGTGCGAAGCCTCAACTCGGCGGGTCAATCTAGCGGGGACTGCCAAGGGAGGAAAAATTGTTGATACTTCAGAAGAGCATCGTCCATGAAAATATCTATAAAATAGAGCCAGATCGCCAACTTTTCTACGGTGTTCGAGAGAAGTGAGTGGGTGTGTGAGCGAGGCATCACCCACGAGACGAATTGCCCTTTTTTTTTGGACAGAATCCAACAGTTTCAGGGTATGTTTGGGAGGTGCACTCCAAATATGGGAATAGTATTCCAGGACAGGTCGAATCTGTGCCTTATAGACCATAAGCAGCTGACTGGAAGTGAAATAAGTCCTGGCCCGAAACAGAAAACCAAGTTTTTGGGATCCACTTTTAGCAATTGATCTCACGTGATATTCCCAAGAAAGGTTAATGCTGATAGTAACCCCAAGCTTCAAAATGGATGTCTTCAAAGGTATGGTTACTCCTGACAAGCTTATGTTGGGCACAGTGAGAAAAGGCATGCTTGTGCTTTGTTTGCATTGAATTCTACCAAGTTATTGGTTCATCATTCGAGAATTGTTGCCAAGTCTATATTTATGTTGTCAACATTTCTCCCTCGTTCGATCTAACGATTTCGATCATATTTCCGGCAATCACATGTTTCGACATCTAGAAAGTTGGTTTCCAACGTCTAATTGTATGAAATAACAAATACGTATTCTTTAGATGAAATATATAGAATTGAAACTCTTAAAATATCATATAATATAATAAATAAAAAATTGAAGTCGAATATTATTTTGATACGGAATTCTGAAATTCATAATCATGAAACTAGACAATATAACTTGTTTCATCTTGACGCCGCTAGCTCCTAATCGGACAAAAAAGATTCACTCATTCAGCCTTAACTGAATTCAATAAACTACCTGATAATATAAAAAATTGCAGAAATATAGGTATATTCAAAAATGAAGTAAAAAAACTGATTATTTCTGAGCGGACTGGATAAAATTAATCATGCAATTTTTTTTTTACAAATATTATTCTTTGTTTGCCAATTTACAGTTGTTGATATATTTTGAATGATGCTATGTTTACCTATAGGTATATAATTATGTACTTCCTTATACCAGAGCCTATTCTGTCTGGAAGTTATTTGTTCAATAAATAAATAAATAAATAAATGAATAAATAAATAGCGAAATACAAGAAAAAACTCACCACTCCGATTCCCTCGAAGGCGTAAATAGCAGTTCCGAAGTAGAGCGGCAACTGCGACCACGAAGAGAACCCGCGCACCGTCGACATCTTCGGTAGCCCTTGCAGCATGTAGAAGAACGTGATGACCAGCCCGCTGCACGTGACGATGGAGGCGAACAGCGAGGCCGGCGTGAGGTACTTGAGGCTCTTCACCCAGTTGAGCAGGACGAGCGGCGGCAGCAGCAGCAGCAGGTACCTGTAACGTTAAAAAAAAAACGTGGAACGACCTCAAACTTATGCACGTTAACTCAGTTTGTGTCAGATGCCTTGGATAATAAAGTGCAGGTCGATGTGGTATACAATGATTTCAGCAAGGCATTTGATAAAGTACCCCATCAACACCTCCTACAAAAACTTTCAGATTATGGGTTTTCCACAAGAGTTCAGAATACCTTGAAATCATATCTTTCCGATGGGCAACTGCTCGTTGAATACGAGGGAGAAAAAAAGTTTCAATTTTTTGGCAACGTCTGAGGTTCCTCAAGGATCAAACCTTGGACCTCTATTGTTTTTGTTATTCGTCAACGATTTCTGTAACTCAATTAGCTCCGACAAACTACTCTTTGCTGATGATCTGAAAATATTCAAAATCATACGTGATAACCATGATGTTAATATTCTGTAAAAAGACCTCAACACTTCGACTGAATGGTGCACCTCTAACAATTTACCCCTTGACGTAAACAAATGCAAAGTTATGACCTATGCAAAAATTTTGTCGCACGTTAAAATATCTCGATCATTAATAGCCCTCATTAATACACTAGTTGGTTAAATAACTATTGATCACCAGTTATGAAATATTTCACTTTACGCAACTGGGTACGTAAAGAAAGGCGTTTCAAAACTTCCGAAAAGTGTGAAATAGTTTTATCACATACCAGTGTACGCTGATATCGAAGAAGTAGTGCTTGACGACGTCATGGACATTGGCTGCTACAAAGACGAAGTAAACGCAGCAGAAGCCCACCTGGGTGATGCATAGGAATATGTTTATCAGAGTCCTGAAAAACGAAATAATTATTTTTATGACAAGCGCGGAAAATGAACAATATCGTGAAGTAATAAAACGATATAGATAGAACATGGTATTCACTACTGAAAACTGAACATGGAAATGGTAGATTCAAGATCAAATTATGAAAACATCATGTAATTCATTTGTCCAAAGCTAAGTAAAAATTCGGTATTTTCTCAGCAATATATCTTATTTCTTTTCTTCAAATTTTTTTCCAAACAAAGTGTTACTGACAAGCTATTAGATTTTTCTTTTAGGCTTCCTGATAGAAAAATTTGTTGAACGCAGTGACATTTTGGGGCAAATCATCTGATTTGTCCTACTACACATATATTGAAATAATACTCATATTTTTATTTTGTAGAAACGAGGAGAGAAAATCCCTTGTATCAAGTAAAATGATCGAAATCATAGCAAAGAATTTTAACCCTCGATCTCTGATGTCTATCCAGTAGGAACCTAGCAAACATGAACATAATTCAATTTTCACAATTAAATTTTCACTGGCCGTACCTAATCACAAATCATCTATTAGGTATTCCTCTGCCGTGATCATATAATTCTTTGAAAGTATCGATGAGAAGCGTCATTCGACCTTCGCAAATACTCTTTAGTTGTATACTGATATATCAATTATTGTTCTGTAGAGTCTAGAGGTCGGGGATTCGTTCCACGATAGGAGCGTATTTTTTTTAATTCAAAATAACATGTATTAATCTGCCTAGTTTTCTTTTTTAAGTATCTGATTCAGATATTCATGGACCTGAAATGGACATACTGGGGATGTACAAATGCGCGGAATTGTCCCAGTACGTACCTGGTACGTCAACGGTACCTAATCTGGACCTCCCTAGTACGTACGAAACGTCTTGGCCGGACGTTCTCGTTACGTTTTGGGTACGTACTCGTGCTATATGGGTAGTTGTGAAATGAACATCTCATATTATTTTCAAGAATTAATTCGTCTTGATATCTTGATTATATCGCGTTCGTGACTGTTGTTTTCGTTAGACGACGAGTCCTGCGAGGCCATCAGGAATATGGGTTACACCATATTCTACAGGTTCGGGAAAATCCCCGTTCATGGCCTTCGCAAGGACTCGACTGAGAAGAAAAAGGTAGAAGAGGGGAGCAAAACACCATCAGCTCCCACTGCCACAGAAACTACTGTGGCCAGCGAAGCCGAATCGACTGGGAGTATGGACCAGGATACCACGGTCATTCCCAGCGAAGAAGAGCTAATGCTGCTGGATGATGAGGAGGCAAGCACTCCAACACACTAGCAGCAATGGCTAATACAGCATCAGTCAGGTTTGCCCAGGTGAATACTCACCACGCTAAGGGGGCATCAGCCGCCTTATCGAGGGTGTTCACCGGGGCACACTTGGGAGTTGTGTTGATCCAAGAACCTTGGGTCAACAGAGGGCAGATTAAAGGACTGCCGAATAAAGAAGGTAAGGTTATCTGGGATGTCAGGCATGACAACCATAGAGCTTGCATACTGATCAGGAATGACATTAATTATGTTTGTCTTTCAGAATTTATGACGAGGGACTTAGTGCCTGTACGGGCCAAGATCCACACAGGGCACTCACACCTCGACATAGTAATAGCTTCAGGTTACTTCGCTGGAGATGGGCAAGCACCACCAGAAGAGGTACAGAGGCTATCCGACTACTGCAGCAGGAGCAAACTACCCCTCCTGCTGGGCTGCGATGCCAATGCCCATAACACCATCTGGGGAAGTACGGACACCAATCAAAGAGGTGAGCAATTGCTAGAATTCATACTTGCGGCTAACTTAAGTATACTGAATGTGGGGTCTACCCCCACGTTTGTAACTAGGGCTAGACAAGAAGTATTAGATATAACGCTCGGCAGCCCGAGCATTAGTAGAAGGGTTAGACATTGGAAGGTCTCAGACGAACCCTCCCTCTCTGACCACAGAATCATAATGTTCAATGTAGAAGGGCTTGTGACAGAAACCACCTTCATTAGAAATCCTAGAAACACAGACTGGGAAAAATACACCACCAATCTTAAATGTAATTTAGAACAAATCAAGTTCAATGGCAAAAGTCACGTCGAATTTGAGCAGACATTAGAAGCAGTTAATGGGGCAATCATGGATGCATATGAATCCAGCTGCCCCATTAGAGAAAAGAAATCACACAGTGGTACCATTTGGTGGAACGAACACCTGTCAAATCTAAGATCCGAGGTCCGCCGGCTATTCAACAAGGCCAAGCGGGACGGAGATTGGCAGGGTTACACCGAAAGGCTGACGATTTACAACAAAGAAATAAGGAAAGCTAAGAGAAGTAGCTTCAGGAACTTTTGTGAGACAATCACTTCAAGTCCACCTGCAGCCAGACTGTACAAGGCCATGGCGCGGGGCAGGGAGCAAGGACCAATGTCTCTCAGAAGATCAGATGGTAGCTATACAGAAGATGAAGAGCAACGAGCTCTCCTTTTACTGGAGACGCACTTTCCAGGTAGTACACCATATGATCCCGAAAGAACACTGGAAAAACCAGGCAGAGTAAAACGAGAAGACTGGGATGTTGCAAAAACCATTTGCACTCCGGCAAGGTTGAAGTGGGCAATCGACTCTTTCCAACCATTCAAGTCTCCTGGAATCGACGGTATATTTCCAGCCCTTTTACAAAAAGGGCATAAGGAACTACTGCCGTTCATTATCAAGGCAGCCAAACTCAGTCTGGCGTCCGGGTACATACCGAGCAGCTGGACGAGAGCGCGTGTGACTTTCATCCCCAAAGTAGGGAAGAAGGACCCTACCCTTCCGAAGTCATTCAGACCGATCTGTCTCACATCCTTCTTACTGAAGACACTGGAGAAGATCGTAGATAACTACATCAGATGTGACATACTGGAGAGGGTGCCCTTGCACCTAGGACAGCATGCATATAGGGCGGGCAGATCAACCGAGACCGCCCTTTTCGTGCTCACCGAAAACATCCAGAGATCACTTGAGCATAAAGAAATCGCCATATGCGCATTTCTAGACATAGAGGGGGCATTTGACAACACCTCTCATGAAGCAATAAAAAGAGCTCTAATGAACAAGGGCGTGGACAGAACCACATCCAGATGGATGTGCCAAATGCTGACCACAAGAACAGCTGAAACGAAAGTGGGTGAGAGCAGCTTTCAAATCAGTACGAACAGGGGCTGTCCACAAGGAGGGGTACTGTCACCCTTAATGTGGAGTCTAGTGGTAGACGAACTACTCGGGATTCTTACTGAGAACGGAGTAACTTGCTTTGGATATGCGGACGACATAGTCATCATGGCCAAAGGCAAATTTGAAGGCACCCTCTGCGACCTCATAGAGAGAGAGCTAGAGACTACCAGAAGATGGTGCCATTCGGTGGGGTTGAGAATTAACTCAACGAAAACCACATTGGTACCTTTTACTAGAAGAACGAAGGTTCAGCACTTAAGAGTCATCCGTCTAAACGGAGAAGACCTAGAATGGCAGCAAGAAGTGAAGTATCTAGGGCTCATCCTAGACTCAAAGCTTCTCTGGAATAGACACGTAGAAAAGATCGCCAGTAAGGCAAAATCATCACTGATGGTGTGCAGGAACCTTGCAGGCAAAACATGGGGATGTAACCCATCAATACTGCGATGGATGTACACCATGCTAGTGAGACCAATGATCACCTACGGAGCAGTAGTGTGGCACGGCAGAACCGAACTCGCCACTACAAGGAAAATATTAGAGAAGGTGCAAAGACTGGCATGTCTTTGCATAACAGGAGCAATGAGATCAGCTCCAACAGCAGCACTAGAGGTCATTTTGGATCTCACACCTCTACACATCGTGGTGAGGAGAACTGCCTATGGAGCACATCTCAGGTTAGCCAAGGTCGGACTAAGAGGGAAAACGCACAGTGTAAGGGGCTCACCCCCCACTGAGATCGCACACCTCGCCGATCTTCCAACAGACCAAATCATTAGGAAGTTCAGTTTTGAGAAGAACTTCCGAGTGGAGCTGAGCAACAAGCGCGAATGGAGCACAGAATCCATCGAATCACTGGGAAGGAATACCATTACTTGGTATACGGACGGGTCTAAAACACCCGAGGGAACTGGAGCAGGAGTCTTTGGGCCTCGCACCAAATACTTCGAATCCATGGGACAATTCCCCAGCATTTTTCAAGCGGAAATACACGCCATAGGAAGATGCATCCAGTTCAACCTAGACAGGAAATACCGGAAGAAGGACATCGCGATTTTATCCGATAGCCAAGCAGCCATCAAAGCGTTGAGCTCTCCTTACATCAACTCGAAGATGGTATGGGAATGCCTAAGCAAATTGAATGAGCTAGGCAGCAACAATAAAGTTACCCTCCTCTGGGTGCCAGGGCATATCGGAGTGGAGGGGAATGAACAAGCAGACGCTCTGGCACGACAAGGGGCTTCAACGCCACTGATCGGACCAGAGCCATTCTGCGGCCTTGGAAATTCCTATTTCCAAGGAGAACTTGAGAAGGCGGAAGGAGCCTGGAGAGCCAGACAATGGAGAAGACTTCCAGGACTACGGCAGGCTAAAGATCTCCTTGGAAATTTCAACCGAGAAAGATCTAAGATACTGACAAACCTCAGCAAAGGAAGTCTTAAAGCAATAACGGGATTTCTAACGGGGCATTGCAGACTCAAAGAACACCTAAGGAAGCTAGGCTTACAGGAGGACGGCACCTGCAGATTCTGTGAGGAAGAACCAAAAACACCCCATCACATACTGATGGAGTGTGACGCTGTACATCACAAAAGATTGAACATACTGGGAACACACCAGCTGACTGTGGAAGAAATACCACAGCTAGACCCCCTCAAAATCCTCAAATTCCTGAAGGAATTGAATCTCGAGGGGCTGCTATGAACAAGAAATCCTTGATATAGCAGGAGCAGATGGGGCACAATAGATCTAATTGGGTCGCAGCGCATCTGTCACCATCCAACCTACCAATACCAATACCAAATGTTTTCGTTATATCGAAGACTGGAACCTTTGGCACGATAATACACTGCACTGTTTCACCACTAACCAAACCGATTTTTTAAACGCCTCGACAGTTTTAAACTTCTCCTGAAGACGCTAACATAGATAGCGTTTGAAAAATCGTTTTGGTTAGTGGTAAAACAGTGTCGTGTGTTGTTTTCGTGTTTTGTTGTTAAACATCGAAATATTCAAACATCGACGAAATAAGTGTGGATTATTTTGTATTAGTCAAGTGGATGTGATAGCTGTGCCGTTTGCATGCTTGAAAGTATTCTTTATTGTTTCTATTATCAATATGGAGGTATCCATCGCCTAATGGGCATTTTTGCAGCAGTTGATTCATACAACGTTGAAATAAGTCGCTTTCTAAACCTTCATCGATGAGTTGAAATAAATTTGTATAAAGTGTGGAGAATCTATTTGAGTATTTGACGCACGTCAGAGATTGAAAAAAATACTTGATTCATTGCATCGTTATTAAAATCTTTTATTTAACTTGCAATGTATGGATGCCTGTATGTTAGTTCGGGTGGAATCTTTGAACTCAATTTTGAAGTAGATATATCTTCAACCGATTGAGCTGAAATTTTGTATACACGTTTAGTTTGGATGACAATGCACGATAAGGTGTGTGAATTTATTCTAAATCCAATTTGGCGGACCATCCAAGATGGGTATCAAATGAAAGGGCTCGTTGGGTAAAATCAATATGACGTCATTCTGAATTCAATATGGCGGACCATCCAAGATGGAGGAATAGTTATTTTCAATGCACTTTTACAATATGGGTATCAAATGGAACGGCTCGTTGAGAGTAACTCGGAAAATAATGTAACGTTATTCTAAATCCAATAAGGCGGAACTTCCAAGATGGCGGAATAGTTATTATTCATGCACTTCTGCAATATGGCGGGTATCAAATGAAAGGGGTTAGAATAATTAGAAATAATGTAACATCACTCTAAATCGAATATGGTACACTAATGAAGTTTTTTGTGCTTTCCTATAATGAGGGGGTTCGCTGAGAATAAAAATGCTGGTTTAAAAATTCGATTTTTGAGCCTCAACATCGATTGATTAGCTTCGACTCGTGTAATTTGGCGTGATGAGCGTCATCAGCATTGGTCTGAAACCTGTCTAGGAGAACTGAAAATAAAAAAAAATAACAGTAAAAAATAATGTTTAATAAGAAGCTTATGTTTAAACGGTCTTAAAGGATAACATAAAATGTTACTTTATAATTTTAATTATTAACTTATAACCTCATTATGCACAATTTATATATTTACGAAATTAAATTAGTACTAGTTTATTCACACTAGTAAATCGCTCGACAAGCTTTCATGATCATATAAATTGTGTATAATGAAGGTTATAAGTTGATAGTTAACATTAGAAAGGAACATTTTATTTCATTCTTTTTGTACCGTTTAAATAAAAGCTTTTTATTAAAATTTTTCTTTACTGTTAATTTATTTTATACATTGTGAACTTCTGAATTATGCAATGGATTTGATATTTATAATAGATAACAAGTGATAATACGGCAGAATCTTAACAGATTAACTGCAGGCGTAGAAATATAGAATAAAATTATGAGAAATATAAAACATCAAAGGTTACTCCTATGTGTCATATATTATATGTCTTTTCATGTTCTGATATACTCACTTTGCTAGTCCAGAATACTTTTGTAAACATCCAGGTCCCGTTCGGAACGCAGTTTCCACCACATCGGAAAAACTCAAAGACTGTTTCTGGGTTCTCCTACCTAACTCATGGGAACATCTCACCAGCATGTGCATACAGTGCGTACATACGATGCCCATGACCATGGTTCCGAAGAGGCCTACAATCCATCCCGCATTCCTGAAGGCATCTGGCATCGCCAGAATACCGGTTCCGATGTTCCCTATAGAATTCATTAATAGTTCAATCAAATGGTGCACAAAAACAGCTTGAAGTGGAAAGTTCTGGTGTAATTAATTTCAGTGGTTTATAGTATGCTCTTTGATGTGCTCAACACGAATCTTGAGTTATCCACCAAAAATTTTATCGGCAAATTTAAAAAAATACAAAAAAAGCACAAAAAAACATGTTTCAAATGGTTTTCAGCTTGTAACTCGGGAAGGAACTGGTGCATTTCCAATGGAATTCAAAATAAGTAATGAAACCATCCCGAATAATCCTACGACTATTTTTCAAAGAATCACAATTGCTAAACAATCTGACGAAGAACTCGAAGAAGTTCCCAAAATATAAACTGTCCGTTGCCTCTTTTTCATGACTATGGAATGAGAAAAGGAACCAAGTCTGCCTTATACAAAGCATTTACACCAACTGAACAGACAAATCTCCAAGGGTGTGTGTACGTCTCAGATGGAGGATATTTGCTCCACGAGGTGGTGTGGACCAGGGGTCAATCATGTTCATCAATTTGTGGAAGTTATGTTGCATTTGTTGAGTCCAAGTACAAAGACAGTGCTGCAGTCGTATTCGATGGTTACCTTCAAGATGGTACTGAACATGCTGAGCGAACAAGAAGATCACGCAAACAGATATCAGTTGATATCATGTTTGACGAAACAATGATCGCGACAGTGCCACAGGAACAATTCCTTGGTTATATGAAAAACCTAATTCCTCTCATTTCAATATTGAAGAACTAATTTTCGGCAGCCTGGATTCACACAAAGCAGGCACAAGAGGACGCAGATACACTTATTGTCACCATAGCAATGGATCTCGCACAACAGTATAATTCTGCAGTTATTGTGGGTGAAGATGTATACCTTTTCAACTTCAATTTCGGAATCGGTGAGTTATATTTCGGAAAAAGTAATCTCGATTTCAGAATTGGTTAGTTCAATTTCAGAAATGGTAAATTCAATTTCAGAATCGGTGAGATCAATTTCAGAAAAAGTCCATTCAATTTCAGAAATGGTAAGTTGTATTTCAGAATTATTATTGGTAGGTTCAATTTCAGAAGATGAAATCCTTTTATATGTTTGAAATGTTTTTAATTGCAAAAGAGAAGATTGTTCACAGTGGATGAACGGTGTTTGAGAGCCCTATGTTGAATCAGATTGAACATATATGGGGTGCCTTCAAGTCAGAAGTGAAGAGCTTCTTGCAAGAGCATCGCCAAAGGGTCATAGCTGGGGATCCGAACAGCTTGCTCAACCAGATAGAATTCAGACTGCGATGTCTTAGGGAATGTGCAGATTATTCAATGAAAATGATAACACCTCAAATGTGTTTGCATTCTCATAATCATGTGCAACGATATTATCTTCCAGCGATTCATATGGAAGGCATCTGTGGATTGAATTGAAATTATAATTATGTTATTGAATTGTTTTTGACAAGTTGAATATTGTAAATATGGTTTGTTAATCTCACATACAATTGGAAACATTTCGAACAAATATAAGGATTTTTTTTCTGAAATTGAACCTACCAATTCTGAAATACAACTTACCATTTCTGAAATTGAATGGACTTTTTCTGAAATTCATCTCACCGATTCTGAAATTGAGTTTACCATTTCTGAAATCGAATTAACCAATTCTGAAATCGAGATTACTTTTTCCGAAATTGAAGTTGAAAAGGTATAGATTTGTTGGTGATCATGATTGGTCGTTGTCGGAGTGTACATTCGAATGTATACTTTTTAAAGCCAAGTAGAGGAGCAGTTTCGGAACTCATATTTTCAACTGACTGTGCACCAGAGCATGTCAAGTGACAAATTACAGTTCTTATATGCCATGGGAGGATGTGACACAAATAAGTCAATGATTATTTGTAACAGGCGTAGAAGAACTTGAAAGCTGCCCTGGAGAAGCCACGGAGTCTGTGTCTAGGAGGAGAATTTCATTAGACAGTGATATATGTTTATCTATTTGGAATAAAAACTATGAATTAGTTGAATTTTTCATTTTTTTCCAAAAATCACTGATTCCACTAAAACTTCAACACTCTTTTGCATGGAAACCAAATGACATACCAAAAAGTATCATGAGACATGAATTGTAGATGATTTTCTCCTCTTGATTTTACTACTCGTTCATTTTTTGTGTGAACGGCTATCTTTGCGAGTTGGAAGCTGAAAACCATTAAAAAACATAATTTTGTGTGCTCTTTTGGTATTTTCTGATATTTGCCGATGAAATTTTTGGTGGGCAACTTTATATTCGTGTTGAGCACACCAAGAAATAAAGAATAAGCCAATAAAAACAATTACACAATTTAATAAAACATAATAAATTTGTGGGCAAACATAATTTCACTGGTAAACGCTTTGTCTTTTACCTAATGGCGAACGAGAGTGTTTCTCTTGAAAAAAGCTGTACCTCTTCCTCATCACGAAACACAGAATAAATCGTACACAGAACATACATTGACATATTGACATGGAACATAGAACTGTGACTAACCTAAGATGTAGTCTAATATAATTCAAAGAGAATGGCGGGAAATTTAATATCGAATACAACAAATATTACTTTTGTTCTGAATTTTACCTTTCAGTAGATGCACCATGGTATCGAAATTCGACGTGGGATTCTCGATTGTCCTGTTGAAGATGGGATCGACGGTGGGTGTTGACAGTCCCTCCATCATGTTGATGGAGGTACTCTGGCTTTGGTAATCGCTGTCCAGCAGGTGTTGCTTCTCGTCGCATTGCAGTTTTCCAGGCGTCTTTGGTCGATTGTCCTGAAGAAAAACCAATATAAGGTTAGCTTTGTGTAGATTTTTGTACAGAATGTGAGTTATCACGTCTCGGCGATCTAGAAGTGGTTCGGTGGCCACTATAAGCTATAGAGGGCCCGCTTTCCCCAGCCTCACACATTTCTACCAATTTCGAATTAGTGGAATCATCTCAGGATCATAGTTTACAGGCTGATTCACGGTGGAAGGCACATTAGAAGTTTCTGGAGAACGTAACTTGGGATGGATTATTCGGAAAATTTGATGCTTATATTGAAAAGTAGCAACAACTTTGATTTTTCAAATGGGACACCCTGTATATTATTCCATTTTCAGATTCTCCCTGAAGAGCTGATTTCATTGACCTATACCACTTGGGGTCTAGCAGTGACAATTACAGAGATATAGGGTGTGAAAAATCGTGATCTTTCAACTTTAAGATTTGTTTGTGTCGAAACTATTCATAATTGGTTCAGAGTTCAGAATTAGGATTTTCAACCACCCTGATGTATCTATTTCAATTGAATATCAATTGATAGTACATGAAAAGTTGAGATAGGGACATAAAAACCGTTTTGACTAATTATGAATAGTTTCGACACAAGAAATTCTTGGAGTTGAAGAATCTCGAATTTTCACACCCTATATCTTTGTTATCATTCCCGATAGACCCCAAGTGTAATAGATCGATGAAATCAGCTCTTTAGGAAGAATCTGAAAATGGAAAATATATAGGGTGTCCCATTCAAAAAATCAAAAATGTTGCTACTTTTCGATATAAGCGGCAACGTCGCAGTGTTGAGAATATTTAAGGTAAATAGAACACAACTAATTATCCAAGAAACCAAATTTTCAGTATAATCCTACAATCCTACGTTGCGTTCTCCAGAAACATCAAATGAGCCATCCACAGTGAATCAGCCTGATGTATACATCGTGTCTCCTGCTTTTTATTTCAAATCAGTTTCTACCTACCGGTGCTAATGAACGATCCAAAATTTGCGGTTGATTTTAATTCAGTATTTTTTCGAAGCAGAAAGTGAAGAGAATGGAGCAGTACTGGGACCGATGCTTTTTTTGATATTGATATTGATATCAAAGGAAGATTCACTCTATTCGCGGACGATACTACAATACTATGGCGTGCGTTTCTTTTCAATTGTTTTCTCATACACATCGTATTTTTGAATGATGAAAATCGGTATAGATATGTTCAAAGTGATCCTCAATAATAATGTGTCATCAATTCTTCTTAAAAATATCACAATACTACATTTTCTGATCACCTATTGAAAAAAAACATAATTCATTTTTTCGGCCACCCCGTGTTTTATGATGATAAAAATCAGTAAAGGTGTTTTTCAAGTGATCGTGATTCAGAATCCATCATTGTTTTTTGTGGAAAAAAATCCCTAATAGTACTTTCTCAAATATGGGTCAATAAAGTTGGTCGCAGTTGGCCACGATTACAGTTCATGAGTAAAATCACTCTCTTGTTAGATGGACATTTCAAATACCTATCCAACAAAAAAAAGTTTTTTGAAATCGGTTAGATAATAACAATTTTACAGGGGTTGTAAGTCCTTAAGGTGGACACATTGTAGATAATATATATTTGTAGTTTTAGGAAATTGTAACTTTGTCAATAAGATATACTCTTTGGACAATAAAGCATATCAATCAATCAACCAATCAATCAATCAATCCTGTTAATTCGGAATAATATGAAGTTAGGTTTCCTGCAAAAAAAACTTAATATATAATTTCATGAAAAAAATCCATTTATTTCTATCCAAGGAATATTACATCAATCGTGGTTGCGAGATACGAATAAGTATTGGTGATCGAGATGGCGTCTCCAATATGGCGGACCAATTTTGTGTATATAGTTTATGTTCCAAATCGCCACAAAACGTAAACCTGATAGTTTCAGGTCAAGAAATGCAGTAGTAAAAACTTGAAAAATCAGATAGTGACACTTTCAATACGGTGCAAGATTTCGTGATTTTTTCTCGTCCGATTAGCCAGAAAATGTATTTCTGGAGGTTCCTGAGATCGAGGAAAATGATTTTGTTGTAAAAATTTGTGATTCCAAAATGGCGAAGAAACATTTTCTTGAGGAAAGTAAAATATTTCCATTCTGATAGTCAAAGTCAGTTCAAAAAATTAAACCGAGTTTAGCTCTTTATCTTTGTTATGCATATATGCCTATGATTTTAAATTGAATGCGATCGCTCTTTATAATAATTGGACTACAACTGATAAGAGAAATAACATATCGGACATGCTATAATACCAAACAATTAGCAGATGCTCTATCATCCAGAGGAAAATCACCAAACGTGATTTGTCTTTTCATTACTATCACAATGACCGCAATAGATATGTGCCAACGAAAACTATTCAATAACAAATAACATCGCACGTGGCTTTGTGAATTCTCTGCCTTATTCGTAATAGTAAAATGGAAAAAAGACAAAAGAACATTAGAATAAGAATAAAGACAATTCTCTATTTGATATATCCGGTATCACCCTCTAGCTGTCACCATGGGGAGAAGATGAACCATGCATATATTAACCCATCCAGCAAACATGGCGTAAAATATACAATGCATGGTTTTGTTCTATTCAGAACTCTATATACAATGATACAGTTCTATAATGTTGTTTATGTCGGAATATCTATATATTGTGTAATGTATCCACTGATGTTATATACATATATAATATCTATATAACCACAGATTAACATTCCTTAATTTATCCATATCTCAGCGCCGAAATGTATAGGTACATCACTATATGATTGTGTAATTCGTTGTATAAAATGATTCACTTCCTTATGAATTCTACAACAAAACACAATAATAAAGAATATGAGAAGTTCCAGATTGAAATGATCTGAATGTATTATTTCGAGAGTCATTATAATAATATATAAAGATATTAAGCTATAGAAACAAATAATTTGGATACAATACACTGCACCATTATGAATATAACCCAAACCATTTCTTTGACGCCTTGACAAGTATTTCCTTATACAACTATATTAGCACAAAGAACTCCATAGAAAGTAATTTAGTGGTATCAGATCAGGTGACCTGGGTGGCCACTCGATATATATATGTCGCCTTCTTCCAATCAGTTTTGTTTTAGATGACGGTTTGTTTTTACCTGATGGTTTAATGCAGCAGGGATTTCGGGGGAAAAGGGTCACATGAACATATTAATTGCTGAAATATGGTGATGAAAAGATTGTCAGTACAAAAATTTCATTTGATTTTATCCAGTATATAGTTTTGTATTAAAATAATTTCAATGATCGGCGATTCACCTAAGTAGCAACTTTCAGTTTTTTGGCTTCTACTTTGATTTCATCAATCTAAAATGATAATTCCAAGCAAATCAACACATTATAAATTGGATGTGAGATCTTTGAGATTTCTGAAAGTATTTATCAGTTGTAACAAAATATCGACATGAAATGTATGATAACGGATTACTCATTGGTCAAAAATATTTCATATTGAACACATATTTTTTGTTTGGAAAATAATTTTTCCACAACTGCGTGTTTATTTAGATAGGTATACTGCCTAACAAAACAAAAACTAGTCCTAAACAATGTTGAGAATAAATTATGGAAAAGTTTATCTCCAGAGATTATCTCCACCGGACTCGGCCGTATTTAGGACCCGATTTAGGGCCTACAAAATTCCATTCAGGTCCTTTCTAGGAATTAGAGTGATTATGTTAATGCCCCTTTTCCGTGTCTTGGAAAAATTCCACGCGAAATCTTTCCACTAGTCTATTTCAATTTATATTGTTGCTATCACATGCATCTGTTTGCACTGATGTAATGTAAATATAACTAAAATATTCCTCAATAAATATAAAACATGATATGGACTGTTCATTATAGATATTTAGAGACTGGGCCAATTTGAAAGGAGAACATGCATATATACCTTGATCATGAATATAATGAATAATATTGGAAAGTTTATGTGAAACTATTTGGACTTTTGATGTATGAAGGTTCAAGGAAAGTGCATAAACCAAGGGACTTAAGTTCCACTTGATCCCTCAGCGAAATGCCAGAACTTATAATCTACTTGACCATGGGATTTCAGTATTTCTTTTTTATTTCTCATTACTCATTTATTGTTATCATTATACAGTAGTTATCATATAGACACAATGGGTTTCAGTTTTTTTCATAGGACTGTGATAAAACTTGATGAGAGCATCAAGGTATATATAAAAACAAATGTTATCAAATTCGATTCTTATCGACTGCGTGGGTCTCATCTGTTGTTGTGAACTCAAGTATCGATTTCTATTATCAAATTGAAAATATCGAATGTCAGTATCATACAGACGATATGGCTTCGAAATTATATAGGAAAATTAACAGTCAAGTTTATTCAGTCATTGATTGATGCACATATTTCCTAGATTTTTTTTACAAAATGTATGTTCGGAAATATTATTTGGAGTATGACAATGACTGATATTTCATTGTTGATTTGAAAATATTAGATAGGTAGTCACTTTTTTAGATTTTTTTATGATTGACATATATACCTAGGCATGTGTATAATATGAAGATTCAGTATGATGAGTGACTCTAACCACTTGTGTGCAAATGAATGATGGGTAATTAATAATTTGAGAAGATTATTCCATAAAAAAGTGAAAAGTATCTAAATAAATAACAATAATTTGTTATATTCTATTTCTATTTTAGCATAGATATATACGTACCTATATCCTTCAGATTTTTTGGAAAACTTTCAATATATATGGTTGAATTCCTAGTCCTTTGACTATAAGTTTTAATATCCACTTATGTTCTGCTCACCAATATCAAATTATGACTAAGAATCGATAACAGGAAACAACTATACAAGGCTTCTTCAAAGTAGATGTTTCACGCGTATATGGGTAGGTATAATAATATATACCTAATACATTATTGTAAATTAGAAAAACTATAGA